TTGCAGTGCCCAGTATAAAACTTATGACAAAGTATATAATATCATTGATTAATTGAACTATACGCAGACCACAAAAATTGTTTATGGATTCAAGTCATGTTTGCAAAAGCCATAAACTATGGTTTAGTAATGCTCCCATTTGTTTCTCCCTTCTTATGAGCCGGTAATCAAACTATGCAGTGGATAGCTTAACATGAAGTTCAAGCAGCAGGATCGTGCTTTGTTCCATCTTAACAAATCACAACAGGCAACCAGCCCTAAACCATGGTTTGATTTTGGCTTAGCAACCGCGGTTTGTTAAAACCTAGCAACCCACAATCCCAGATCTGTGTGTCATATCTTTGTGATATGCTGAGCCCCTCACATAAAGGGGGGTGCAAAGCAGGAGAGGTTGGGCTGTATGCAGCAACACACTGTTCAGGCACATAATTTATGGCTTTGCGTTATATGCAAATACAGTCTTTGTGGCAAACATTGTGAGAATGGTAGAAGTGCCTATCTCGTAGATTTATGGGGTAAAATCAAGCATATTAGTAGAGTGGAGTGGATAAATATGGAAGTGGGTATGATTACACGGACTGGAATAGAAGTCCAAGTCTGAGTGTGTATTTTCACAAAACATGCAGAGCTACCTTCACATCTAGAAGGAAGCAGTAGGAAAGAAAAATAAGTTAAGGGTGAAATGCTAGTAACTGCTGCTGACCACGACATAACTGAGTAAAATTATAGTAGTGCATTCCAGCAGAGCCCTAAACTATCAAGCAGCAGCTATATAAAATCTATGTTTATGGGGTATGAACCAGTAAACGCAAGACATCTGAGTCATAACAAGCAGCGTATGGTTCAAAAACTAGGTGCCTGAAAGACACTAAAGCCACACACTGTAAACCTAGAAGATGCAGCAATGTGTGATATCGTTTTTACCTTCATCAACTTGAAACATGATCCTTTTTCACTGACAAGATTTGGTATCATTATTCTTATTGGAAGAAATGTTTTGCCATTATATGATTAAGATCAAAACGATGAATGTATGAACCTCCACGAGACACAACTTGCAGAGGTTAAGTAAATGTTCTTCAAAAATATCCATTATGTTATTTTCTGTTGAAAGAACCAAGAATGTGGTTCAAGGACTGTTCTGCACTTTTGTTGGTGTTCTATAATTTTTTTATCCACTTCAGCTCTCATTGCTAGGACACCCTGTTTCATTAATTTCATTTCAGTATTTATAGGCCACTTTTCAGGGTTAACCCTGTCAAGGCAGGCTCATAACAAATTAAAAGCTTAAATTCCAAAATAAGAAATGTGCTGGTAAGCAGCGTCATCGTAGAAATAACCCTGATTTGTGAATTGTGTTTATGTCAGGTATTCGTTTTTCATTGCTATACAATATTAGCACAATTTAAATGAAGCCCTTTATTGTTTGTTGGTCTAAAAGTGGCCCAGAAAAGCAGTAAGCCTTACAGAAGACTAGTCTCACAGATTGATGATTTCACCACACTATATTCTATAACTTTTCCCCCTTGGTTCAAGGACACAGAGTTGAAAGCCACACAGCTATATTTCAAAACTAAGAAGTCTGGTCCTTCTTGGCTGTTGTTTTCAGAAATACTCTGCTTAATCTAGGCCTCTCACCGTTTGTGTGTGATGGCATGGTTTATGCTTCTTTTAAACTTATTTTCTGTTTAAACATTTTATTGTTATGGTTTTTCATTTTGATTGTCCTAAGGCTCCTTGGTAATGAACAGCAGGAAAACAAATTACAGTAGTTAATATTTAATTAAACTAAATATTTTAATAGGTTATAATTCCTGCTATTCTAATAAAGGCTTGCAGGCACTGGACTGCTTGCCCCTGGTGTAACTTCATGCATTTCTAAAATTCCTGTCCACAGGTGTGCATCTGAATAGGATACATTTAATTAACTCTACTTTTGGAGAAACAGGTACTATTACCCACTGTGAGACATTCGTTTTAAAGTGGTATAATTATACTGTTTAAGATTAATTGTGGTTATATATTTAAAAAGTAGTAAAAGTTAATTTGGTTAGTTACTCCCAGTATCCATCACAGGATTTAGGAAAGCTGTGGTAACTAGCATAAGGACTGATAAATGTAATTTTGATACTGAGCTTCTAATGAAACAGGAGCTTGCTACATTGTGACAGTTTAGCTCAGGTTAAATTCTGATAGGCAGAGTATAATCGGCTACTGCTCCAAAATCATGGGCCCATTAGTCAATTTTGGACTCGCAGAAGGGAGTCATTCATCCCATAGGAACTTTCAATAAAAGTGAGCATACATTCTAATCAACATAGGTTTTACTTTTGAATTGCAGCTGGTTCACATGTGCATATAGATAATTTGATTTCCTAGCACTTGAGAAATGGCACATAAACTTTCCCATTGTGCTTGAAGATTCATATCACCCAATGTCAACTTAGTCTGTGACACTGGAATTATATATTAACTGATCCAAGTTATTTAATGTTGCAGCTCATGCTTCTGCAAATAAACCCTTACAATTATTAAAATGCACAACCCAATTTAATAATAATAATAATAATAAACCGCCCTTCATCCATAGATCTCATGGCAGTTCACAACATCAAAAATACAATTTAAGTAACATTTGCACAAATAGTGTTTATTCTTTTGACCATAACCGCTTAACAAGGTTGAAGAATGTCTAATATTGTACAACACTCTTTATTAACTGATAAAGACTTTCCTCACAGAAACTTACTTACTTCTTGAAACTTCTTAATAACATCTTGCCTAAAAGCTCACATTTCAATACAGTGACATATAAATTTGCCAATTTTTAAACTTTGTGCTACAGAGTATTTAAGGTTCTTTTTCAGGCACTTATGAGAACACAAGGAGAGCCTGTGGATCAGGCCAATGGGCCATCTTAGTCCAGCATCCTGTTCTCACAGTGGCTGACCAAAATTCCTGTGGGAAATCAGCAAGCAGGACCCATGCACAAGAGCACTCTGGCCTCCTGTGGTTTCCAGCACCTGGTATTCAGAAGCATTGCTGCCTCTGACCATGGAGAAGGAGCACAGCAATCATGGCTAGTTGCTGCTAATAGCCTTCTCCTCCATGAATTTCTGTAATCCTTTGTGGCCATCGCTGCTTCTTGTTTAACTATGTGTTGTGTAAGGAAGTACTTTATTTTATTTGTCCTCAATCTTCCAACATTCAGCGCCATTGGAAGTCCATGAGTTCTAGTGGTACGACAGAGAGAGAGAGAGGGAGAGAGAGAGAGAGAGAGAGAATTCTCTATCCTCCTCTTAGTCGACTTTTCTCTAAACTAAAGGTAAAGGGACCCCTGACCATTAGGTCCAGTCGTGGCCGACTCTGGGGTTGTGGTGTTCATCTCGCTTTATTGGCCAAGGAAGCCGGCGTACAGCTTCCGGGTCATGTGGCCAGCATGATTAAACCGCTTCTGGCGAACCAGAGCAGCGCGTGGAAACACCGTTTACCTTCCCACTGGAGTGGTACCTATTTATCTACTTGCACTTTGATGTACTTTCGAACTGCTAGGTTGGCAGGAGCAGGGACTGAGCAACGGGAGCTCACCCCGTCATGGGGATTCAAACCGCCGACCTTCTGATCGGCAAGTCCTAGGCTCTGTGGTTTAACCCACAGTGCCACCCGCGTCCCATTTCTCTAAATTAAAAAGTTCCAAATGCTGCAAACGTTCTGCATAGGGGAGCTGCTCCATCCTCCTTGATAATTTAAGTTGTCCTTTTCTGAACGTTTCCCAATTATACAGTATGCTTTCTGAGGGGAGGCAACCACACAGCGCTTCAGGAGACATGATGCTGACAGTGGCGCAAAGGTTCTCCACACAATGCACCTTTGCGAGTGGCTCCCACACATTGTGGCAGCCACGGGGAGCAGCTGTGCCCTGCAACTACGACAGGGATCAGCTTCAAAGGGCAGTATTTTGATTGACAAAAGGCTCTGTGCCATAGAGCATTTGCACACACAAAATACACCATATTTCCCACTTATTCACTTAGAATATTGTTACCCACTTTTCATTATTACTGCAATATCAGAGCGGACCACAGAAAAGCCAAAACAGAGATATAGAATAAATTCCAACAATAAAATTATCACACCGCTCATTAAAAGCAACTTAAACACAGTAACAGCAAATTCAGCACTCATATCCACTGAACTCTCTACAGCTCACTGAAGAGTGGGAGGAGGTTGATCTTTTAACTACTCTCTTGCCTAGCAACATGGGTGAATAAACCAGAAAAGCAAAACACTATGCTAAAATGTTAGAGAACGGGTGTTCTGGACAGCCAACGTGGTTTAGTAGTTAGAAGAGCTTTTTTGCATATGCTGGCTGGGGCTGATGGGATTTGTATTCCAAAATATCTGGAGGGAAGCAGGTTGGAATGGGCTGGGTTAGTTAGAGGATGGATAGGCAAACTAAGGCCCGGGGGCCGGATCTGGCCCAATCGCCTTCTAAATCCGGCCTGCGGACAGGCCGGGAATCAGCATGTTTTTACATGAGTAGAATGTACCCTTTTATGTAAAATGCATCTCTGAGTTATTTGTGGGGCATAGGAATTCATTCTTTTTTTCCCTTCAAAATATAGTCCGGCCCCCCACAAGGTCTGAGGGACAGTGGACCGACCCCCTGCTGAAAAAGTTTGCAGACCCCTGAGTTATAGGGTTGCATCAGGGCTGGGAAGATTCGAGACAAGAGTCACCATTCAGCCATGAATGGGCAACCTTGAGTCCAATACTCTCCTTCAACCTAACCTACTTCACAGGATTGTTGCAAGGATAGAAACATTGACTAGAACCACGAACATCCACCAGGAGCTCCTTGAAGGACGGGATAAAAATTGAAATAAATTATATTACTAACAGAAACAGCGGGAGGGGAGGTATATTGCACTTTGGTTCATTCACAACCTCAAGAGCAGGGAGGGCACTTTGGGCAAGTTGCAGGCATGGCCAAACTTGGCCCTCCAGATGTTTTGGGACTACAACTCCCATCATCCCTAGCTAACAGTACCAGTGGTAAGGGATGATGGGAATTGTAGTCCCAAAACATCTAGAGGGCCAAGTTTGGCCGTGCCTGGTAGAGCATGGTGCTGATAATTGCCAAGATTGCAGGTTCGATCCCTGTATGGGACAGCTGCATTGCAGGGGGTTGGACTAGATCAGTGGTTCCCAACCTTTTTTTTTTTTTTTGGCCATGCCTCACCTAAGCATCTCTAAAATCCTGATTTCCCCCCCCCCACACACACATATAATTCTTATTATTCAAAAAGTGAACTCCTATTCACCTGAAGGAAGCCTATAAGGTCATCATTCACTGTTAATAACTCATTCTCGAATTGCCCCCCTTGAAAATTAAATTGCCTCTCCACCTGTGGGGCGTGTGCCCCACGTTGGGAACCACGGGACTACATGGTCCTCCTTGGGGTCCCTTCCAACTTTGCGATCTGCGTGAAGTCGTGCCCCTATCTCATTTCCCCACCACCACCCCCGTCGCTGAAATGGGGCTCTCCTCGCGGGGCACTGTGAAAAATAAAAGTGAAATGATGACGGCGGAAGCCCTTCGCTGACCCAGAAGGTGCTAGAGAGAGACGGAGAGACAGGCAGGACCCCCTGACGATGAGGATGGTGAGGAGGATAACGACGTCCCTGGCTGGGAAAGGGAAAGGTACCTGTCTGAGGAGCACCCAGCGGGCTTGGGCGGCTGCCTGCCGGCTTCCTTCCCGGGCTCCTCCGGCGTCTCCCTCCTCTCCTTCTGCCTGACACCTGTCAGCTGGGGGAGAAGCGCTCATGGCGGGAGCGGCTCGCGCCGGGGCTCAAACTTGAGGGAGAGCGCGCCAAAAAGAATAGATCTATAAAAAGAGTGAGGCGGGGTGGGAAGCGAAGTGCAGCGGGGAAAGGATAGCCCCGAGCGACCCGCCGCCTCACTGAGAGAGGGAGAGCACATGGAGGGGAAGGGGGAAGCCGCCTCAGAGCTTTCGCCTCAATGTTTTCCAGCAGCAGCTGTGACAGAGAACCTCCCATGGAGCCCGGAGGGAGAGGAGGGACATTGGGCGCCATCTTTGATAAGGGCTAAGGGACGTTGCGCGGTCGGGTAAGCTGCGGCAACTGTGAGGGGAGATGGACTTGGGAAGCTTTCGAGGCTTGCAGGAGTTTTATATGACCTCTTTGAGCGTTTCTTTTCAAAGTGGGGAAGACGTGGTCTGAAGACTCTCCACCACCATAGCAGAAGGAATATAGCCGACGAAGCTTCCCTCTCATCTCTATCGCTCCTACTCTGTGGAGCCATAGGAAGACTGGGAGGAACTTCACCTGTTGATTTTTCTGCCCGTCATGTTAAGGCACAGTAGCTCCCTCTTTAAAGAAAACAACACAAAATCGCTATGAAAACTTAAAAAGTATAAATATTTTATTTCGGCTTCGGCTCGGGAAAAAATATCAGGCTGATGTTGAATATAATTTTAACGAGAGAGAGAGAGAGAGAGAAGTTGGGATAATGATCTCAAATCAGGGTTTGGTTTTTGGTTTTTTTGGGGGGGGGAATATTTAAATGCCCGGAACCAAAATGGAGACAGGAGGGTCCAGGTTCTCCGGCATCTTATCTACGGGCAGGGAAAACGATAGAAGGGACGTGTGATGCTAGGCCGCCATTTTGTCTAAGGGCAAACCAGTGACTCTCTAGAAAGCGGCCTTGGCTGCCATCTTGCTTATGGGCAACGGTATCCAGCGTGTCGAGTGAGGGCAACCGAGGCGTTGAGTCGCGGAGCTATGATGCCATCGCAGTTCGTCTCACCATGCTGCTGCGCTTGTCAGCGATCAACAGATTCTGAGCTGTAGCGGCTTCCGCTGTGAGATTCGCGTTTTCCCCCTGAAGTATTATATACCTGCTTACGGAAAGGCAGAAAGTTAAAAGGTAGGTCCTGATGCTGCATTCCTACTGATTTTGCCGAACTAGAAATGGTCATTGTACTGAAATTTAGCTAAATTCTGCTTCAAATCCCCATGGCATCGTTACAGACAATAAATGTCCTTATTTACTAAAACAGCAAATATATGGAAAATAACTGCTCCTTAGGTTGTATATGCTATAGTAACGGTGCAGCTCTGTGGTTGCTTGCTGAGAAGTAAATATGCTTTATAAGAATGCAACTGCAGCACAGGAAAAATCACGCCAATAATTCATTCAACCTATGAGCTGCCTCAGTGCTGCAGGGAATAAATCACCTGGGGGCTGCTGCCTGAATTCCTGAAATGAGTCCCCTGGCTCTTTATGGGGAGATGGCATGGGCTGTTAGGATCTTATGTTGCAAAATATAATTGATTTGCTGTTATCTTTTAAGGCAGCTTTTAACTGTGATGATACTGGCAATATTGAGCATCATGTGGGAATTCTTACAACCTTTTAACATATATACTGTTTTCGGAAAGCAGTGAAGAAATGTTTACAATTGTTTCTTTCCCCTCCCCAGCTTTCACTCTGATTCCTGTACATGCTGCATATCTGGGAGGGAAATCTTACCATCAGTTCATACTGTGTGGTGGTGTCTACTTCAATCAAGCCTGACATGACTTTGGAATCACAAATACATTTTTTAAGAATGAAGAATCAAGTAAAATGAATATGTTGTCATCATGCTTTTAGGCTCCATTTACTTTCTTCGCCTCCTGAAGGGCAGTACTGGTCACTTCAAGAACCACTCTAAATATTCTGTATCTGCAGTCCTAAGATCTTGTAGTCAAACAAAGCTACAGGCATTTTTCTTTGCAAAGCACCTGAGAAATCCCTGTGTTGTTCCTCATTCCCATGGAGCCATTCAGTCATGGAGGTTCTTTTCCTGTAAGGTATGCCATTTGAACAAATCTTTCAGCCCAGTCGATCCTCGAATCCTTGTGTAGAAGGATAGAGAAGACCCTAAATAGTTCATAGATCAGAGATCTCACATCCTTTTTTCCTGATGAGCAGAAATCTTCTTCCATGTGCAAACAAAGTGAGGTACACTGACAATCTTTATGTTTGCACAATGTTTACATTTACAATGGTACCTTCTGTTCTGAAGGCCAAACTAGAAATGACATTAATAATAATAATAATAATAATAATTTTTATTTATACCCCGCCCTCCCCAGCCAAGGCCGGGCTCAGAGCGGCTTACAAGCAATAATAAAAACAAGATGAATGATTACAACTTAAAAACAAAAATAAAATACAACATTAAAATAATGGAACATTAAAATATTAAAATGTAGCCTCATCGCAGGAGGAGAAGGAAAAGAAAAAAGAGAGGGAGGGAGGGAATCAAATTGGCTCCAAGCCAAAGGCCAGGCAGAACAACTCTGTCTTACAGGCCCTGTGGAAAGAAATCAGATCCTGCAGGGCCCTGGTCTCATGAGGCAGAGCGTTCCACCAGGCCGGAGCCAGAGTTGAAAAGGCCCTGGCTCTGGTTGAAGCCAATCTAACTTCCTTAGGGCCTGGGACCACTAGGGTGTTGTTATTTATGGACCTTGATTGAGGCTCTCCGTGGGGCATACCAGGAGAGGCGGTCCCGTAGGTACGAGGGTCCTAGGCCGTGAAGGGCTTTAGAGGTCAAAAGCAGCACCTTAAATCTGACCCTGTACTCCACCGGGAGCCAGTGCAGCTTGAAAAGCACTGGGTGAATATGCTCCCATGGCAGAGACCCCGTGAGGAGCCTCGCTGCAGCATTCTGTACCCGCTGGAGTTTCTGGGACAGCTTCAAGGGCAGCCCCGCGTAGAGCGAATTACAGTAGTCAAGCCTGGAGATGACCGTCGCATGGATCATCATTAATAGTATAAATGCAGTTAAAGTACACTTTTTGGTATTTAAAGAGCAGCAATGGAAGCCTAAGCAGCCTTAGGACCATGGAGGTTGAGAATGGGGGTTAATACTCCCTCTGCCTCCCATGATCCTGACAAAGATCACATCTCCAAAGCTGCTACTTGCAGCTTGCAAGGGAAACCATCAATAGCAGCAATGAAGACTTCCCTTTGGAGAGGCAGTACTTTGGGGAGTGTGAGATAAAGAGAAATAACCCCCACTCCCAGTATGATCTCAAGGCTTACTGATTATCCCCAAGATTGAAAAAAATTAATTGCGTTCACATGGTTAACATGCTTAGTGTGCTCCTGACTTAACCCCCCTATCATTTGGTATACAAAATGGTAGTGGCCAAATTGCTGCAAGGCCAAGTTTGTTGAGCATAGTTCTACAATGCATGACAAAGAATGCAGTTCCTACTTAATAGAACTTGGCTTTTTGTGGCTTGTTTTGTACCAGGATCTTCTAGAATCAGAGCAGGAGAACTGGAGAGCTTGTTCAGCAAAATATATGGCTATGACAAAGAGGATGAAACGAAGATTAGAAGCTCATTATGACAAGTATTCATCCAGTCTGAGCAGCCCAGTGGTAAGAAAATACATGGGGAGAGCACTCCACAAGCAGGGAGCCGCTGCATGTTGCCACCCTCCAGACCTCTAATGGACAAGCCACACGAAGAAGAGACTCATATGATGATTGCAGGGTCTGGGTCGGTTTATATGGGTGGAGGCAGTCCATGAGGTATTGTGGTCCTAAGCCATTTAATCATTTTAAACTGGACCTGGAAATTAACTGGCAACCAGTGCAGTTGGGCCAGGATTGGCAATATAGGCTCAAACCATCTTGCCCCAGTGAGCAACCTGGCTGCTGGATTCTGCACCAGCTGAAGTTTATGAACTTTCTTCAGAGGCAGCCCCACATACAACGCGTTGTCTTACCGTATTACCAGAGCATAGATGACAGAAGTTCAGCTATCCTTGTCCTGATAGAGGCACAGCTGGGACAGCCCCATGACATGTTGAGATGGCCCCATGGTTGTCATGGCAACCATGAGGTCCTGAGCCAGTCACCTCAGCATAGATGTTGAAGTCCCCCAATGCCAGCACTCGGGGAGATTGCTAGGCAGTGAGCTGGGCACTAAACTAGCAGAATCTGTCTCCATTGCTCAGTACCAGGAACACATACTCTAGATCCACCCCCAACATGATATAGAGAGATAATGTCTATAGATCACAGCAACTCCCCCACCCCGACCATCAAATCTGCCCTGATGCTGCCCTGAGTACTCAGGGTGGGCACAGCTGGGTGAGATCAATTCCATCCTGCTCACCCACCCAGGTTGCAGTGATACAGACCAGATTGACCTCCTCATCCATAATCAGATCACAGAGAGGGAGGTCGTATTCAGAGCTGACCTGGCATTCAGCAACAGCAGCCATAGACCTAAGGGCTGGCTGATATGACAACCGGAATTCTCCAGGTTGGAGGAGGGGCTGGCACATGGCTCAGTCACTATCACCCTGTGCTTTGTGCCCCTTATCCAACCTACTCCACCTTCCACACCATACTTTCCCATACCCTGAACAGCTGTGATTTGCCTCAGCTCCTTTCCTCTCATCCCAGACACATCTCCCCTCCATCAATAAAAAGATACAACTATAACAGCTGCCACCACCCCACACAAATTAAAAACAATTAAAACCTTCCAACAGCCTGGGTTGGAGGAGAGAATGACCCTGCCCATGGCCAAATATCTGGGGATGCACCAGTATCCCAGTTGTTTCTGTGAGTAATTAGTAATTAGGATAATTACATTAATAAACCTTATTTGCTGATGCTGATTGTTTCTTATTCTTTTTGTGTTCCGTAAACTTCAAAAGAGTTCAGTTTGTTATGCAGAAGCTTCAGAAAAATATTTGGACTCCTAATGTGAGAGGATGACCTAATTCTGCAGATTTTGTCTTGGACTCTTGTCTGTCTTGATTTTAAACAGATTAGGTTTGGAGAGTATGTTTACTTTGAAGAAAATGGCTGCATATTTCGTTCGAAGCTGGGAGAAATAGGTATGAGTCCCTCTTGCTTTTGCCCAGGGTGGTTTCCTTTTACTGTTTTCAGTGTTTCCATGCACAGTTTTAGCAACAACAAAAAAGGGCAGTCAAACCACATTACAACAAAGAGTGATTTAGCAAGGGGACATGTTTTGTGTCCCTACCAGAGGTGCTGGTGGTGAAGACTCTTAAGGCTATTGGACCTGAGGGATTTCAGCATCCATTCTGTGACTTTCTTGTCTGAAGTAGTTTGGGAGTGCATGGTCTCCCAAACTACCACTGGCTCTCCACCCTTGGTGGCTGGTGGATCAGGAAGACTTGCTGAGGGAGTTTCCCACTGCTTTGCCAAGGCTTCTGCCAAGGCTCTAACCACAGCCTGAGATAGGTAAATAACTCCAAGCTATCAATATAATTGTTCCCAAATATCCTTGATTCAATTGTAGAGTCAAATTAGCACCCTGATACAGTTTTGTGTTGGCTTCAGTCCTTCCTGATAGGTTGGACCCAGTAGGTGCTGGGAGACTTCTGTTCTACCTCATGACCATTGGCATATGAAGTGCCCAGAGTATCTATTCTGTCTTCTGTGCTCTTCAATATCTACATGTAATCAATAGGCTGGCAGTTGTTCTTATCTAAGAGCCATATGTTGGGCTTTGGTTCATAATCTGTGACACAGTACATTTGAAACAACCTAATTTTAGGGGCAAAAATCTGATGATAAGGCCAGATGTAAAGTACCGTATTTTTCGCCCTATAGGACACACTTTTCCCCCTCCAAAAATGAAGGGGAAATCTGGGTGCGTCCTATGGGGTGAATGCAGGCTTTCGCTGAAGCTTGGAGAGCGAGAGGGGTCGGTGCGCACCGGCCCCCCACGCTCTCCAGGCTTCAGGAAGACATCCGCAGCCTGGGCAGCCCTGCGGGAGTTCCCGCATGGCTGTCTAGGCTGCGGATAGCAGCCTGTTTCCCAGAGCGCCGGGCGTGCTGAAAGCAGAGCGCCCGGCGCTTCGGGAACACATCCTCAGCCTGGGCAACCCTGCGGGACCTCCCACAGGGCTGTCTAGGCTGCGGATAGCAGCCTGCTTCCTGGAGCGCCGGGCGCGCTGAAAGCAGAGCGCCCGGCATTTGGGAACGCATCCGCAGCCTAGGCAACCCTGCGGGAGTTCCCGCAGGGCTGTCTAGGCTGCGGATAGCAGCCTGCCACCCGGAGCGAGGGGCGCCCTGAAGCAGAGCATCCCTCACGCCGGGCAGACATCCGCAGCGTGGGGAGCCCTGCAGGAGTTCCCCGCAGGGCTCCGTACCCTGCGGATAGCAGCCTGCCTCCCGGCGCAAGGGGCGCCCTGAAGCAGAGCGCCCCTCGCGCCGGGCAGACATCGGCCAGCCCCACAAGCTCGGGGGACAGCAGGGAGGCGCAGCGCCGCCATCCCGCTGTTCCTCGACCTGGTTCGGTTTCCCCGACCTGGTTTTGGGGGGGAAATAAAGGGGGGGGGAATTTCCTTTATTACCCCCCAAAAAAACTAGGTGCGTCCTATGGGACGGAGCGTCCTATGGGACGAAAAATACGGTAATAAAGCTTTACACTTTGTCAAGCTTTTCTTTTGTCAAAATTATTGGGTGGAATCCAGAGAGCCCCTGCTACAACTGGAAGGTATTTCTCCTTATGTAAGAGGGATCGCCTATTTCTACCAATTTTCTCCAGTCCGACTGCAACAATTCAGATTTCATCCCACACCATTCCAGAGAGTCCTCTGTGTTTAAAAAGCCAGCCCACCCCATTCCAAAGGAGTTTCCACTGCAGAAGATCATCCAGAGTGGTAAGCTTTTTGGGTTGGGCAGGCTTCTTGCTAGATATGGAATCTTTATCACCTGGACAGTACAAATATTGCCATTAGAATTAGTTAAGATAGCATTATCAAGCAAAAAAAAAAAAAAGTAGCACAGTCTTATTCATTCAGCTGTGACAGTCTGTGTAATCCTATACATGTCTGCTCTGAAGTAAATCTCTTTTAATTCAGTGGCACTCAGGTAAGTGGGATTTAGAGCTGCATTCTAATTCCATTTGAAGAACTGGGACATAGATTTGTCATACCTAATTTGTTCCATGACTATCTTTAGCTGGATCAACGTGCATGTATACATTGCTACTTAATAGGAAAACACTGCATTTATAAAAAAATCACAAAAAGTACACAGAAACAATAGCTGTTCTCTGTATTAGGTTTACAGTATTGCTTTTTCTTTCTTACATTGTAGATGAAGGAAACAATGAAATACTGCTTAGTACAGAAGCACTACCGTTTCATAATTCCCTTATCCAACGCATCCGAATTTGCCCAGATCACAGATATATGGCTGTTGCGATTAAAAGTGCACATTCTGAAGAGTCCGCGTGTATTGTTGTGAAATTAGACACATTACCAAAAGTTGAATGTATCATCCCAAATGTCTTTAGCTTTGGTAAGCTGTTAGCATAAACCTCTTTCCTTCGTAATGTAATATATCTCAGATGGAAGACCAGACTGTTATTGAATCTTCACAACATTCAGGTTTATCAGATGTTGCCCATGCATTTGTAATTTGTCTAAATAGATCCCTGTTTCATCCTCCAATTAAAATAAAACTAATTGTGGCATTTGTGTTGCTGGGAAAGAAATTTGTGTCACTTATAATGAGTGATGTCACGGGCACTGCTCAATAGGCACTTGCAAACAGGAGTAAGTTGGCTTGACAGGACAGGGTGGCAGTGAGGTGGGAGCTGCATGGATGCACTGGCAGGAGGGCCAGATTAGGGCTGTGTGTATGTATCACAGAGCCAATTTCACTGCTGCTCTATCCCACCTTCAGACCGTTCCAATAAGTGGCAGTGACGTTGCTGTCAGGAGGGAGGAGTTGCAGCACTGCACCAACTGCTTTTGCTCACAGCTGCATCCTCAAAGCTGCCGTGTTTATGCTAGCTGTGAGGAAACTTTAATATTCACCACGATAAAATATTTTGCATCAGGTACTGTGGGGGAAAGGAGCAGGAAGATTAAATTGAAGAAAGATGACTAAATCTAACTCAATAATGAAAAACTGTTACATGCTTATTGTGTAAGAGAAGGAAAGGTTCTAAGCCTGAACTGGTTATCTGTTGTTCTTCACATTAAATTCAAGCTTCTAGTCAGTGACTGAGATCCAAAGGGTCACACACAGACTACAGTGCGTGCTTGGAAGATTTTTTATTTTCACATTTTCTACTTAGCATAAATGAACACAACAGATTTCTCAAATTCCAAAACTAAAATCCTGGTTCCTTCCATAATTGCAAAAACACTAATTTGACTTTCCTTCTCCCCCCCCCCCCGCTCCACCCCCCAGAATGGGCTGCACATGAGATTCTCCTCTATACCACCCAGAAGAACCTACAGTGTCATCATGTGTATTTATGCGATTTTAATAAAAAACATTCTGAGCTTGTTTATACAGAACACGATGCAAGGTAACTGAATATATTGAACAGTTTTCTCTCTGTGTGATCCATTTTGTATGTAATGAGAAACTGTGGTTTGCTTTAGCCAGGATCAAAACACTACTGTCAGTATGCAGTGGGAGGTCTGAAGGAGGAGCACGTGGACCCAAAAATCATTTCTAGCTTAATATTAGGGGTGTGCACTGACCACAAGATTTTGTTTGGACCCTGATTCCGCTCTTTGGAAAACAGCCTGCCTTGGTCAAAAGTGCTTTGGATGCTGTCTGATTCGGCTCAACATCTGAGTTCAGGGCGGGGGGAGATTTCATTCCCTCCCCCTTGCTCTTGGGAAATCAAAATGTATATAAGTGGAGCAGCAGATCTTTGCCCTTTCTAAGTAATTGGTTATAAAGTATTTGAAGAGTTTTATCATATGCCCTCTCATTCTTCTCCAGACAACACATAGGCAGTTCCTTCTCATTTGCTCACAGGGCAAATGAATATAGGCTTGGATCCAGCCAGGTTACAGCTCAAGCAAAAGGCCTTTTTGCTTATATAGTGGAGGTCTTCTGATGTTGGATGTTGGTTGCTTCCCTACCTGCAGCTGCACCTCTCCCACTCCCCATACTGTATTAGGTACAATTCCCAAGCATCCCTCAATCCTCAGAAGCAGCTCTTCATAAGGCAGCTGCAAGGGAGTTGGGGAAGTCCTGTTTCATTCATAGAATTCTTCTCGTTTCGTAGAATGCAAACCATATTGATTTGGCGCACTTATCTGTGTGCTGAAAGTATGCAACAAGAGCAGGTTTTGATCAAATACTTGTGTGTTTTTTTAAAAAGCAGAAATATTTCTTTTTCCTAAAAAGAAGGAAGTAAAGATCAGCTTGTAGTTTTCTTGGAAGAGTTACAGTTCCGTTGACAAAGAGGCTAATTTGCTGGGTTTTATGCATAAAGGGTCCACAACTTTCTAAGTCCTGTCCTGCATTAGTTTGTCCGTGCCCTGATTTTTAGTCCTTTGGAAAAAAAGCTGAATAAATTTTTGACTAACCTCTTGTTCTAATATTTCTGTCTTGAATCTTTTCTTTACCTTTCCTTCCATGAAGCTGACAATCTGCCTTTTCAGAAAGTTGTAAAATAGATTGTGGAGCCTAAATTCTACACATTACTGTACATGAGATAATGGTTTAAAAGGAAACACAAACCTGTAAAAATGAAACACGAAAATGTGAGAATTGCAGACTAAAAGAGAACATTAAACTCCAGAGTTACGTAAGGAACAAAACGAATGCACTCAGAGATAAATAGGTATTGGGTTGGATCCAGTCTTATTTGGATTTAGTTCCCACTGAAATCAGTGGACTTAATTCATGACAATTTGCCCCATTGATTTCCTTGCCACCTAAGTCCAACTAAGTCTTTATCCAACCCAATAAACTTTTCATGTATTGTTAGATATGGATGTGGCTTGCAAAATTCCTCAGTGAAAGTAATATGCAGTGATTCAATATTTTGAAAGATTTCGTATTCTGGAGTAGATGCCAAGCTATGGTACTCGCTATACACATCCAAAAATGTGATGATGATGTAGTCATGACAGGGAAAGGACCGGAGCCCAGTAGCCAAAGGTCCCAGGTTCAGTCCAAAGCATCTCCAGTCAAAAGTTGCATTACCCTGGGGGTAATCAGTCAAAGGCTGCATGCCAAAAGTGTGCAGCCCTTAAGCCAATGAGATGGAGCCAGAGCAAAAAGTGGGTGAGGCAGACTGCTGGGGGAGGCACAGAGGACTCCTGCCAGAGATCTGAACTGATTGTTTGCCAAGAGGCAAATACAGCCCCGCTGTGGGCTAGATCAGCAAATAGGAATCTGCTTTACTGAGTCAGACTTTATCCCTAGATTCATGTTACTGTAAATGGCATTGGATAGCACCCCCCCCCCATTTTTTTGGAAACTCCTGTTATCCAAATATCTTGGCTAGCTCTACTGGTGATGTTTGCTAATAGTTTGTTGTTTTCTTGCAGATATTTTGTGGATCTCTACTGCACGAAAGACAGGCGCTTTCTGACTATAAACAGTAGTAGCAAAAATTCCTCTGAAGTGTGGTTGGTTGATTGCCACCACCCTTTTGAGTCTCCGGTTCTTGTGCAACAACGAACAGAAGGAGTCATTTACCACATTGAACACAGAAACAATGAGTTGTACATTCTTACTACATATGGAGACCCAGTGGGATACAAGGTATATAGGCAGAGGCGGAGCTAGCTTCTCCAGCACCAGGAGCGGCACACATGCTGTGCACCTGGGGGCGGGGGCTAGCTGCCTGCGGGGACGGGGCGAGCGTCCCAGGGGGGCGCCGTGGCGATATCACCCCCCTCAGGGATGACACTTGAGGCGGACCACACCCACCACATCCCGCTTCCTCCACCAGTGGGTATAAGATGCTGATATGCAAGTAAGTGTTTAGGTTGCTTCAAACATCTAGTAGCAAGAGATCCAAACTATTCAATATAGTAAGTAAGTACTTCAAAGAAAAGTAAGTACTTTTAAAAAGTCCATACAGTGGTACCTCGGGTTAAGAACTTAATTCGTTCTGGAGGTCTGTTCTTAACCTGAAACTGTTCTTAACATGAAGCACCACTTTAGCTAATGGGGCCTCCCGCTGCCGCCACACTGCCACTGCATGGTTTCTGTTCTCATCCTGAAGCAAAGTTCTTAACCTGAGGTAATATTTCTGGGTTAGCAGAGTCTGTAACCTGAAGCGTCTGTAACCTGAAGCATATGTAACCCGAGGTACCACTGTATATGGCTTTCAGGTGCATGGGCCTGGTCCCTAACATGTATCCTCTTTTCCTCCACCCAGGGGACACACAAAAAATCATTCAGAGGAGACTTCCAGCCATTGGAATGAAATGTACACTTTAAACTGAATGAGCTCAACTAGACTTCTGGATTTTGTAGTGTTGAGTTCTAGACACCTTCATTATTATAAAGATAGGGTGAAGTAAGGATAATGAGATGGTAGATTCCCTGATCGTGTTGGATGGCTTTAAAAGGGGATTGGACAAATTCATGTAGGATAAGGCTGTCAGTGGCTACTAGCTGGGATAACTGCATATGAATGCCAGCTGCCGGGGAGCACAAGTCCTGCTTCTCGATTTCTCGTAGGCATCTGGTTAACCACTGTGAGGACAGGATGCTGGACTAGATAGTGCTTTTGTCTGCTCCAACAGCCCTCTCCTTATCTTCTTCATTACTTGGAAATGTAATAGAGAAAGCAAGCAAGCAGGGGTACAATGTTTGATCAGTTACATTAATCAATCTTTGGATTGGCTTAAAAATGCTTTCTATACATTTTGAAGAATAGAGTGTACATTAGATGCTTTCAGTACAATGTGCACTTAGGATGTGCGTGTTTCAAAAATACAAGCTCTGAAAAAAATGTAATAATTTGACATTACTAATGACAAGCATCATAATGCATTTTCCCACCAGTGCCTGCACCAGTTTTCAATTTATTTTGAAGTTTTATTGTGGTTTTAATTGTTTTTAGTTATTTAGAAACTTACTGTTTCCCCCACCCCTGTAACTCTTGACAGCAGAGCAGTCACTTAGCACACTGAGGCAAATATGAACAAGGTTATATCCTTCATGTGAAGCAATGCTTCATCATTCAATAGACCTTCCACTTTACTTATTTTATTTAGTCCTTTAAAAACTGGTTGGTTGAATTTTAAATGCAGCAAATGGATATCCCTTCTCCAGCAAAACTACACAATCCCATTCATTCCTTGAATAGCACCCTCACGGTAGGTTGGTGCTAGTTCAAGTACAGACCTATGAAATAATTCTATATTTTTGTTATTATGTATTTGAGAAAGATGGCTTTGAAATTCCATTGAAGGAGCTTCTGCTACTATTTCCTATTCTCTTTCATAAAAAGCAGAAGAGTTTTCGACCTCCAGGGTTAGTATAGATCTATCACAGTTTCCATCATTAAATTCACTTTCATAGTATACATTGTTCTAGAAATGCAATTCTGTCCATTTCCACTCCTTAGCTCTGGTGCCCTCGTGGACTCCATTTCATCTTTTTATTGTCCTTCCTGCTGAGATATGTGGAAGCTTATAGGAAACACTGTAAAATAGTTGAAAAGAAATATAAAGTATTGCTCAGCTGGGCACTTTCTTGATTTATGGCTGGTATTTGAGGAGAAACTGAAAACGTGTTACTTGGTTGGTTATTCCTTCTTTTGTTGCATTACCCTCAAATGATCAAAATTTAACATCCATATGCAGTATACTGTATATACATGACCTCCTGCTACAGAGGACAGTGGGAGAGAGATTATAGGTTTACCATTTCATCTGAAGACGAGTCGGAACATACTTGTTCAGATGCCATGAAGCAACTAAGCACTACCTCTCCGGAATATCCAGAACTGTCAGGGGTAACATTACACTAAGCTGCTAACATGTCACCTATTGCTACTGTAAGGATATTAGTAGTTGGGGAAAAGATCAGCTTTCTGAAAATGTTTGAATATTGCATAATTTCCATTTTTTACATGTAGGTGTTTGGACTCTTTGTTTTGTAGCTAATGAAAGCTCCAGTTGACTCATGTGGTTTGGAGAACTGGCTGCCCATTTACACAGTGAAAGAAAACACCAAATTAATTGACTTAGAGATGTTCAAAGACTACTGTGTTGCATTTCTGAAGTTCTGCGGTCATCTGTATTTAGATATTTTTTCTTTTGTGTCAAACTCAGTTCGCAACGTTAAGGTAAATGTTTTGATTTATATACCCACCCACACATTTTTAAGCGTAGTATTTTATTGCTCAAGATTAATTTATAAATTAAGGGCAAGTTGTAGTTTGAACTGGGTTTATCCAGATGCCTCCAGGGATACACAAAAAACTATGATATAATCAAGGTAACATAAATAGTGGTACACAAGGTGTGTTTTTTTAAGCTGGAACTCTCTGGAACTGAGTTCCGGCACCTCTCAAGTGGGCACCATTGCTATTATAAGAGAACACAGGAGGTGTTCATGGTGAGTTCCGGCACCTCTTTTTCTAGAAAATTAGTACTGGTTGTACGTTTCATATAGCCTTATAGTGCTGACTGCAAGGGTGATGGATTATAGTGTGGAAAACTGAGTATTTTGGAAAGTATCATTTTAGATCATAGTAGATCTAGAAACAACAACAAAACATTGTGACTGCAGTTGTATAACCACTTACCTGGAACTAAACCTCATTGAACTCAATGGAATCTCTGACTTTCTAAGGATTCTGAGGGAATGGTTATCAGCATTATGGAATTACCTTTTGTTTCTGTAGCTCTCGCATTGCAGATTTTTATGCTGTGAGCATATAGGATAACAACTACATTGTGCTGCCATTAGCCTTGGTTAAGTGGTTGCTTATAGTATCAGCCTGTTAGGCGGTGACCCAAAAGTCCTGAGCCCCTGCCCCCACTTTTAAAGTGTGTTTTACTTTGTTTGTAGGGCTGCTACCCAATTCTGGTTCAATGATGGAATAAAGTCCAATTGACTAATGAACAAGATGATCATTTTAAAAGCTTTAATTTAGAAGTTGTTTTTATGATGAAATGGAGGAAGTTGTGCTGTTGATTGTAAAAACCATCATTTGCTCCCCCAGATTTGTCTCTGTGGGACAGTTTTGGAGCTAGCAAAATGTAATACTGAGGTCCAGCACCAAGGGCCTTCTGGCGGTTCCCTCACTGTGAGAAGCGAAATTGCAGGGAACCAGGCAGAGGGCCTTCTTGGTAGTGGTGCTCGCCCTGTGGAATGCCCTCCCATCAGATGTCAAAGAAATAAACAACTATATGACATTTAGAAGACATCTGAAGGCAGCCCTGTTTAGGGAAGTTTTTAATGACTGATGTTTTAATGTATTGCTAATCTTTTGCTGGAAGCCGCCCAGAGTGGCTGGGGAAACCTAGCCAAATGGGTGGGTTAGAAATAAATTATTAGTAGTATTAGTATTAGTATTAGTATTAGTATTAGTAGTAATAGCACAGCTATTTCCTAAATGCTTATTTTCAAAGCAAAACAATGTTACAAAATATTGGGTGGTTTTGTAGCATAAATGAAAAATCATTAGTGGTTTATCTTACATACATAAAACACAAAGTGAATCCTTATACCTGAACCATTATTTATTTCCATAGTAAATTGCTGCATACAGTCTTGAAGTAACCTATATAAATAACCCTTTTAATTAACCAAAAAGCCTCGTTTGTCTAAGATTATTAGATAAAATTCACCATATTTCCTTCCTTAAAGCATAACTTTGTCAATCCAGGCTTTCTTTTGAACTTTATAAATCAAAGGACAAAAGCTCTGCTCTTAAAAACCTTAGGCTAACTCCTGCCTTAAAACTCAGTTATCTGAAAATATTTCAAAATTTCACTTAGCATACTTGCAATAAAAGGGTAAACTTACACACTCCCCAACCATTCTCCTAATTGTAGCATTCAAGTTAAATATAGTACCCATTTTGTAGGATTTTCTAGACTTTTTAGAATGATCCTCTTCAGGTTTTAATCAATTACACGGAGTGCGGTTTTTCTGTGTAAAGCTTTTTGACTCTGACTGCCACAATTCCCAAAGCCTTTATCAACCTACTAACCAGAACTCCTTAAAAGAAAGTAAGCAGTGGGTAAGAGACCCTGCTGCTCTCAGAGAATGAATCCTGATTCTTTTCATTTCTAGGAGTGTTAAGTCTTAAAACATAATAGCCCTGAGTTTCTGAGTGTAGCTGTGCCAAAAAAATGATTTTGTTCTTCACAGTGGCTAGCGCTGGGAATAGAGTCAGAGGCAAGGATTCTAAGTGGCTGAGCTCTGCAAAGCCGATGCATGGCCTCAGTGCAATAACTGACGTTGACTTGGCTGCATTTCAAGCTGGATAGAGTGAGAGAGCAGACAGAGGGGGGGAGAAGAAAGATTTTCAAAACTTCCTAATAATACAGGGGTGTCAGGGGTCGGTAAGACAAACATCCCTAAAACAGATACATAAGCATCACAATGGCTATGTTTTCTTAATGCCAATATTATCGTTTTTAAAGGTGACTTGATTGCTTTGCTCGCTCCCTTTGTTTCAAAACAACGTAATATTCTGTTTTCCTCTTGCATTATTGTTGAACCTCATTAAGCAGCTTTTAAGGAAGGGGGAAAGTTAGCTAAATTGTTGCCTTCATTGTCATACTGTTTCTTTTGACTTTTTTCCCTCTTAATTTACGGAGAGGAAGAGAGAGGGGGGAAAGCAACTCCTGGCAAACACATATGCCAAAGTTAATTAAGCTTGAAGTTTGAATCCTTTCATCAGAGGGGAAGCCTGGGATTCAGTTATGTAGAGAAAATCTCAAAGACTGGGGAGGGGGGTATTACTAACTGTGGGTTTTTTACTCCCAGCTACCTGCCTGGGCCTGTTCATTTGAATTGGATCCTCATCCTGAGTACACCGCCAGCACTTTCTACTTTTGGCTCCTCTCCCCTGTTCAACCTCCAGTACGTTTTGCATATTCATTGATGAAAAACAGCCTTACTGAGCACACTGAGCAAGAGGTGCCAGTTACAATGAATTGTCACACTGTACGATTAGAAGCTAAAAGCAAGGTAAGACTTTCTGTTCTCTTCCTGCCCTTTTTAAAGCAGCAACTGGAAGGAAAATAGAAATTGACACCATATAATGGCCTCTAGATGTGCATATTCACTAGACCTATGAGTGTTTCTTTTCAGCCCTGCAGAAAGAGATTCGGGAAGTTTAAATTTGCTTTTTTCTGTTTTTACTTTTTGAGAATATTGAAGGTGATGGTGTTATTTCTTTAGGCAAGAGAGAATGTCATGGCACACAAGACTTACTGAGTTGTCTCTTATCACATTAATACTTGGTTTATCCTGCTGGAAGAGAAGGACAGCTTGACATCACCTGCTCCTACTACAAATAAAAACAACCAGAAACAAGTAACATGTGCAACAGGAAAAAAATGTTCACGCAAAAATCCCCTCCCACAAATTTTTTTCCTGTGTGTTAAATCTTTATGAAATGCACAGGAGAGTAAAATAACCTGACTTTGCGTTATGTGTGTTTCAGTCACACAGGGGAAAATTCATCTCAAACCTACAAGCTTTAAGAAAAATATATATGTATATAGAAATGTTAAGTTTATAACAAAAGCTTTGCTGCTGCACTAAGTGCTAAGCTGCTCAGGTCATAATGCAGATGGGTATCATTAGAGGGTGCAGGAGGAGCCAGTTGCTTTCATGGTTTATAGATTTCTCAGGTGTTGCATTTAAATGAGTTTTTATGCTCCACATTGGTAAACGAACCCAGTGGCAGGCTAATCTTCGTTTCATTTGTCAAGAGTGCTTTTGCGCAAAGTGCCAAGGAATTACTGTAATAAGAAAAACATGTTTAAAATATGTAATTGAAGCTTTTGTACCTGTGTATTCCTAGTGAACTTTGAAACATCCTTTAATGCAAAATACTCCCTCATTTTCAGGATGAAACTTGCGTGCCAATTACAGTTTTTCATAAAGCCAATTCTAAAGAGCTGCGCAGGATGCCACTTCTGGTTCATGTATATGGAGCTTATGGCATAGATTTGAACATGAGCTTTAAAGCAGAAAATTTAATGCTAATCAAGGATGGGTGGATATTAGCATACTGTCATGTTAGGTAAGATCTATACACTAAAAGCCACTGTCTTGTGGCTTCTGTTGCTTGTGAAAATGTGATTGTTATATTCTCAGTGCTTGAAATTTTCCTTTTGACTGTAAAGTTTCCCATTCCATTTGCAAACAATTTCCTCCTAAATTTATGTTACCTACTGTTTGCTGATAATTTCTTAAAATTTCTGTTGCTTAGATGAATTCAGTTAAATTCAAGGGATGAAAATGCAACTGTTTCAGTTCTTTGGCTTAGTGCAAACTGATTGGATTTTTGAAAGCCTTTTAGAGATCTTTCATACTATTCCTGTGGTAGCTTCCACTATATAAGGCTTTTCTTTCACCATGTCATATAAAATTATATTCTGATATTGCATTAGCCTTGTGGTGATTTACATTCACCTAAAAACAAATAATGAAGGATATATTTGCCGACAAAAGAAGTCACCTTAATTTTTTAAAAACCTATCCCATTAACTAATTTTTCTGTCTTTTTTGTGGCAGCATATAAAGGACTTTCAGCTGTTCCACATAGCTCTAAATAACCAATAACAGCAGCTGAAAATAATTCAAAAGAAAATAGTTTCTCTCTCTCTGCGTGATTTTGTAAAACAACAAAATAAACAATAAAATGTAGTTAGGCAAATCATTACTGGTTATTTTTTGTGACATCACAGTAAATACATAGCATATCTCAGGATGCCAGGTCCTCAATTCAGTTTTTATGGAATTGACAAATATAAAACATAAATATATAAAAAGTAAGATTTCTCCCCCTTGTTGTAACACAACATGGAATTAAGCCCAATTTGTTTCAGTGGAATTTAATTCCCTATATATGTTCTTGGGATTGTGGCCTTGGGCTGCCCTTGGTTTCAATAGGACAAAAAAAGATAAATCATTTGGAAATGTATTCTGTGCCAGACTTTTTAAAAGAAGCAGAATTTGTGCAGAAGCAAAAAGAAAAAAGAAAAGGCCCCAATGTTACTCAGAAGTGGGCACTAGCCTGAGTAAGCCATGCTTCTTCTTTTTGTACTTCTGCTATGATATGGGACTAGCGGGTCTCATCTGTGTGCTCTGTGAGTCCAAACAACCCCTGGAGCTCACCAGTCTGAAATTACAGCAGAAGTGCAAATGACTCCCATATCTGCTTCCCTTCCTTCCACATAATGTTTAAGCAGGCTTTTCACCATCTCAACCTTATTTCCAAATCCGAAAACTGCTCTGGGTGGTAGGTCTTACCTGTAAATTTATAAATGCTGTTTGTTTGCATTGTTTCAAGAATGTGAGCAACTTTATACCTCTTTCCTAATTAGCGAACCTGACTAAGGTATTGAAAAATATGTGCTGAGTTTTAAAATACAGTAGCTTAGGCAAGAAATAATAATACAATCACTGTAAAATGATACTTTGCTGTCAGAACAGTTTTAAGAATTTCGCACTGCCTTGAAGTGAATGAATAACTAAATAAATAACTTTTCTTCAGAATACTAAATGTAATGGGTTGGGTCCAGCTGAGCACTCCCCTGAATGGAAGTCCTTGCATTTCCAAAGAAGCTTTAAGCAAAGGCTTGTAGGGACAAAAGAGGGAGGGACAGCGCTTGCCAATTTAGGTTGACCAGGTGTCTTACTTTACGGAGGACAGACTTCTGTTTGAAAAGCTGCCCATTCCAAGTTCAGTTTAATGTTTAAAAAATAATAAGGGAGAACAGTTAGCTCCTAGACAACAGTCTGAGGAGACACATAGGTCACAGACTCCCCAACACTGCTGAGATTATTTGTATTTCTGCTTAAATTGTTGCAATCATTTCTGAGTTTGCATACATAAATATTAGCATATGCACATTTTGTGCAAATCAGTGCCCTCTTTCACCCTCTCTTTCGCTATGGACTTCCAATTTTTAAGTGATGCGTAAATAAGCACCCTATGCTGCTTTCCACCTGCAGCCCTCTGCCCCACCTCCCATTTTCTTCCAGGGGTTCCCCGGTCCTCTGAAGCAGGTTTTCAGGGCATGGAAGAGAAAGAAAGGACCTGCAAAAATTGCCTTGTCCCCTTTCATATGCAAAAGTTGACTGCACTCACGCATGGATCTGTGAATCTAGCTGTTTTATCACTTCTTTAGCTGTAAATATTTGACAGAAACATGTGAAAGCTTTAAAAAGACATCAAAGCACATGTATTGGCCCATTTATGACATAGGAAGGCTTCCATATATATTAGAAAATGATGGTTGTCTTTTAAGAGATGTGTAACATTTCTCAGTAGTTTCATTGTTGTTTTATTTGTCAGAGGTGGAGGAGAGTTAGGCCTGAGATGGCATAAAGATGGCAGTACCACAAAGAAGCACAATGGTATTCAAGACCTCCAGGCCTGCATAAAGTTGTTACATGAACTGGGATATTCTCAGCCAGCGCTTACAGCACTGATGAGTGTGAGTGCTGGAGGAGTTCTTGCAGGAGCTCTCTACAATAATGATCCACACCTTATCAGAGCTATGGTTTTACAGGTGAGATTGCTCCTACCACATTTCATTCCACTCAAGTGCAAAGGTTTTTGCAGGCCGCCTACCCCTGCTTAAAGATCAGAGTGAAGGGGACTTAAAAGGGAAGTGAGAAAAGACTTGCAATAGCTTTTGCAAGTCTCCCTCTCTTCCCTTTTAAGTCTCCAGCCTCACTTTGATCGAAAAGTGGTGGGGGTCCCCTCAGAGGCTTTTGCAAGCCTTCCCATCCCCCGTTTAAGATAGCAGCAAAAAGGAATTTCCCCATCTCTGGCTTAGAGGGTCTGCACCGGGTGTTGGACCAGAAAGACAGACTTATTATTACGTATTTATTAAATTTATACACCGCCCTATACCCACAGGTCTCAGGGCGGTTCACAGGAGAAAATCATGATATAAAAACACAAAATACATAATCAAAATAAAAAGAAAAACCCAATAACACACACACACCCCACACCAATAACCACCTTGTTGTCCAGTGGCATCCCTGGCCCAGGGAGCCTCTGCCGTGGTGTTGGAGAACTTCAGTATCCATATGGAGGTTGCCACAGAGCCGCCTTGGGACTTCATGGCATTGCCTCAAAGGGTCATCAGCCCAACATGTTTGGCAGGACACACTGTTGGTGTAGTTTTCACTCCCAAGTGGTATGAGAAATGGACCACAGATTGGGGCGGGGTTGGGGGTGCAATGCACACCCTTGTCATGGTCAAATTGTTACATGGTGAAGTTTGAACTACTTGCAGCAATTTCCCCCTGTAATGGTGGTGGGCCCGTTCCAGATGTTTTCCCTTCAGAGACTGATGGCACCTGTGGGGTTGCTGGACCTGTGGGGTTACTCTGGGGGTCTTGCAGCAAAGGTAGTTGATGATCTTATTGAATTTGCTTATCCATTTGCTATGGGTAACAACAACATCAACAACAGTATTTTTATATGCCACCCATCTGACTGGGTTGCCCCAGCCACGCTGGGTGGTTTCCAACAATTATATCAAGATGGAACAGGCATTGTAGTTATTTAAAAGGGCTTACAAGGATCTCTCAAAAGTGGGTGAATGGGCAAATGAAATTCAGTAAGCAAATGAAAAATATTTCTCCTCAGATGTGTTAACCATTAATATGCATGAAGATTCTACAACTAATTTCTTACAACGACCTAATTAGAGGACCTGGTTAGGTACACTGGGAAATATTGGCAAGCTTACATATTATATCTGGTTTTTTCATTTTATATAGTTAGTTTTCTGAAGTTGTGAAAAAAAACCATTCATTTTATTCACAGGCCCCATTCCTGGATGTTTTAAATACAATGTTGGACCCTCATCTTCCCCTAACTATTGAAGAACAAGAAGAATGGGGTAATCCTTTGGTTGATGAGACTTGCAAGGAGTATATCCAAAGCTACTGTCCCTATCAGAATATTAGGCCACAGGTACCAGTTCATCTATTCTTAATACCTGTACTACAAAGTGCATTTCAAGCAACTGGGGGGGGGGGAATGAATCTCAATAGCAGTTTTTACAGTTCAGATAGGTGTTTTTTTTAGGAATGGTTGTGATCCAAGCCAAGTTAAGAACCTTCAATAGGACGGTACTAAGAAAGTGCTTTAGGCTGCGGATCTGTACACGCTTACCTAGGAGCCCTATTAAAAGCAATTAAACTAACTTCTTAGTAACATATCTAGAATTTCCCTGTAACTCTTCATACTTACAAACATACATAATTTTATCTGTATGGCACCTTTCCACAGTTCAAACCATGCTCAAGGCAGCTTACAACATGAAAAAATGCACAAGTCATGTGCAACCCCTAGCAGAAAGTAAGTTCACAGGCAAGCCCAAATTATCCAGGCTCCTTTGCAAAGTAACGAGACATGGAAATGTTATTGCCAAGATCAGATATAAGCCTAAGTAGAGAGAAAGCAAGATTAGGAGAGAAAAAAGCACCACATCACATCCTTAACATAACACATCTCTCAGTTGTGTTGAAAGAGAGAGGAAGATGAATTGCAGCAGCGATGGGCTGGCAAGATTTGCCTTTGAGTTTCTTTCCAGTCTCAGTCATACAAGATGTTTACAGGGGGGTTTTAACAGAAAGCAAGTGCAGTGCTTTACTAAGTCACAGATAAAATCTTTTCATAATTGTCAAATATGACTGGCATGAGTGGTTTCTTCATCTATATAATCAAATCTGTGAAATGCTTCTCTCCTGCTGACATTGCAGAGCGACTTCCACCCAGTTAAAAATTAATTGCTGCACAGTAACTCCATCCTGCTAACTCAGACATTTCCTCTCCTCCCCAACCCCCCTCCCTTTGCTCTAGAATTATCCTTCTGCTTTCATCACAGCCTCTGAAAACGATCAACGCATACCTCTGGCTGGGTTATTAAGATACATCTGTAAACTGAGAAAAGCTGTACAAGCTTTCCATGCCCAAGACAACTGCACAAAAGTGAAAGGTAAAATTAGAAATCTGTGGTAGGCTGGATCATTATATGAGAAATTGTTGCAATGGAAGGACTCTTGCCCCAATCCAACAATAACATGCATATGTACAAATATTTTTGTCCAAGCTGAATTCTTGCAATCTCTGAGCAAGAGCTATGCAAACACAAAATTAAATAAGAGCTCTGCAGTTGCATCAACCTTTTCTTCAAGGGATGGGGATGTGGGTCTAGATTCAGTTTTCAGCTTCCTTCCCCATCCCTCCATTCCAAACAGATTATTGGTACCACTGGAAGATCCAATTCAGGTCAGATCAGATTATTTTCCTGTTCCTTTTTTGCGTTTGCTGCTGCTTGCACATACATTACAAAGCAACTGAAGCAAGAACTACTTTAGGACTCTTGTGTGACTCAGCTCAAGGCTTCAGTTCCTCATGAGTAAACAGAGAAGGGTGATGGCTGGATCTTAAGTCACAGTCATGGTGGTTGAAGGGCTGGGTCATGAGGGCTGAAATGCTCAGTAGAGATTACATGGACAAACGGGGGTTTCTGCTGTGTGGACATCTACCATCATCGGATGGGCAAGATGATGAGGACACACTTTTTACGAAGAAGCAGATTAAATCAGACCAGCACACCTTTTGACCAGAAGCTTGATAAATCTCCCAAGTCCTTGTTGAATGTACATATGGGGAGTGGTAATGTTGGTGTAAATGCATTCTTTGCCTTAAAGTGCATCACATGGAATGGCTATTATGATAATTGTCCTGGCAAAACCAGCATCTGGGTCACTTTTTTTTTTTTTACGGGATGAATGACCAAAATGAGTTTATATTACGAAAGTGCTTTGGAGCGAACAGGTACAGGATACCTTCAAAATATTCCATCCCCATCAGTCATTAAGCATAACAGGTTGTGACAAAATACTGAATTTACTTTCATCACCAGCAGAGTATATACTTGTTTCTACAAGAAAAACACAGCTTCTCCCCCACTCTTGTCTCATCCTTTGTTGGCCTTTTCTGCTTGTTTCAGGACTTCAGATGCCTAATATTCTCTTAGATGTTCAGCCAGGAGGCAGTCATTGTGCTCCATCTTGGGATGATTCTTTAAATCAGGTATCCTCACTGTGCTCTTTTTTGCAATCAACAACAGAAACAGCACAGATCAGTGTTATACACTGCGGAGATAATTGCTCTCATGTTGTGAGATAAAAACCGAACCTTCAAGGGTCGTGAACGTTTGAGGAATAATATGTATGCATGCACAGTGTTTGTGATTCCCAAATAACCATCTCAAATCTGCACACCACCACTTATCTACCTAGCACCATCTCTCCTGTGATATCTACACACAGGGCCAGCCTTACCATTAGACAGAATGAAGCAACTGCTTCAGGTGGCAGATGTTGTGGGGACAAGCAAAAGCACCCCCAGCTGTTCCTCCTGAGCCTGCCAGCTATTCCCCTTTGTTGCCATATGGCCTCTCCTGCAGTCCCTAAACTGGCCAGCTACCTTGGGTGCATGGGGGATGCTATCCTATCATCAATGTGGAAGTGAAATTCAGTTGTCGGTCCAGGTGGTAAGGGGACGTCCTGTTGCAATTCATCTCAGGCAGCAAAATATATTCGACTGGCCACGTCTGCATGCATCGCCTCTCATTCCTCTCCCTGGTGACTTACTGGGGGAAAAACACCCTGTAGGGGGTTTAGCATGTATCCTGGAAGGTTAAAGGGAAGACTGAGCAAAACAGTTGAAGTGGGTGAAGCCATTCATAAGCACAGGTGTTTTGTGGCTGTCCGTTTTAAGATGAATGCCCCAAAGTCACCTTGAATAGGCAGGAGGAGCTGTTATGTGAATTGGTCAGTACAAGCTGATCTTGAGCCCAGTACCTACCTAGACCAGATGTTAAAAGAGCATTTTCTTGTGTATGACATTAATGCTTCTTGTGCTTTATTTAGTGTAGACATATTTTATTTGTTCTGCTTTCTACTCGTGGGTTTTATACTTTTCTCCATAATAAATAAGAGGCCCCTTGTTGGAAAAAAGAGACCCTGCACCTCTTTTTCCACAAATGGAGATGCCTTCTATTCAATTTGGATATCACCCAAGAAAAAAATGCTATATCTATAAAAAAAACTAATTGGTCATCATCCAACCAGAGGAATCCTACAGATGGCATTTATGCATTTCTTCTTGAGACGCTCTAGTCATGAGCCAGATTGTCTTCACTAGCATCTAGCATCTGTTTTGGGGGACTGGGGTGGGCAGAGGCCTGGATTCAGCCATTACCCTTCCACCACAAAAGCTGATTGGTACTGTTGAAAACAGGCTGACTGCACTGTGCAAGGATTGAGCTTCTTAAATCATATACTGCAAATTCAGCAAGGAAGCTCTTCCACTTTCATTCCCCCTACACTGGTAGCAGTACTCATATGGGCTTCTTACTATGTATATCAGGAACATGCTATACATACCCGTGTATATGTATGTTTTTTCTAATTATTTATTAATTTAGCTCTTTTGTACCTTTGCAAGCAGTTCTTGGGAGCCTTTTTTTTTTTTTGCTGAAAACAATCAGTTAGAACAAAACACGAAGGAATTTCAGCGTGCGAAAAAGCAACGTTCACAAAAATAATTCTTTGTTGCTTTCCCCCTGCACAGTTGAATTCAGCTTGTCTACTTAGCATAGAGTGCGTACACATGAGCAAGACACTTTCTTCATCCACTGGCTACAGTGGGAAGAAGCAAAGCAATTTCGAAAGCATTTTTGTGACACCGGCTTCAGACTTGCCACTGCTGTTCTAGTCACAAGCTGTGCTATACCTGACAGTAATGCTCAATTCACAGGAAGCTTTTCTGATCTCAGTGAAAAGCCCATTACAACAGCTGCCATTTTATAAAGAGAATTGAGCAGGAAGAACTCTGATTACTGTACAGACTGCAAGAGAACCCACATTATTATACCCAATGTTACAGGAGCACGAATTGCACTGGGAGGGAAGCAGTGGGGAAAGAAGGAGTTATACTTCTCTGAAATGTGCAAAGTGCTATGAAGTGTCTGCTGGTTTTTTCACAGTGAAATGTTTTTCATTGTTTTAGGCTTCGACACAACTAGCATTTTTGTACAAGGAGCTTGGACTGGACAAACGGCAGTAACTCTGCAAAGCTGGAATTTTTCTCCCAAATCCTAAGGCCAACGGAAATAGTTTTGATGGAATAAGAAACTATTTAAACTAATTTTCTATTTAAAACAGGAATGGGAAATTATTTAAAATAATCTATAGGGTTATTTTAGAATTGGCTAAAGTATTCCAGAGTAATTTTTCATGAATTTGTAATTTCTGTACATATTTTTTCTTAAAAACTGAAAACCCTGTATACCTCCAAATGTCTTTTTTTTTTTTTTTACAAAATAAAAAGTATGTTTACTTGAATTAATTTTATCACACCTTCCACAAGGTTGTTCACAATAATTTCTCTCTCTCTTACATCATAGATGTTGGCTTATGTTACAGATGTATGGTGTATTACTATTGCTACAAGTTTGTTGTGGCCTCTGGCTAGAACAAATAAGCACATGAGCTGAACAATATAAAAGAGCAGTTGCAAATCATGGAATACAAAATCATAGAAACCAAAAACAAAACAGTAAAAATAATGACTAAAATATCATAGAGACCAAAAATCAGTAAAGAGGGCAAGCTTACCCCCCGAGGCAAGGTATTCTACAATCTGGGAGTTTCCAGGCTGGTTCAATGACACTATTCTTAAGGACATGTAGACTGTAAGCTCATACACCCTTGTGTGGGACTAAGCCTCAGCGGGACTTAACTTGTAAATAGACTAGGATTGCACTGTTAGTGCTTTAAATGTCAAACCTGGCACCATTAATTGAATCCAGAAACAAATGGAATCAATGCAGTTGGTGAAGGACTAGAGTGATATGTTCTGTTCTCCTGTCAGAAGCTTGGCAAAGTTTCCAGATTGTTTTCAAGGGCCGACCTATGTAGAGCTTGTAACAGAATGGTTCAACCATTACAGATGCATTCCTTTTCATTATGCTAGAAGATAATCCCAAATTCTGCATTTATCTCTGCTGCCATGAAGGTAGGAGATGAAGTTTAGCCTATGCATGTGGCAGACTCGTAGTTGGAAGAGACCTGGGAACTAATTCTAGTCCAGCCGCTGCTCAGTGCATGAAATTATTTCTGATAAGAGATATTGCAAGTAAGTGGAGACAGTGATGCCCTAAAATGACCTGCTACAGTTTTTTTGTTTTTACTTTTGCTTTAGTCATTTTTATTGGCTTTTTAAAGTCTTAAGTATAGAACCTAGGATAGAAAAATAAAAAACCGAGAAACACAATACAACTGTCAAGAAAAGGGAGCATGAATGGTACAATCCAATCCAATACAACATAAAAAGGTCATTTTGAGAGTTCCAAATCTCAAGGGAGGCCTCCGAGTGTCGCTGCAAGTGGTGCATATTAATGTATATAATGTAATTTCACCAAATAGCATGAAAAGCATCATGTTTAGCTGTACCCTGTGGCGCTCGAAATTGACAAGTGATCTTTTCAGATACAGCAGCGTTCCAAACATTTTTGTGCAAAGTGCAAGGTTCCAAATTCTGTAAAGTTTTCCATTTTTGGACAGCTGGCAAACAAGTAACAAGTAATTAAAAACACAAACACATACACACCCAAAAGCTATTTAAACACAGCATTCAAATTTGGTCCTTCAAAGCTGCTGCCCCTTTTGTAAAGAAATTACAACTCATAGATTTGGAACAAACCATTGCCACTTAGCAATACGCATAGAGTAAATTGAAGGCGCTTGAATAGCATGCCTTTTCTGCAACAAAACACTTCTCTTTGAAAGCTTCCATCTGGTGGACGGGTTCGCTTGTCCAGTATTCCAAAATGAGTCCTTCTCCCTTTTCAGTTGCGACTGCTTTGGTATTGACTACTTTGCCACTGTTGACAACATTCGTGCTTAGCTTTACAGTAGCTTCGGAGGGAATACCAGGAACCGAAGCCTGCAGATCTGTTACGGTCTGCAGCCCAAAATTTAGGACCACCATAAACACTTGATCTAACCCATCCAGTTCCCTCACATATGCAAAGACGTCGCGGTCATTCCAAACGTAACACATCCATCCTCTAAAAATGGGAAGCTCGTTGGCACGAATGGAACTGAGCTCTCGATACAAGCTGAGTGTAGAATTCTGTTGACTCTCTTGCTCCTGTAATGTAATGGTTGCATCCTTTAGTCAATTCTCAGATACTGAAAGTAAAATCATTTCTCATTCCATCCCTGCCTGTGACCTCTGCTGCTCCTACTCTGCCACCTTCTACTGCCTCCTTCAATGACTTTTCTCCTTGCCACCCCTATGCCTCCCTGCCCATGGTGCCACCTCACCTACTGCCTTCAAATGACACTTGTGCACATTGTTCTCTCTCGGCCTTTGTCAACGTCTCCCTGCTCTGTTGTTTCCCCATTATCTATTTTAGACTGAAAGCTCCTTGAGAGCATATGTTACCTCTAGAAGACACCATGTGCATTCTGGTCCTATGTGCAGCGTTATGCGCAAGCCTCAGCTGACTGATCAGAGGGGGGCAATTTTAAGTGTTGTGCATAATTTTAACAGTTAAAGTCGCCAGTTATTTTTTAGCCTTTTTATTGTGGTCTCAAATGGGCTCTTGAGTTAAACGTACCATCATTCATTTTATTCAGGCTATTGAGTGTTTTGCTGTAATATGGAAGAGAGGATAAAATATTATCTTACAGCAATGAATGGCTGCTTTATTAAATTGTAAGATACTTTACTCTTTCTGATAAGGCAATAAAGCATCTATATTGAGGTATCAGCAATAGGCAAATGTTAGAATAAATCAGTGCAATTCTATGCATGTCCACATGGAAGTAAGCCCTAGTTAGTTCAATGGGGCTTACTCCCAGGTAAATAGGTATAGAATTGCTGTACACCAATGTCATCTTAACCTCAGAAGTAAGTCCCACTGAATTCAGTGATGCTTGCTTCTAGGTAAGTGGAAATCTAGATTGCAGCTTTACTTCCAAACCAGTGTGTTTCAGATTGCAGCCTAAAATGATTTAATTGTCTGCCAGTCCTAGGTAAGTGTAATGCATAAGCACACACCGATTTTCCATACAATTTGTTTCAGGCTTAATAGCTACTCCTTCCCATCAACTCTGAAGGTGGAAAGAGGGTCACTACTCTGAGAATCACCCTGAGTTTTACTTCTGTGCATGTGAGGGGGCCTCATTCAAACTGGGGCTGGATTGTCACACTTACATTTTTAAGTATCTTGATAATACTGGCCCTGCTAAAGAAAATAATTTGTAATTTATTTGAACAAGAGAGAAAAGTGCTTCAGTCATCATACTTACCTTCACATTTATATTTGGATAGTCAGGATTTACAGGTATCCAGATTGAGTTGCCTTCACTAAAGCCAGCATTAAGAGTATCATCCCACTGCATGGGTGATTTTTCTGGAAAGGTTGCCTTGAAAAAACCAAGAAGACATTATTCACTGCTAATGCGGGGTCACACGGAAGTCAATTTCACATAAGTGGGGGGGGGGGGATGCCTGTACTTCAGGTGTGGTCTGACCAAGGCAGAATAGAATGGTACTATTACTTCCCTTGATCTGGACACTATACTTCTCTTGATGCAGCCTAGAATAGCATTAGCTTTTTCTTTTGCTGCTGCATCACACTGTTGGTTCATGTTAAGCTGTTGTCTACTAACACTCCTAGATCCTTTTCACATGTACTGCTGGCAAGCCAGGTGTCCCCCAACTTATACTGGTGCAGCTGGTTATTTCTGCCTAATACAGAACCTGACATTTGTCCCTCTTTTTTAAAAAAAAATTATAATTCCTAGTACTCCAATCTGTTAAGGACATCCTGAATCCTGATTCTGTCTTCGGAGGAATTAGCTACCCCTCCCAGTTTGGTGTCATCTGCAAATTTGATGAGCATCCCCTCAATTCATACATCCAAGTCATTTCTAAAGACTGAACAACAACGGGCCCAGGACAGAACCCTGTGGGACCCCAGCTGTCACTTTTTTCAAGGATGATGAGGAACCATTAATGAGCACTCTTGGGCTTGATGTTCTTGGACTCCAACTTGCATCAGCCCCAGACAGCATGGCCAATGGTTAGGGATGATGGCAGTCATAGTTCAACAACATCTGGAAGGCCACCAGTCTTGTTTTAGGAGAAACGAGAACAAGACAGGCATTGGGGAGGGGGGAATTAACAGCACTGGGAAAGTCAAGACGGCTTGATCATCAACGAAGGGTGAAACAGCAGCAGCATCCTCAGTAGCATGGTTACTGCATGGGGGTGGAATTCGAGAATTTCCAAACTCACATTTTCTGATGTGGTATCTTCCATTCCAATTTCTTCACCGTAATAGGTTGTAGGTGTTCCAGGAAGAGTTAAAAGAAGCATGTTGATGACATTTATGTATTCCTTCCCAATCCGAGAGGAAATTCGAGCACTGTTGGGGTTTCCAGCCTAACAGGAAAGTATATTGTTTTATCAGACTCCAAAGGCACCACCTCAATAAAAGCCATGTAGATAAGGGATGGGATATCTTTCTCCACCCACAAGCCACAGTCCCTGATGGGAAACCTGGTTGCAGGCCATTGGTGGGTGACTTTAAAAGAGGAACAGACAAATTCACAGAGGGCAAAGTTATCAATGGCTACTACCCACAATGACAATATTCCATTGAATACCAGTTGCTAGGAATCAAAAGTTGAGGAGAATGCTGTCGCACACAAGTTATGCTTGTGGGCTACCCATGAACATCTGACCAGTGTGAGAATAGAACGCTGGACTAGATAGCGTATCCTGCGAGTGTCCAGGAAAAACCAGGACATCCCATTTTTTTCTCACGAGAGAATGGCAGACATTTCTAGTTTGTGCGGTTTCCCCCAGGAAAAAAAGTGCTTTTCAAGGCTGCAATCTCATGTGGCACCCAAAAATGCATGTTTTGGGGCACTGTGCCCCCCAATACACTTTTTCGGGGGGGATTGTGGTGCAAGATCATGGTGCCCAGAATGGTCGCCGTTCTCTCACAAGAGAAAATGGGAAGATGATGTCCCAGTTTTTGCCTTCAAGGTGGGGGGTGGGTATGAGATAGGCCTTTGGCTTGATCCCACAGGGCTCTTCTAGTGTTACTGTGTCTGGAGACAAAAAATGAGTGGAACATTGAATGTGTCTTAGCTTTGTATAGTAGGACACATGGAAGCCAGGCAAGAGGAGCAGGAACAGCAAGGGGAGTGGCCTGGGAAGGGGGTGTGGCCTAGAGAGAGTCCTGCAGCCTGGAAGTCTGCATTTGACCCAGGTCCTGAGGTTTCCCAACCCTGGTTTGAACCATATCTTGTTATAGCAGTATGAAATTGATGACTGATTGAACTAGTGAAGTCTGCCTTTCCCATGAGCATTGTCTTTCTTTTTTAATGTCCTGGACTATGGAGTACTTGGTTAGACTATAGCCCTCCATGGAAATATATTTTATTGTATATATTGACTGAGTGCTTACATGTTTTTTAATCACAGCACTCAATATTCACAATAAAACTGGTTTAATATTGCTTTTTGCTAAAAGAGATTTTGCTCCAGCAGAGCAGAGGGAATAAATTGTTCCAAGGCCCCAAAATACAAAGCAATGGTGAAGTCTAATTATCAAAGCCAAATAAACCGTGTGTGACAAAATATTAAATTTAAACAGCAGGGTACCTAATTTTTTCTCTCAAAGGTACAAAAAGGAGCACAAACATACAAATGCAGTGTCATCATTTTGATCATTTGAAAAGTTTTCAGTATCCTGCTGTACTAGGGGAGATTGTCATGTTGATTTAATTTATTGGACCCCAGTCCAGGGAGCCATGGGACTGACGCCTTATTCTCAGAAGGGTTTTTGAGGGGGATTTTTGCTAAACCTCACACTCTGACCGCTGTATAACCAAAGCCAATCCAAGACACTTTTCATCCTGAGACAAAGGACAAGATGGCAGCCCCACCCTTTGATATACAGAAGCCAACTGGACTGGCAGCTGACAGCAAAGCATTCTTTACCACACCTGAGGCCGCAGGCTAGCTTGGAGGATGCAGAACAAGCAACAAGGGACAGGCAGAAATGCCCTCCAACTTATCGCCACTGCTCCCTGCCCCCTCCACACCACTATCTGCCGGCTCAGACAGCTGCCTCACTCTGCCAAATGGTAGGGCCAGCCCAGTGGACATGGCATACCACCTTTGAAATGCGGCGAAGGGGTTAAAAGCAGCCATCTTTAGGAAGCCTGCAGCTCACTGGATGTTCTTAACTATTTCTGGGCCTTACTCTGCCTCACAAAATATTTGTGGACATATAAAGGGATAACCACCCTATCTATAATGCTGCTATAAATTTAAAGGCAAGAGAGGATGCAAATATGATTAAATAAGTAAAACGAGCAATTATTTGGCCACCTGCAAATGTCATAAAAGGTTGTGTGCCAAGCTGGGAGATGATCATAAGCCTTCGTCACCAGAAGCTTACCGCCCAGTTCGGCCATTTGCCTTCCGGCATATTCTTCATCCACAAAGACACAATTTCAAAAATGCCATTTCCTGATATTTCTTGCATGTTCATGAGGTAGAAGTTGAAAGGGAAATCTGCTTCTTGAATGAAAGGTGTCCCATAATACATCATGGTTCTCTCAACGTCATCATGGTCATTTGCCTCCGTGCCCATAAATCTTGAAAAGAGGACAACATCTGTTTGGTTTTCTTGCCCGTGGTTTTCAGAAGTGGCATTCATTTGATATAACAAAACGGAAAATGGAAAACCTGCCACAGGACTTGATAACAGAACACTGGGCTCTGATTCTCTTTGAATCCCAATAATGATTTACATTTTACGTGGCAAAGTTCTTACAAGGCACTGTAACAATTACTGGGCTGAATCCAGACTCAGCATGAACAGAGTTAGGTTTGTGGTATGTTCCCACAGGTAGAAGGAAAGGGGGAGTTCCTTTGAAAAGCAGCTTTAGGGAGTTGGTGGACGATCCATAACAGTTTAAAAACTGTTTACCTTTTTGTTTTCACCGTAACAGTACCAGAGATGGCCCAAGGGACTGCAGGGGGAAGGGGTGATGAGGAAAAATTGCCTTCCCACTGTCCTTCCTCCAGCAGGAACCTCTGTTGGACTGGAGTCCCTCTAGTGGTATAGCTAGATCATTTAAGACTCTGGACTTGTTGGTCTTATGGGACCTCCTCTCCTCAAATAGCAGTGTGTGTTATTTCACTTCTAAACATGGTAAGCCAACTGCATTTGAGGGGGCGCTGTTATGGGGCCATAGATGTCTGCCCCAAGTCCTGACCCTGATGGTACCATTGTTGGGATCTAGGGAATCACATCCAGCGCTTTCCCCAGGGGGTACTCAAGGGTACGCAGTACCGGCACGCCTCCTTTTTTTGGGTTAAAAAGTGTGACACTGTAACAACTTCATGGTGAGTTCCGGCACCTATTTTTCGGGGGGGGGGAGCACTGACATCTATCTCAAAATGACTCTTAAGGCATCTCCTCTGTCTGTGGTGAAATTCAGTTCTCCCATATCTGAATTGTTCCGTGCTGAAAAATGTTCAGCCCCCATCCAGAGTAATTTATAGTGCTAGGGTCCACTGAGAAGAGCAAATAATTGGACGGGGATTCTGGTCACTAAACGGATGGAACTCTGTAATTTCACTTGGGCCTCTGAAATCTTGGCCAAACACAATAGGCCTCTCAACAGCTGGAAGGGTTAAGTACACTGAACATAAAAAATGTTCTAATTCCACAGGAGTCAGATGCCGAGTACAGCTGGTGCCAAAACACAGCATTCCTGTTCTAGGGACATCCTTTAGGCCAGGGATGTCCAACAGGTCGACCACAATCGACAGGTTGACGCTCTGTTGTTAGAAGTCAATCGCAGTCGATAGCGGGCTCATTTTTGTCTGTGGGGGGAAATGAGCATTTGTCCTCGCCCCCTCCCTTTTCCCGCACATGATTTCAAGAACGGAAGATGGAGTTTCTGCTGGCTGGATGACTTATTGCTTACAGATTGATGTTGCAGCCCCCCCAAAAAAAGCCTGCCCAAAAAAGCTCAACAACTTTGACCTGCACCCCTAAAAAAGGTTGACAGTTTAGACTTTCCTCCCTAAAAAAAAGCTCAATAACTCTGACCTGCCCCCCCATGGGTAGATCACTTCTAGTTTTTTATTCTGTGAGTAGATCACAGTCTCTTGGGAGCTGGACGTCCCTGTTTTAGGCTAATGCGATACTTATCATTATCAAGTCCAGTGATGAAGGACCAGTTGCAACTGGACACTGAACTGTAATGATAAATCATTAAAACACGTGATTGTATACTGTACTTACTTGAATACACATTGACAGTACAACTGGCTGATCATTCACCTATATCAGGTTTTGGCTAACCTTTGGCCCACCAGATGTTGTCACACTCTCCCTTGGGCCCCATCCTCCTCCCTGTTGAGTTCCGCAAAGGCAGAACGGAGACCAAGACCCCATCCGCGCTGCACATTTAAAGCGGTATCATATCTCTTTCAACTGTCATGGCTTGCCCCAAAGAATCCTGGGGGCTGTAGTTTGTTAAGGGTGCAAGGTATTGTTAGAAGGCCCCTATTCCCCTCACAGAGCTAAAGTTCTCCATGGTTTAACAGTCAACCCCTCTTCCCAGGGAACTCTGGGAACTGTAACTCTCCAAGGGGAATACAGGACTCCTAACGACACTCAGCACCCTAAACAGAATTCACATCCCAGGATTCTTGGGGGGGAAGCCATGGCTGTTTAAAGTGGTGGGTGCAGATGAGGCCCAAGGAGGAGGAAGCTGGGCAGCCAGCGCCACCCGCTGGACTGGATGTAAGAAGGCAGGTAGTTGGGGGCTGGCTGAGAGCAAGCTAGGTTTGGTGGGGCAGTGCCCCATTTGCTCTAAAAGGCCAGACTTGAGAGGCAGGCCATGACGTAACTAATAGGGCCTCCCCTGAAGATGGTAGTCATAGGCAGGCAAACTAAGGCCCAGGGGCCGGATCTGGCCCAATCGCCTTCTAAACTCAGCCCACGGGCGGTCTGGGAATCAGCGTGTTTTTACGTGAGTAGAATGTGTCCTTTTATTTAAAATGCATCTCTGGGTTATTTGTGGGGCATAGTTATTCGTTCATTTGAAAAAAAATATAGTCCGGCCCCCCACAAGGTCTGAGGGACAGTGGACCGGCCTCCTGCTGAAAAGTTTGCTGACCCCTGATCTTAGTGGATTGCCAGTTCTATATGAGAGAAGGCATTCTTGCAGATAGTTCCATTGAGTTCCTGGGATGGGATGGGGACATTCACTCTTACCTGCTTCAGACTGCTTCCTAGGAAAAAGGGGCGACGTTTACCATCACATGAAAAGAATAAGAAATGAAGACGTCGTGGTATTGTTGTTACCTGTATCTTCCAGGCTCACTGCTGAACTTATCCATGGTGTGGCGAAAACTGCGGACAATATCGTGCATGCCAACCTGGGTGGTGGTGTAGTCGTGATACAGTTCAGAATAGGCTGTGATAGTGTCCTTGAAGAGCAATAGGATATTTGTCATTACTCCTCTTCCTAACTTTCTAGGCCCTTCCAGAGATAGACATCTGAGACAATGGCTGCAATCCAGAATGTTCCTCTCAGAAGGTATCCTTTATAACACCACCACACTTCTTCCCCCTCCCTCCCTCAAGTTATAAAAGAACTGCAGTGTGGGTGGTGCTTCTTTTTTTAAAAAATGGGAAAAAAAACCTAGAATGTTGAAATGGATAGATCAGTCTATTTCTGGCCTGCACCGTTTTCACCACCACTCGCTCCTAAATCCATTCCGTTCAATTTCTGCATTAATTTGCAAATTTGTAATAAAAAAAATCCTTGTGGAAACGAATCTTTCCTTTTAAATACATATTTAGATTTTGTTTTCTATTTAAAAATACATTTCTAAATGTATCATCTCCCAATACATTTTAACATTTAATATAAGAGCTGCATCAGAACATTCAGGAAGTCCAAAGACCAATGGATAACCAAGTTCTGATCCACATGTTGGCCCAGGAAGTGCTGACCAGGTCAGTTCCTACTGCAATTCACAATATTTAAAACTACCTTTTATTTTCGTGCATTTATATCCCACCTTTCTTCTATCATAGAACCACAGGTGCCATATATATATATATATATGTGTGTGTGTGTGTGTGTGTGTGTGTGTGTGTGTGTGGTTTATAGGAGGTCATGAATGTCTAGCTAGAATTGAGTCCTATAACTTTCCAAAAGTCTTGGAGGCAATGCCCAAGAACATCTGAAGCTAAATAATACCAGTGGTCCATCTCTCCCAGTCCCAGCTGTAGCCTTCCAAGGTCTCTGGCAGAGGCCATATCCACATAGGAAGAGCCTTGCTGGATCTGAAGAAAGGTCCATCTAGTTCAGCATTCTAACAGTGGCAAACAGGTGCCTCTAGGAAGCCCTAAGAAGGATGTGAACCCAACAGCTGACCCCCCCCCGCCCCGTTTGTCCACAACACATAGTGTTCAGAGCATAGCTGTCAACTTTTCCCTTTTCTTGCGAGGAATCCTATTCGGAATAAGGGAATTTCCCTTTAAAAAAGGGAAAAGTTGACAGCTATGGTTCAGAGGTACATTGCCTCTGAGAATATAAACTGCCTCTGAGCCTATTCAGCTAGGACAGCTCACTAACAAAATGTAAGGAACCCTTATCAGTCCGAAGTGTGTACTACTGTAAGAGGACGAAGGAGAAAAATTGTTACCGGATTTTGGGATTTATTGACTTGAGGCTCATCTCTCAGATGCGTTGCTTCCAGCAGGAATTTGACCGTACTAATGCTAAATCCATCGACGCCTTTGCCGAGCCAAAATCTGATAACCTCCTAAACGGATAGATGAGGCAGAATTGTTTTGTGTTATGTCAGAAATCACAGCAAATACATTTCATGTATTTTGAGTTTCGTAAAAGAAATGTAGATTGGCGTAAAGCTCTGTCAACAAGAGGTGTGGAGAACCTTTGGCCCTGCAGATGTCACAGAGCTACAGCTCCCATCATCCCTGGCCTTTAGCCATACTTCCTGGAACTTGTGGGATCTACAACAGGGGCTCCCAAACTGTGGTCTGCAGACCATTCGTGGTCCACAAGGTTCACTCAGGTGGTCCATGGAGTGTCTGTAAAAGTACAGGGAGGGAGGGACCGCTTGGAGAGAGTTGCAGTGGAAAGTAAAGACCTTTGTGCTTCTTCTCCATGCTAATTCCTCACTACAAATCTCCCACTCCTGGAGCTGTTTTTTCATAGAAGCAGCCTCTTAGCTCTTAAGACATGGCTGCACGCCACATGTACTTTAGCCCTTATTATGGGCACTCAGTAGAGGAAGTTTACTACCTTATGATAATCATGTGTGGTTATAGAAGTTGCAGTCTTATGATGAGATTTTCTGCATGGAACAGGGGAGTGGACTGACCTAAAACAGATATAGATCTGGACAGAAGGAGTTTGATTCAGAGAAGTTGAAATCAGGACAGGAAGTTAGTCATGACTAACCATGATTCCAATGGGAGCTAAGTGCAACTAGCACCCTCTGGATTGTACTCAAGGTCAGTTTGGAAACAACAGAGTGATTTTGAAATAAAGGACTTGAGAGCACTTCCATAGTGTTTCAGTAGAATTATTCAACCTAGAGCCCTTCAAAAATTGTTAGAAGAGCTGGCTATTAAAAAATAATAATAAAGCAGACTTCCGGTTTGACTCGCGGACAGCGAGGAAGCACGGAAAACCTCGTCGGGGTTTTCCTGGCAACACGGGGGCTTGGGGGAGTCGCAAGGGCACTGCGCACCCCAAAAATCTCAAGGGGGGACCCTTGAGGGACAGGCTACCCAGCAGCGGAGGAGCGGTTTCGCTGTCTTTTCGGGGGGTTTTCCGAAGAACTCGAGGACGACGAGACTGCGAACGCAAGCGGGAAAGCACCGACCCTGTGTTGCGATGCCTTCAGCTTCCCCTGAGAAGCGCGATGAATCTCCAGAAAGATAACAATAAAATCCTTGGCGAAAGTGGAATATTTTCACCCTAAAACCTTGAAGATCGTACCAAGTGATTTTCGGATGTTTAAAGATTGAAAGCAGGAAATTCATCCCGGTTGAGGGGGAAAATGGCGCAGGAAACAAAGTCGCAAGAATAAGAAAGGAAGTGACTTGCTGCCTATCTGAGTGAGTACAAAACAAAAAGTCCACAGCAACTTTTTTGCTGCGGCAGATAGACTTATCAAATACAAAGTAACTAATAAGGAACTGATTAGAGACTTTGAACACCTTTAGTGCTGGAAAGACAAAAGTTAAAAAGTAACCGCGTTCATTTACTTCAATAGAGTTGCAGTCAAGAAGACTGCGAAAAGATTTGAGAAGGCTTTAAGGAGAAGGGAAAAGAATGAATGCATGAAATTTTGCTCCCTCTTTTTCTTTGTGTGATTAAAAGAGATTTCATTCAGAAGGGGGATGTACAAGGATCGTTAAAGGACTTTAAAGAGATAAAGGAAGGAGGCGTATAAAGAACTATTAAAGTTAAGATTAGCTCTAACTCTCTGCCTCCTCCTCGCCACATTAAGTGAACAAGTGACTACCCTTCCACCCTCCCCTGTATTAGGTTATATTTGAAACTCCTGCCAATTTTCTTTCTTTAAACAACATAAAGGACTTGGGGAACATTGAATTACACCTACTCTTCTTTTGGAGGGACTCCCTAAACCTTTTTATTTTTTTACAATTGCTGAAGCGGCAGGGATTGGCTCTGCAGGAGGATATTTTGAAATGGACTGAGTTGGAAAGAGATGGAAGATTCTAGACTCTGACCTCAGTGGCTAAGACTGGAAATTACATCTACGCTCTCTGCTCCATGCCTTGTTATACTGAACTCACCTCTTTCATTATAATTTAAATTCCCTTTCCAAAACTAAATTATATTTGACCTTGCAAAGCTGAATGAACTTTGGATTTACTTAATGACTTTCAACATTGAGGACATTTGGTTAATTTGATACCTATGTGAAACAAATCACGATTCCATATTCTGAGGTCTTTTGGGGGGGGCTTCGACGAGACAACAATCGTGGAAGACTCAAGTTGGATTAAGCCGACAAGTGGCAGAAGACACCAGAATTGACTAGAACTGATTAGGATTGATTAGGACTACCTGAAAACTATTCTTTGTTTACAGAAAAATTATTTTTCCTTACTCTTTGCTTTTTTCGATCTCTCTGAAAAAATTACGCAAATAGGACTATTTTTCAACTAGGCTAAAGGTACTTGGTTTCCTTTAGGGAAACAAACCAAGTTTTATTAGAGGACTTCGTTTGGGGTTTTTTGTGGGAAAGATCTTTAATTTAAATCTTAAAGTTTCTAATTCTGTGCGTTCGGAGTAAAAGATAATTCTATATAAGGTGATTTAAGGTAATAGACATCTCAGCTTTAGTAGATATATTGCGGACTCAGAGAAGAAACTATGGAACATTCTGGATTTGTGTTTGTATGATGTTTACTATTTAGATTGGACTGGGTTTTGTCTGTATTTTTGGTAACAGAGACACCACTCAGGTCTGGAATCCTGGGAGGAAGATATTGGGAGGTACAGGATTTAGAGCAAGAGAGAGTGATTGTGCGCCCTCTAAGGGAGAGACTAGGTAATAAAACTGACATTCTGGGAAAATAACGTAAAATGTTGGGGGAAAATTGAAAAAAGGCAGGAGGGACCCCCGGGGAAAGGAAAGCATTTCGACAAGAGGAAATCAAAGATTTAGATATCTTGTGGTTAAAGATTAAGGAGGAATTTAAACAAAGTGAGGTACATATGGAAAATAAATTAGGAGAGGTGCAGGAGAGGATAGACAAGAAAATAGAAGGGGCCGTAGGAGAACTCTCTAGTAAGATTCAAGATTTGACAGTTAGGTCAAAATCAATTGAAGAAGCAAATAAGAAAATTCAAAAGGAGATGAAAGAACAAAAGAAAGAGACAGAAAAAATAAAGGAGGAAATAAGAGAATGGAACAACAGACAAGACCAACTGTCGGATAATTTAGCCATGGTAGAAATGCGGCAGAAACAGCTCAATTTAAAATTTAGAGGAGTTGGAGAAGAAGTAAATGAGAATGTAAAAGAAAAAATGATTAGAGAGCTATCTAAATGGCTAGAATTGAAAGAGGAAGAGGTAGCCTATACGATAGATAAGGCATTTAGAATTAGAGGGAAAACGCAACAAGCTAAATCGAAAAAACTTGTTGGTGACTGCCTAGTGGTCTTCAATTCAATTGAGATGAAAAATATGATCTTAAGAATGAGCTATTAAAAAAAATTAATAATTGAAGGAAGACCTATTGTTATATTTAAAGAAATTCCAATCAGGCTCTTGCGTAAAGGGACGGATATAGACAAATAGTAAGTGTTCTGAAAAGGAATGCTATATCTTATAGATGGGAATTCCCAGAAGGGATTACCTTCTATTACAAGGACAAAAGATTTAGATTGATGAATACCCAAGAAGTGGAAATTTTTTTTGAAAAGATACAAGAAGGAGCTAGGGAAAGTGGAAGAAAGATTTGAAGAGAGAGAGAGAGAATTACAGAGGAGAGGGAGAGAAAGAGAAGGAAAGAGAAGGAAAAAGAGAAAGTGGAGAAAGGGAAAGAAGTGGAGGAAGAAGAGGAAGAAGAAGAGGAAGAAGGTGCAGTGGGAGGAGAAGAAGAGGAAGAAAAGGAGGAAGAAATTACAAGGAACGGGAAAACTAGACTATAAGCCTGAGAACGTGTGTAGTACGAATTTAAAAAAAAATACAATAATGACTCTTAAAATTCTATCTTGGAATGTGAACGGACTAAATGACAAATCTAAAAGGAATAAAATTTCGAAGGTTTTGATGAAAAAGAATGTTGATGTGATATGCTGTCAGGAAACACATGTGGCCAAAAAACACAAACATATTTTGATAAATAAAAGGTTGGGGGTTGAATTTATTAATTCAGATGCAAACAAAAAAAGAGGAGTGGTGATATACGCAAAAGAAAAATGGGACCCTAAATTAATATGCAAAGATGAGGAAGGGAGAATTTTGGGGATACAAATTAATCATCAGGGAGAAAAATTCAATGTGGTAACTGTCTATGCCCCAAACACGAATAAAGCAGAATTTTTCAAAAAACTGGAACAAATATTATTGGACTTAGAGACTCATAAACTGATTTTACTCGGTGACTTAAATGGAGTACCAATACCAGAACTAGATAGAAGTGCAAAAAGGAAAAAAATGAGTCAAGGGAAATTACCAAGATCGTTTAAAAACCTTGAAGAAAACTTGACGGATATCTGGAGACACAAAAACCCACTGATAAAACAATTTACATACTTTTCAGAGCCGCACCAGAGCTGGGGCAGAACAGACCAGATTTGGGTATCAAGCGAACTAGTAACAAGAGATGAAAAATGTGAAATACAACCCAGAACTCTTTCCGATCACAATTCAATATCCCTGGAAATTAAGTGTGGAATTCAGGGTGTGTATAGATGGAGAATGAATGAATATTTATTCGAAAATGATGATGTGACTGAGGAGGCCCAAAACACCTTAAAATACTTTTTTGATTTAAACCTTAATAAAGAGACAAATATTGATATAGTCTGGGACGCCAGCAAGGCGGTGTTAAGAGGCTTTCTAACTCAACAAAATAGCCATAGGGGAAAAATAAGAGAACAAAAGAAAGATGGAATCCTGACCCAATTAAGAGAATGTGAGAAAAAATTAATAACAAATCCCAGTGATGAACAGAACAAACAAACATCCAAACTACTACAATTACAATATTCAATGCTAATTAACCAAGAAGTCAAATGGAGAATTAAATCAATGAGGCAAAAATTTTTCGAATCAGCAAACAAAACGGGGAAATTCTTGGCCTGGCAACTATGAAAAAGGAAAAAGCAAAATGTGATTAATAAGATAAAAATAGAAGAACGGCTTGTGGAAGACCCAAACGAAATAAAGAAAAACTTCCTAAAATTCTTTGAAAAACTATACAAAAAGAAGAAGATATAATAGAAACAGAAAAATATTTAGAAAACAACAGAATAACATCCATAACGGAGGAAGAGAAAACCCAACTGAACAAGTCCATAACAATAGATGAAGTCCAGGAAGCAATAAAGAGAATGAAAGCAGGGAAAGCACTGGGCCCAGATGGATTATTGGCCAAATACTATAAAGTTCTGGGAGAATATTTAGCCCCGGTGTTATGTGATGTAATGAATAATATCCTACAAGGAGGGAAGATACCGGACTCCTGGAAAGATGCTCACATCATGTTGATACCTAAAGCGGACTCAGACAAATTGAATATAAAAAACTACAGACCGATATCGCTCCTTAACAATGATTATAAAATATTTGCTGAAATAATGCAAACAGACTTAAGAAATACCTAAAAAATGTAATACATACGGATCAAGCTGGATTCCTTTTTAATAGACAATTAAAAGATAATGTTAGGCACATAATAAACATCACTGAATACCTGGAAAGGAAGAATGAAATCCCTGCAGTATTAATTTTTATTGATGCAGAAAAAGCATTTGATAATGTATCCTGGCAGTTCCTATTAAAGTGCATGGAGACAGCAGGGATAGAAGGTGCCTTCATGGAGGGAATTAAAGCAATCTACTCAAGTCAAAGAGCCAAACTGATTATTAACAATAATTTATCTGACGCATTTGAAATTTCAAAGGGTACGAGGCAAGGTTGCCCCCTGTCACCGCTTTTATTTATAATAAGATAAGGAAAACACCAGAGATACGAGGAATCAGAATTGGGGTGAAAGAATACAAACTGAAAGCGTACGCTGATGACTTGGTAATATCGTTGGAGGACCCCAAAAAAAGTATTGATAAAGTCCTGGTACTTCTAGAGGAATTTGGGAAAGTAGCAGGCTTTAAGTTAAATAAAACCAAAACTGAAATGATGGTTAAGAACATGGGGGAAGATTTAAGGAGGCAGTTAGAACTTCAATCTGGAATCAAAGAAGCAAAAAAGGTAAAATACCTGGGAGTTTGGCTAATGATGGAAAACATAAATTTAATGGCCGATAACTACATAAACACCTGGAAGGAAATTCAAAAGGAATTAGATATTTGGAATAGGATAAAACTCTCCTGGTCAGGTAGAATGGCAGCAATTAAGATGTGCATACTGCCGAAACTATTATTTTTATTCCAAAATGTCCCGGTGATTAGAGGAAGTTCAATATTCAAAAACTGGCAAAAAATTCTCTCTAAATTTATATGGCAAGGCAAAAGACCGAGAATTAGATTTAAATTGTTAACGGATAGAAAAGACAGAGGAGGATTCGCGGTCCCAAATTTGAGATTGTATTATGAAGCCTCGTGCCTTTGCTGGCTCAGAGAATGGATTGTATTAAAAAACACAGATCTGCTGGACTTAGAAGGCTTCGATTTAAGATTCGGCTGGCATGCTTATCTCTGGCAGAATAAGGAAAAGGTGCATAAAGGCTTCTCAAATCATATTATCAGAGGAACATTGTTAGAGGCATGGGAAAAGAATAGAAAACTGTTGGGGAAAAATACCCCCTGGTGGCTATCGCCTATTGATATCTTAACTATTAAAAAAATAAATATAGAAGGTGAGAGATGGACCTATGAAGACCTCCTGGAAAGATCAGAAAGAGGATGGAAAATTAGACCATACGAAGAGTTTAAAAACAAATTAACAGGTTGGTTGCAGTATCATCAAATTAACGCCTTATGGAAGGAAGATAAAAAGATTGGGATGAATGAGAAAAAATCTAAGTTCCAGGTAGAGATAATAGAAAGTAAAACCAAACTTCTATCTAAAATGTATAATTAGTTATTAGAATGGGACACTAAGGACGAAGAGGTCAAGGAGGTTATGGTAAAATGGGCGATAGACATCGGATACAATTTAGATTTTGACAAATGGACGAGGTTGTGGAGTAAAGGAATGAAATTCACAGCCTGCACTACCCTTAGAGAAAATATGGAAAAGATTATGTACCGTTGGTACATCACCCCTGTGAAATTGCAAAAAATGTATAAGACTGGAGATAAAAGGTGTTGGAAGTGTAAAACTAAAGAAGGAAGTTTCTACCATATGTGGTGGAAGTGTGAAGAAATTTTAAAAAATTGGGAATCCATATACAACAAATTGAAAAAAATATTTAAATACACTTTCGTTAAAAAACCCGAAGCCTTCCTTCTGGGAATGATCGGAGACGAGATTAAGAAAGAAGACCATATAATGTTTCAGTATGCAACTGTAGCTGCCAGGATCCTGTTAGCACAAAATTGGAAAACCCCAAATATCCCGACCGTTAAAGATTGGCAAATTAAATTATTTGAATATACGGATTTGGCAAAAATGACGCAGAATATCAGACAGCAAAAAGGTACAAAGTTTATTGACGATTGGACCAAATTTATAACATACATGGAAACAAATTCTAGAGATATAAAAATCACAGTAGGTTTAACATAATCCTTGCAATGTGTAGATGATATAAAATGAAAACTGCAGAATGGAATTATTATTTTACATAACCCAAAACCGAGATGGAGGGAAGTCAACCATTATTTGTTGTTAATTAATGTTTGTCTTTTTGTCTGTTTATGTTTTCTGTTTTGGTTGATGTTTTCTTTTTTCTTTGGTGTGTTTATTTGTTTTTTTTTTACTTTTCGTTGTTTGGTTATAGAAAATTAATAAAAAGAATTGAAAATAATAATAATAATAATAATAATAATAATAATAATAATAATAAAGCAATGATATCAACAGGATTTTTAAACATGCTCATTATTCCCCATTATATTATAAATTAGCAAAACAGGTAGCATCAACAAATCATATTTCGTGATCCAAAGACCATGTGCATGCCTTCGTGATCAGAATGCAATTGATTACTTACATGAATTTCTTCTTCAACATCTGGGTTACGGAAATTTAAATCTGGCTGCTCTTTTCCAAACTGGTGGAAGTGGCACTGGTTTCTCACTTCGTCATACTGCCAACTGGAGTTCCCCAGCACGCTCACCTGATTGCATAAGGAACATTATATCTTTTTTAAAAATCAGACTATTTAGAATCGTTGTTGTTATAATTAAGGATGCGCATTAAAGTCAGCCGAGGCCCAAATCTCAAATCAGGCCTAACTGGAGGAATCTGGGCCTCATTCAAGGAAAGTAAAGATAGCCCTGGATAGCTACTGCCATCCAGGGTTGTCAGAGATTCAGCACCCCCACCTCTCTCGCTCCATTCTACAGTGTTATTGTGGTACCAGCTGCAGCTCGGCACCCAAGTGCAACCCTCAAACCGCCTCTGCTCTCCTTCTCCCGGTGTGATGGCCTGGGAGTCTGATTCAGAGGCTGAACCAGAGGAATCCCAGCCTGCACAGGAGTCCCCGCCTCCAGGGCCGGCTGAGCCGGGGCAGGGCCTTGAATCTGAAGCACCTGCACCTGTGCCGGATCCTCAGGAGCAGACACCAGATGAATCCACTCTGGCTCCGGAGGTGATTGAGGACCCATTGCCTGCAGGTGCGCCTCTCCCAGCCCTGTCAGGGGAAGGTGAGCCTCCCCCAGGGTCCAGTAACCCTCCAGCCTCTCCTGAGCTGCAGAGGCTCAGGTCAGAAAGGCGGAGGGAACTAAGTACTCCCAGGAGGAGTGCTCACCTTAAGGCCAGGAGAGGCGGGTCACCTGTGGGCCGGGGCTGCCCCTGGCCTCAGAGAAGATAAAGGCCGGTCAGCCCGGTCCCAGGTTGCGGGAACAACGTCGTTGGAAACCTGTTTCTGCCAGCACCCAGCCCTGTTCTTCCAGAGTTCCTGACCACGCCCGGCTTCCTGCTTTGGACTCCGCTTCGCCCTTGGTGGACAGTCTCCAGACCCTCAACCCAGGACCGGACTCTCGGTAACCTGCCCCCCCGGGGTCCAGCACACCCTTCTTCTTCTGTATGTTAAAAATATGCGCTGGAAGTGTGTGAGTCGCTGTGAGTGCCATTCATGGAAGAAAGGTGGCATACGGGCATTTCAAGAAATAATGCATGCAAATAATCAAATTAATAATAATAATAAAATAATAAAATTTTATTTATATCCCGCCCACCCCAGCCGAAGCCGGGCTGAGAGTGGCCAACAACAATAAAGGCAACACAGTTCACATAAAATCACAATCAATCAATTGAAATGCATTCTAAAATCAATTCAAAATCAAATTAATGGCAACCATTGGGAAATAGTGTTTATTTTGGGAAGAGGGGGGAGTCAAGAACTCAGAATGGGGCTGCCACCTTGTCTTATGCGTGACTTTTTCTGGTTTGCACCTTTATCATAGAAGTCGACAATTAAATCAAATAGTCGCCCAAAGGAGCAGCATCCAAAATGGGCAACAGGAAAACACAATGGTCTGGTCAAATTTCAATTATATATAAGCCAATGAAATAAAAAAACCAAATGTGCAAAACATTTGGGTCATAGCTCAGTTGAAGAGCACCTGCTCTTCATGTGGAAGGCTCCAGCTTCAATCCCTAGCATCTCCTGATGGGGCTGGGAGAAATCCTTCTCTGAAATGCTAGAGACCCGCTGCCAGACAGTGTAGACCGGGGGTAGCCAATACAGATGGGGATTGCAGTCCAGCAATGTCTGGAAGCAGGCATGTTGCCTATGCTCCGACTCAGACAAAGCCACTTCCTATGCATGTTTGTTTGTTGGTTGATTGGTAGAATTATTTTTTTGTTTTTTAATTTTTAATTTTATTTTGACAAAGTAATAATCATAAATAAATAAAGGTAAAAATGTGACCCCACCACCAAGACCATTCCATTGTAACTATGCAACCTCCCAAAATTTCAACACTTCTTGCGATGGTTTGACCCCTTTCCGTTTTAACAGTACAAATTCTACAAACACCCTCCATATCGCCTCAAAATAATTTCTCCTGCGTATTCTCCATCTTACCTTAATGGCACATGTTAATTTATCATTAATAGCTATATCCCACACCTCTTTATACCATTCTTCCATTTTATGTTTTGCTTGCCCCTTCCACTTCCTAGCTATAATAATGCATGCAGCTGTCAATAAATTTGGGAGTAAGTCCTTCATCACCTGCGAACCTTTCACCCCATCGTAAATTGATAATAATGCCACCTCTGGACTTTCAGTAGACTTTAACCTGGTGATTTCTTTCTTTCTTTTTAAATGATTTTTACACAGAACTCTTATATACAATCTTTACAACAGAAAACTTTACAGCCAAAATACAAGCCAAAATACAAGCAAAACCATGACTCATATGTTTTCATTTGTACCAAATTCTTCTCAGATTTCCTTATTTCACTTTTCATTAATGTTAGTCTCCTTCTTATAACTCTTTGTTCTTGGCCTCTTAAATCCCATATATATCCTTAACAATTTTCTGAATACTACCCTATACCTCCCTCCCCCCATACCCCTTACTTCCTTTCACCCATGTGCGATCTTCTCTACATAATGTTATTTCTCGTTGCATTAACTAAGATATGTATTTGTTGTTCCGTATCCTTGCGGCTTTTAGCTATCGCCTATTAAATTTGAGTTCCGAAACCAGATCTTTCCATGTATTCCTTTACGTACTCCCACTCTTTGTGAGTTTTTTTGATTAGGACAGCCTCTGATTGTTGCCATTAATTTTGCCACCTCAGCAAATTCACAAATTTTGGCTCGCCATTCTAATAGTTCCGGTATTTTTCCTGTTTTCCAATTTTTTGCCACTTGTAATCTAGCCGCTGCTGTTGCGTAAAGGACTACATTCCTTTTCTCCTTGGGGATGTCACTGGATACTAAGCCCAGCAAATATGCTTCTGGCTTTTTGGAAATTGAACCTTTAAATATCTTTTAAAGTTCTTCATGTACCACAATCCAAAATTGTTTAACCACCTTGCACCCCCACCACATATGCTACATAGTCCCCACCTCTGTTTTACATCTCCAACAGAGATTTGAATATTTTTTACAGATCTTTGCTAATTTTACTGGGGTGAGATACCAACCCAGTGATTTCTGTTATCTCCTTAAACACCCTTTGCCAAAAAAAAAGAAAGATACAGATTTACACCTGCTGGCATCCCCTCCAACATAACAACAAAGATTCCTTGTTAGCTTCCTGTTTGTCAAGCTCATTTTACAAAGTGCAAGCACACTACAGGGCAAAATGTTTAAAATAAAATTACTTCTCAATACAGATTTGTTCGCCAAAATCACAATTTGTGCTCTGGCCTGAAACACATTGAAGGGCATGTTACGGCAAAACAGCGCAGTGTTTTCTGAAACTGTCCTCTGCAGCCGTTTCCCAAACCGCTCCAGCCTCAGATTAAAATGTGGGAAATGAGAGCAGAGTTTTCATCCTAGTGAAACCAGTGTCTGACATCTTTGCATTACAGAAACAGAAAAGAGTGATCTAACAATGAGCCGGTTTGTTTGATTCTGATGTCATGTTTGGCAGGGGGAAGAGACAGCTGTGATGAGGAGGCTCCTAGGCTGGCGTGCCCACTGGAACAAGGGGTATGTCACAACGAACTAGCCATGCGAAATGTGCCGCTTCCTGCCAACAGGTTTCTACAGAGAGCGGCCGAAAATAAGCCAGAAAAGCAGACTCGAAAAAGAATTAAGATCAAACGAAGCAGAAAACAAGCAACAGCAGCTAATGCTTCAACAACCAAATCACTTACGTGACACATGTGTGCTTAGGAGGGCAAAATATCTCATAAGAAGCTGAATTTCACATCTCTTGTTTGTTTGGAAATGCTTGCAGTTTAATAACATCACAACCCTTACAATGCTATTACTGATTAACAGGTTGATCCTAAATGTGTTTAGTCAGAATTTGCTCCCTTTCTTCCCGAGTAAGTGCGCACAGGGCTAAACTCTTAATTGATAGAGCATTATATTGGAGTCAGTGGACTTTTGTTCCCAGCGAATGTTTTCGGGAACAAAGTATTCTGTAACCATGTGATTTCACAATTCAAGTTTGTGTGTGTGTGTGTTTTCTCATTTTGAGCTGAAGTTGCTATTGCAGTATCGCTGCTTAGCAAATTATAGATATTATGTCTATATATATTATACATATGTTAATAGCAGTCCTAATGAAATCAAGCTACATAAGAGGAGATGACCTGCTACAGCCAGACATAACTTAAATGTGAATGGCATTTACTGGGAAAGCGGAGCTGCTGTGATCAAAGCAGAGGTTGTCTGCAAGAGCAAGGAGGCTATCATTGAGAAAAAAAGGGAGACTAATACTATTTTGTAAGGGGAGCGTGCTAGATCAGGCAAGGGCCCATCCAATCTAGCATCCTCTTTCCCCAGTGGCCACCCAGATGCTACAATCAGGCCCTGAGCGCAAGAGCATTCTCTCCTCTTGCGGTTTCCAACAAATGGTATTCAGAAGCATATCACCTCTCATCGTATACCTATAACGGGTGGAGAACCTCAGGCTCAGGAACCACATACAGCTCACCAGGCCTCTCTGTTTGGTCACTGTTTGAACCACGTGGTGTGAGGCTTATGCCTACATTGCTGCATGTTTTGTTTGTTTATTGTTGTGCCATCGGAGTTCTGTACTCACCCAGTTATTTGGTGGTTTGGTGGTCCCATTGGTATACGTGCAGTTATGCCAGATGTAATAATCCGCATATTTTTCAGTCCGATTGCGACTAAGCTGAAACCAGTTGTGCTTGTCACTTGTGTGGTTAGGTATTAGATCCATTATCACTTTCAAACCTTGCACAAGAGGATGTAAAAAAACAGCCTGTCAAACTGCACACACCTGCATTGTTCCTAGAAGAGAACTAAGTCTTGGGCTTTGACTGGACAGGTGCACAATAGCAGATGGGGGATAATCTTGCTTGTTTACTGTAAAGGCTTATTGCAAAGATTACTGAGCTGAACCATCTGAAGCACTGGGACCAAGTTGGGGGAAATTGTTACCAAAAATTGCTAAAAGGGCTTGTGAAGATCCTGTCCCGAAGATCAATGGAGTTAATTAGCATGTAATAAAAACTACTAAGCATTTCACAAAACCAAGTAAAATATAGCTTGGATCCAATAACCTGCAGAATGGATCTTCCTCGCTCCCTGTTGGATGAGCAGCAGCAGAGATCATTCCAGATGCAACTTAATGGCTAATTCTGTTATCAATAAGTTAGCTAACTAAGTGGGATGTATCATCATCATTCATTCATTCATTCCATTTCATTTCTATACGGTTTTATAATTTTAAGGAAAAAAATATCAAAGTACATATAAACAGCAAATGAAACAATCCAGAATAAAACATAGAGCAAAGCCAACCTTTATCGTGTATCGCTGCAACCAGGTTTTCAAAATCCTTCATGGTTCCAAACATCGGGTCTATGTCTCGAAAGTCTTCTATGCCATATCCGAAATCTTGTAAGGCAGACTTGTAAACAGATGTGATCCAGATTGTTTTTACATTTAGATACTGGATGTGATCCAGCTTTTCTTGGATACCTAGGTAGGGAAAATAAAAGGGAAGGAACAAACTGCCGTAACAACCAGTGGGGTTAGCTGGTTCAAATTCTTGATGGTTTGCGAAGTTCACTCCTTCTGCATCTTACAGGATAGTTATGAGGCCCAAATGAGTTGTGGGGGGACAGGGACACTTACACTGCCTCAAGCTCCTTGAATAAAAGGTGGGTTAATAACTAACAACAACAACTAATGCTGCACTGCAGAACATTGCTCCTGCCTTGTGTTTGAACCAGCCAACCTGTTAGGACCTCTTCCAGGATATTCCATTCCATCCATCTGATTTTGGCCAGTTCCCCCACTCCTTTAGCAAGCAGCTCCCTATGTTCAGTACCATCCCATTCTCCCAGACCTCTGAAGCAGCTTTTGGAGACCACAGAGAGCAGTGAAGGAAAGGAGGAGGCAGGAAAGTCTTCCTTCCTTCCATTCTTGGTTCACATGATCCAGAATCCATTATCAATAACATAGGGTAAGGTTTGGAACTGCTGTTGTTCCTAACTTGTTCAAGTGTTACAACGCATGAGAGATACTTATAGGAAGCCTCTCCTTAGTCTTGGAGTGGGCCATCTTAGGGTATGGTCTGAAGGCAAGTGAGGTCACCACCTTGTTGAAGCTAAGCAGCTCTGGCTCTGGATAGTGTCTGGATGGGTGACCACCAGGGAACCCCTTGTAGACCACTGGGGTTCCATGGTGGAAGGAAGGCAGGATGTTGCAAGCAAATAAATAAAATCCAGTGTTTGGATTGCCAGTCCCAGAGACAGAAGGAGCAAGATGGATTAGCATCACCAGTAGCCATGGGACTTGGCAGCAGGCTGTTTGGGGAAGGATGAGGGGATGTAGAACGTCCTCCCATTCAGAATTAACTAAACGCTGACCAAGGGGGTCCAAGTCTCCATGGCAGAATAATTAATTCCCAAGAAGCTATGGTGGTGTCTGAGAATAGCTACAGCATCCTTTGTTTTCTTCATTAGGAATGTAGAGTATTTAAAAACAACAACCCCCAAACCACCCTTCTAGATCTTTTAATTTCATGAAACATTAACTGGAAAGATTTCTAAGGCACAAGACTACAGTGGTACCTCTAGTTACAAACTTGAACTCGTTCTGGAGGTCTGTTCTTAACCTGAAACTGTTCTTAACCTGAGGTACCACTTTAGCTAATGGGGCCTCTTGCTGCCGCTGCGCCACCAGCACACAATTTCTGTTCTCATCCTGGGGCAAAGTTCTCAACTTGAGGTAACTCTTCCAGGTTAGCGGTGTTTGTAACCTGAAGCGTTTGTAACCTGAGGTACCACTGTATAAGAATAATTTCAGGGCCAAAGTCCAACTTTCTATTTTCCGTTAGGTAAACTGCCTTTTGCCTTTGCCTTCACTATGACTGTTATTCTTCTTCCAGTTCCCAAACCTCTCTTTATCTTCGCCTTAATCAGGGCTGCTACACATTCTTCAGATACAAACAGTTGCCTAGTAGCTTTGGGGTCATCTGACATTGCATTCCAGAAAAGGACAAGCAGTGAGCTGTAGCTCTTACCTTATATTTCTTACTGAATATTTTTGAGTGTTTATCAAAATATGCATCTCCCACTTTTGCAAAATGCAGCCAACAGTAGCAAGGCTAATGCCGCTAGCCAGAAACAGAACGTCCCATAATGATCTATTTATCTTTCAAATACAGTGGTACCTCGGGTTACAGATGCTTCAGGTTACATATGCTTCAGGTTACAGACTCCACTAACCCAGAAATAGTACCTCAGGTTAAGAACTTTGCTTCAGGATGAGAACAGAGATCGTGCTCTGGCGGCACGGCGGCAGCGGGAGGCCCCATTAGCTAAACTGGTGCTTCAGGTTAAGAACAGTTTCAGGTTAAGAACGGACCTCCGGAACGAATTAAGTACTTAACCCGAGGTACCACTGTAAACCAGTTTTGATTTAACACCAAAATGAACAGAAAGGAGGTGTCAAGAAAAGGCACAGACCTCATTAGCTACTTGGGCTTCATACACACCACATATTCGAAGCACATTTAAAGCACCTTCCCCACACAAATAATCCTGGGAACTGTAGTTTACCTATGGCAGAACTACAATTCCCAACACCCTTAACTACAGTTCCCAGGATTCTTGGGAGCAGGGAGATGTGCTTTAATGTATGGTATGAACACCACACAGCCCTTACCTCTGAAAGTGGAGGACCCTGGAAGTCTATTTGCAGTTCATGCCCTCAGTAAAAAGGCAGGGCTATACAGGGCTGGAGGAGACTCTTGAGAGTCCCATGGACTGCAAGAAGGTCAAACCTATCCATTCTTAAGGAAACCAGCCCTGAGTGCTCACTGGAAGGACAGATCGTGAAGCTGAGGCTCCAATACTTTGGCCACCTCATGAGAAGAGAAGACTCCCTGGAAAAGACCCTGATGTTGGGAAAGATTGAGGGCACAAGGAGAAGAGGACGACAGAGGACGAGATGGTTGGACACTGTTCTCGAAGCTACCAGCATGAGTTTGACCAAACTGTGGGAGGCAGTGGAAGACAGGAGTGCCTGGTGTGCTCTGGTCCATGGGGTCATGAAGAGTCGGACATGACTAAACAACAACAACATACAGAGGAAGCCTTAAGGCAGCCCTTCGTACCTTGGTCTTTGGGGTTTGGAGGATTAACATTACGTACCTTGGGGGGAAATGAATAAGCATTACCAGCCCACAAACAAGCTGGCCTTTCCCCAGGAGGCTTATCTAGCCATTGCTCAGTGGCAGAAAACATTGCTCTTTGGGCAAAAGGTCTCTGTTTCAATCCCAGATATCTTCCCAATTGGAGGACTTGCACTGCAGAGCCACTGTCTGTCTGATATGGAGCTAGATGGACTAACTGACCAGTTAGTTTATCTCGCTCCATATCAGACAGGCAGGCAGGCAGGCAGTGGCTATATTTTGAAGAGGTGCACTGATGGTCTCTAGCAGCATTGTGAGGAGAGAGGAGAGAGAAAAAAAGTTGCCTTCAAAATTACAAACGCTTTCATCCCTTATTCCCTAAATATTTTTTACACATGTGCATCTATGCTTTTTAAATTTACCTGTCCTCCCTTTACTCAATGGCATTTCCCAGCCAGCACTGGCTATGTGAAGAACCTCATGCTTGCATTGGGGTGATGGTGGTATGTGTTTGTCTGGATAAATAAATCCTGCAACATGAATGCAGGAAAATCCACATGCACGTCAGTGAAGGATGCTCGCTGCGGTGGACAAAACCCGTTTCTGCCAGGCTTCCCCGATTTAGAGGACAAATCTATTTTGCACACTCAGCTTTTCCTCTCCTCCTGACCTGGCACCCCGGAAGTAGCAGGGGTACTTTTTAGTAACATGGTCTGTCTGTGTGTCTTGCCTACTTGCCTTCCCAGTAGAAACCGTGCTAGCACACCTAGCGCTCTGCTCACAAGGTGTGTGTTCATTTTCCTGCAACACCCCCCCCCCAAGCTAGATTGCCGCCTTCAGGTGTGGTGGGGGATGCAGCCCCACTGCCAACAGTTGCATCTCTTGCCACTTTACAATTAAAGCACTCACAACCATTTCAACAGCCATGGCTTCCCTCAAAGAATACTGGGAACTGTGGTTTTTTTGAGGGTGCTGGGAATGGTAGCACAGCCAGGAATCACATAACAACTCTCAGCACCCTTAACTGCAGTTCTCAGGGTACTTTGCAAGAAACCACGACTGTTAAAGTGGTGTAAGAATGCTTTTAAAAGGTCCGGTGTGAAAGTGACTTAATGTTGAAGTTATGATTGAACATTCCACCTGATTTCCTTTCCTGCAAGGTCCCTTATTTTATAACTTCCTTGTCTCATAGAGTGGGACATATGTCCACAATTTTAGGCAATAAAGCTTCAAGATACATTTCTATATATATATATATATATATATATATATATATATATATATATTCTGGGTCAGGAAATCTCATTCTCCATTACTCTGACTAGAACAGAAAAGGCTAAGATATAGAACACTGTAAACAACTAAAAGCTTTGGCAGGATTTGAGTAATGCCTGTAATGTACTAAAAACTAAGGTAAAAACAGATTACTGAAAGTAAAACAGAGAAATTATGTGATGCAGTAGGAAATGTTTGATAATGGAAACATGAGGGAGGGAGTCTAAGAATTCAGAGTATCCTAAATGAGGATGATTATGATTAATGTTTTAATTCAAATGTAGAATGTAAAACTGAATAAAAAAGATTTGTAAAAAAAAAAGGAAGGAAAAGGCTAAGATATATTCTTACAGCCTGTGAGACCACCATCTTGCTGACTCAGCTGTGAGTCCAGGTAGTGAATGTCTGGGAACCATGATGGAAGAAAGGCAGGATAGAAATGCAAGGAAACAGAAGATAAAATAAGTCTGACACACCTACCTTTGAGATCGCCATTCCCATCGCTGTCGGTGTCCTTGAACGACCGAGGGTAAATTTGGTAGATGGGGCTGGCTTGCCACCAGCCAAGGCATTTGGGGGACAGGGCAATAATGGCAATCGTAGCTGCCACAAGCACCAGCGAGGATGCAATGATCAACCAGAAAAGTATTTCTCTGGTAATTCTGTAGCGTGCTTGAGGTGAGAACTGGAGGAGCACTTCTTTGGGCATCCCGGCGTAAGGCCTCACTGGTAACTTTTCCGCCGTTTCAGCCTCTATGAAAAGAGTACATGTTTTTGGCAACCCATCTTGGCTTGTGGCATCGGCCTCCTTTCCCTCCAGCTCCTCGCTTTGAACAAACCCGTTGTTCTCGATGCCTTCATTCTGGCCCAGCTCGAGAGAGACGGCCCGGTCTTCTTTGCCAACCATTTCTCCTCAGTCCGTTCTCACCCCTCTCAGAAGACTCGGTGCAGTTGGAAGAAGGTGGGGCAGGTGGGAGAGAGGAAAAACCTTTGGTCGGTGAAGGAGGAAGCGTCATTAATCCCTGGTTTAAAAATAAACCTGAGAGACCAGTCCAAAGTCTGACCCAGATTAAGAGAGCATTAAGGGCTTCCACTCCTCTGCACAAAAGACCTTTCTTCGCAACGGGGCAAAATGTTGCAAGAGAACAAAGCTCCAGCTCATGCCAACCAGACTTCAAAAGAAAACAGCCTAGCGCTTCAGGAATGGAGGTACTTGAAGGCGGCCACTTCTGGGCAAGGCTTGTGTGCATTTAACACTTGCATGCCAGGCAGCCGTTCCACAACAAGCAAGGCCTCTGCCCGTTGAGTCACCATGCTGGAAAATGCTGCATCTGTTGAATACCTGCTGTTGGCATTCGCTGGGTGGGAGAAGAAATTCATTGCCCAGAACTCAGGAATGTGGGCAAACCATAATTTTTCTCTCTCATTCACTCAAATCTAACCACTCTCGCCAGAGTGGTGCATGCTCTGGTTATCTCCCGCTTGGACTACTGCAATGCGCTTTGTGTGGGGCTACCTTTGAAGGTGACCCGGAAACTACAACTAATGCGGCAGCTAGACTGGTGACTGGGAGCAGCTGCTGGGACCATGTAACACCGGTCCTGAAAGAACTGAATTGGCTCCCAGTACGTTTCTGAGCACAATTCAGAGTGTTGGTGCTGACCTTTAAAGCTCTAAATGGCCTCAGCCCAGTATACCTGAAGGAGCGTTTCCACCCCTATCTTTCAGCCCGGACACTGAGGTCCAGCGCCGAGGGCCTTCTGGCGGATCCCTCACTGAGAGAAGTGAGGTTGCAGGGAGCCAGGCAGAGTGCCTTCTTGGTAGTGGCGCCTGCCTTGTGGAACGCCCTCCCAGCAGATGTCAAGGAAATAAAGAACTATCTGACTTTTAGAAGACATCTGAAAGCAGCCCTGTTTAAGAAAGTTTTTAATGTTTGATGTTACATCACATTTTTAATATTCTGTTGGGAGCCGCCCAGAGTGGCTGTGGAAACCCAGCCAGATGGGCAGAGTATAAATGAATAATAATAATAATCTTCCTTACATTGCTTTCTACATCGTATTTATTCTTGTCAGGGTCACAGCCACATTCCAGTTCCCTAAGTTTGTAACTTTAAAAAATTAAGTTTTTAGCCCTTTTTATTTGTGGAGTTATAAGGAAAGTAATGCAGGCAGTATTTGGCTCAAATCAAGCAGGAGGGAAGAATGCTCTTGTGCTTTTGAGTTTTCCACACGCATTGGGTTGTCCACTCAGTGAACAGGATGCTGGACCAGTTGGGCCACAAGCTGATCCAGCAGGTTCTTTTTTTGGGGAATATTTTTTATTAGGAATTTCAACATAGCAATTTATCAAAAATACATCATCCTCAATTTTTTCCCTCCCCCAAAAAGAAAAACCCACCCTCCCACCCCACTTCCAGACTTCCCTCAGCTCCTCTCTCTGGTTTTTCAGCACATGTTATTCTCTGCATATTATAAAATTGTAAAGATCCTTAATTTATCTCTATATATATTACCAATAAGGGACGTGGGTGGCGCTGTGGGTTAAACCACTGAGCCTAGGACTTGCTGATCAGATGGTCGGCAGTTTGAATCCCCGTGACAAGGTGAGCTCCCGTTGCTCGGTCCCAGCTCCTGCCAACCTAGCACTTCGAAAGCACCTCAAAGTGCAAGTAGATAAATAGGTACCGCTCCGACGGGAAGGTAAACAGCATTTCCGTGGGCTGCTCTGGTTCGCCAGAAGCAGCTTAGTCATGCTGGCCACATGACCCGGAAGCTGTACGCCGGCTCCCTCGGCCAATAAAGCGAGATGAGCGCCGCAACCCCCGAGTTGGTCACAACTGGACCTAATGGTCAGGGGGCTTTACTTATATTACCAATAAGAAATTTGTGTATGTTTATTCAAAACCTGCCAAGGAGTCCAGTTCATTTTGTTGTTTCTTTAAATACTTTGTAAAAGGTTCCCATTCTTCTTTAAAGTCACAGTTGTCCTTATCACATAGTTTGTGTGTCATTTTTGCCAATTCCGCATAGTCCATCAGTTTCTCTTGCCACAGTTCTTTGGTCGGGATTTCCTCGTTCTTCCATCCTTGGTTCAGCGGGTTCTTCTTATAGCCTTATGTTCTTAGACATGTGAGTTTGGCAGCAGGGTGAGGAGGCCACGGCACCCTAACTCTGCCTCTCCCTTCCTGGATCCACAGAAAACTCAAGCCCTCAATAAATTAAGCCAGCAAACCACAAAAATAATTGTGCAGATAGAATGCCAGCAGCAGTGGGGGTGGCTTTCCACTTGAGTTTTGCACAGTCTGTCACATGTACAAAATGTGACCTATCAGTTGGGCAGAAGTTGTGGGTGTGCCCAAAGTGCAGAGAGTTCCTGGCTCTCCAGGAACAAGTTTGTTCCCACAAGCGGGACCCAAGCACAAGAGCACTCTCCCCTCCTGCTTCATCTGGGCAAAATTCTGCATGCATACCTTTCCTTATACGTAGCTCCACAAAGCTAAAAATCAAAATAAAATCTCCCTGCAAGGAGTAAAGTAGCACATCAAGGAGACGGCTACAGCGAAAGCAAGCTCTCTGCTATACTAATTTATCACATGTAAGGGGTTTTTTATATGTGTGTTCTTTTTTTCCTTTTTTTAAAGTGCAGAATTGTTCCAAGGTTCTATTGTGCTTATTACTCAGACCGTGCAAAGGTTGTTTATGCCCTGAATGTTTTGATGGATCGGATCTTTTTCTGAATAGCAAACACGTTCCCCTGCCAATAAATGGCTGCTCGCATTTGCCGGCTGCCTCCCTTCGCCCGACAACTATTCAGTGCAACTGCTACTAGAGGGGTGGCTGAATCTTGCCCTGAGGGGAGGGGAGAAGCAGCAGTAACGGCTCTTTTCTAAACAAACAAGATGTACTTTCCATTATTTCATAACAGAGTTGTTTATCAAACACAGGGAACTCTGGGAATTGCGGCTGTGAGTAGAATAGGGGTCTCCTAACAACATTCAAGGGACGCGGGTGGCGCTGTGGTGTAAACCACAGAGCATAGGGCTTGCCGATCAGAAGGTCGGTGGTTCGAATCCCCGCGACGGGGTGAGCTCCCGTTGCTCGGTCCCTGCTCCTGCCGACCTAGCAGTTCAAATAGACAAATAGGTACCGCTCCAGCGGGAAGGTAAATGGCGTTTCCGTGCGCTGCTCTGGTTCGCCAGATGCGGCTTAGTCATGCTGGCCACATGACCCGGAAGCTGTCTGCGGACAAACGTCAGCTCCCTCGACCTATAGAGCAAGATGAGCGCACAACCCCAGAGTCGTCCACAACTGGACCTAATGGTCAGGGGTACCTTTACCTTTAATAACGTTCAGCACCCTGGGGGCGGGGAAACTACAGTTCCCAGAATCCGGGGGGGGGTGACAGCTGTTTAAAGCGGTATGGTGTGAATGTGGCCCAAATACTGTCACGGTTCAGTGGTAGAGAATATGTTTTCTAGGCAGTTCAACCCTTGTTATTGCCAGCTAACAGGATTGCCTAGCAGGTGAGGGGGAAGATGCACCTGGCAAGACTGCCCATCACAGTGGACCACGTTCAGGTAGATAAGCAAAAACAGCCTGACCTAGAATAACACAGCTTCCTGCTTAGTTTGGTGAGAAAGTTAAGTAAATCTCTCCCTGTGAAATGAACGGAATTCAAGATACTGAACTTTGGCTGGATTATGCTGCCAAAAGAATACCCCTCAGGCAGTTGTATGTGCTTTGTAAATGATTAAACTTTTCATCCAAAATGGGCTGCTTAATCAGAACCACTAATCCCCCTTTTGCATCCGTAGTGGTGAGCACCTCTATCTTCTCCAACATCCCTGCCATTATTCTTTCCTCTGACATGGTTAAATTACATCAGAGACTTTTCACTCTGCCTCACAAACCTCCTGCTTTCAGAGACCGGCCTTTCAGCTGCAGCTGAATCAGCATTAATGGAATCAACTGATAGCATAACAATTCAGTCAGTAGTTAGGGAAACACGCAGGTGAGAGACAGGCATTCCTTAGCGCCATGCCTGTCTACACAACACCAAAGGCTTACAGTCAAATATTTGGCAGGTTTCAGAATGGTCAAATCTTTTGAGTTCAGTTTCTCAATCTTTTTTCAGTCTTGTGTACAGTTCTCCACATCAGTTTGTAGCAATTGTAACACAGGGTACTGTAAGGTGCTGAGTGGTTTTTAATTCTCTCTTTATTGATTCTTCTAGACAGCTTTATTTTTATTTATTCACTTCCTCTCTGTGTTTTGCTCTCTTAATGCTCTCCACTTCTTTCTAGTCGTTTCTGCCCGTCCCCTCCTGTCACTTCCAATCTGTCCCATTCGCCTTGTACCATCCAGATCAACAGGTTCTCAAAACATCCAAAGCAGTTGGATGTTGGGACGATTCGGGACAGGCAAAATTTCGCGTCTCTTCTTGCAGCACATAGTTAACCTGCGGAACTCGCTGCCACAGGAGGCAGTGATGGCCACCAACTTGGATGAATTTAAAAGACAAGTTCATGAAGATTAAGGCAACCAGCAGCTACCAGCTATGCTCTACCTCCACTGGCAGAGACATGACACCTCTGAACACCAGTTTTCTGGGGATCGCAAGTGGGCAGAGTTCAGCTGCACTCATGTCCTGCTTGCAGGCTGACCACAGGTGTCTGGCTGGCTGCTGTGAGAACAAGATACTGGATTAAAGGAACCATTGACCTGATCCAGAAGGGTTCTTATGTTCTTCGATTTCAGGAGCAGCTCCTGCACCTGCTGTTCTTCACAGACATGCCATTGACCACCTGAGTGAAGCTCCTGGACCACAATTTGGGAAATCCTGGCATAGAGAGCACACTGGTAGACAGGAACTTTATTGTCTTAGACAAGAACTGACCCAGGAAAAGCTTCTGATATAACTAAGCTCAGTGCCTATTTAGCAGATGTTGCTTGTCCGTCAGGGCAAGGTGACGCAATTTGCTTCAGGCAGCAGATCTGTCCCCTTCCCTGCCGTTGTGCTGTTGCTGGAGCCACGGGGCGAAAGCAGCATTGGGGCACTTTGCCTACAAGGGCAAAACATCTCAGGATGGCCCTGCTCTCTAGTGATTAAACCATGTCTAGGTTTGTGTGTTTAAAGAAGCAACAATTTAAATATATATAGCAATGTTGTAAAGGTAAAGGGACCCCTGACCGTTAGGTCCAGTCGTGACCAACTCTGGGGTTGCGGCGCTCATCTCGCTTTATTGGCCGAGGGAGCCAGCGTACAGCTTCCGGGTCATGTGGCCAGCATGACTAAGCTGCTTCTGGTGAACCAGAGCAGCGCATGGAAACACCGTTTACCTTCCCGCCAGAGCAGTACCTATTTATCTACTTGCACTTTGACGTGCTTTTGAACTGCTGGGTTGGCAGGAGCAGGGACCGAGCAACAGGAGCTCACCCCGTTGCGGGGATTCGAACCACCGACCTTCTGTTCAGCAAGCCCTAGGCTCTGTGCTTTAACCCACAGCGCCACCCACATCCCTCTTGTAGCCAGTGTTAATTCAGATTGTCACTCATTTATCTCTAAATCTCACGGGCATCCGAATAGCTCAAGCAAGTGATGCCTTGAGTAGTAACACTGTCACCTGTGTTTACAAGATGGTCTAGCATAGCCTCAGCAGATGCACTTGGGTTTCCAGGTACTACTTATGCATTTGGTTATTATACCTTCTCAGGAAAGGGAAGTTGTCATTAGTTACTGTTCTGCACCCCATGCTGGGTTGTCACAGAACATAGCTCAGTTGGTAGAGTAGGAGACTCTCAATCTCAGGGCCATGGGTTCAAGCCCCACATTGGGCAAAATGTTCCTGCATTGCAGGGGGTTGGATTAGATCACCCTGGTGGTCCTGTCCAACTCTACAAATTCTGATTCTGTTCTCTGTTTTCCTTGCAAAGTAATTGGGAGTCTACCCTGCCTTCTTCAAGTTGGGTAGGAAGTCTCTATGCTGACACTAATTATGATAGCTCTTGCAGAGATTTGTACCAGTTATAGAAACTTTCATAATTTGGACAGGTATCTCCAATTCCCCATTACCCTGGCCAGGCCACTTCTAAAAGTCAAATATTTGATAATTTCTTTTACATCTGATGGGATGGTGTTCCACCAGACGGGCACAAGCACTGAGAAGGCACATCTGACATAATGCGAAAAATGTACTCTGCTGAGCACTCTGGTTCGTCCGAGGTTATCTGTGAGAAACTGTTTGGGACATCCAATCTGGAAACTATTTGGGTACTGTTAGGTGAAAGTCCTCTGATCCAGCTCTTAAATATCTATGCAGATGCATGCTTCTCTCAGCTGCATATTCCTGCACTGCAGGGGGTTGGACTAGATGATCCTCAGGAACTCTTCCAACTCAACAATTTTTATTTGTGCACAGGTAGGCTCATGTGATTCCCTTATGCCATGATGCTTTATCTTTTCCAATTCCATCTTGTGATGTCAAGGTATTGGGGATTCCAGAGGGTGATGCCAAACCACACAATGTCAACATTACCACCTGTTCGCAGACCAGTGTCTCCAAACACCCCTCCTATTGTTTTCAGTAGTCCCGGTCTGGTAGCTGCTCCATGATTGAGGAGATTACCCAACTGGTGACTTCCCATCCCGTATGCAGTGAACACAAATTGCCCCTTCCTTGTATCCAAGGCACTGCAGGAAACCATCTGAGCTGTGCAAAACTGCTCTGGAGAACCAAGTGGTCTGCAATGTTGTGTGCGCCTTCCTCAGAAATAACTGTGAATCTATTTTGAAATTAATGATTGTGAGTACAGACTTAAGACACAGGAGAACTTGCCTCTCTCCAGTAAGAGAACAGAGACAGGAAACTCCAGGCTCTATCGAGATGCCACATACTGTGGATTGGACCAGAGGGTGCACATGCAGGGCTCACCCGCAAACATCCCTGGGTGTGTGGTCACCTCTTCAGACCTCCTGAAGGTGGTGTCAAAGCTCCTTCTGTTCTGGTGAATTAGAAACCTCTCTGCAATCAAGAAGCCTGATGAAGCAAGGCTCCCTTTTGCCGGGCTTCTAAGCACATTCAACAGAGCATACATAGAAAGCCCTTTCAGACAGCAACCCATGCATCTGGGGGTGTTGGGAGGTGAGCTTGCAAAGGCACAAGCACACTCCAGTGCCACCTGCTGTCTATGGCACAATGACATTATCCAGAGTCTTCTTGCTCTCTATTCAGATTAATTCAGAAAAAAATAATAATTTATTTTCTAGTGTTTGGAAGGCAACTAGCAATTGCAGGACAGATCCCATGACAGAAAGGTAATTGGTTCAACAACTACGAGATGTTTTGTGAAAGGCTCTTAAGGAAATCTGAGCATAGAGCATCAACAGATCATAATGAAGTTGATTGTCAACTTCAATGAACACTTCAAGACTTCCCTTGCCAAAGTCATCCCAATTTTCATCATTCTTCTGTGTAATAATTCTCTGCTTAAGTGAGACTATAGTTACATTACGGTCTGGAATTTTAAAGGGATGCCCCTAGATTTCTTTTTAACTAAAACAAAATATTAATTCCTCAGTATGTTTGACTTGAATATGACCCTGCTGCAGCCACCCAACTTCAAAACTGCTTTATGTGATTGATCGATGACATTTGTTATTTGGTAGCTTTGGAGATAACATTTCACCGTATAAGGAATATGACTGGATCATCATCCATGGCAGAACAAAATAAAAAATCTTGTTTAAGTGGACTGTGTCATGTTACTTTTCAGAAGAACTGTGAACCTTCAGTGAGTTTGACTGGCATCAATGATTTTTGTAGGCTACCATGCTGTTTGATGTAGTGCCACATTTGCCAAGGTGAAAACAATGCGAGAAACCCATGTAGCCAGAAGGTCTGTTCCTTATTTCAGCAATGTGTACCTTGCATAAAACTCATCTTGTTGGGAAATACAAGGACCTTGGGTTACACTGTTGTGCTGAACAAATGATGGGCAACTATTCCTTTCTGTTGGAATTCATTTGATAAAATTCAAATCATTTAAAAATCAACACCATGAATAAAAACCAAATAGGAACAATTACAAGTAACGTTTATGCTTCTGAACAGACATGCACCAGTTCCACAAATTTACAGACACCCCAGGCATCAAAGAGAAACATTACAGCTTCATTAAATGGGGGAGGCTACAGGATTTGGTAAATGAATAGAATTTTAAATCAACTAAATAGATTATATGTTCTGGTGGTGCTTACAGACCATAAAGAGCAGAAGATAGGCAAGCATTTGCAAAAAACACAAGAAGTAAAACAGTGCTAGCACCAGAGGAGACCACGTTAATGAGGATGGAGGAGTTTTCTAATAGGCCAAAATGAAACACATGTTCAGACAAAGCAACAAGACACAACCTTTTTCTTAACTGGGCCATTTCTCATCCCTTTGTATAAATGCAACTTCCATATATTGTAGAGTGAGTTCAGATGAAATGTAAAGCTGTCCGTGCTTTAACCTTCTTTTTTATGTGTTAGATACATACCACCATTTCTTCTTAAGATCTCAAGATGAAATTTATGATGGCTGTGTGGATTTAAAATAATAATAATAATAATAATAATAATAATAATCCAAAGCAAAAGCTAATCAAGAGATTTAGAGCAACTCTACCGATCCAGATTGTTTTTCTAATAGTACTCTCTTTTGACATCCTAAGCAAACGAAGCCACCTGAACAGAGATGAAGCAGCTCAAGTCAGCAAGTGCTTCACAGTGGAGGCTTCACTTCAACCAGCAGTGCAATGACTGCCTAAGATCCAAGCCACTTGGCTAACTGTTCCATATCGCAATTCAAACCACAGACGGCAGCTCATTGCATGAATCTTAAAACATTTTCAACAAGCTAATACAAATGAAATGGAATGGTGTGCACTGGTGCTATTTAAAAAGAGAAAGAGACAGAGAGAAGCCCACCTGATTCGGTGTGAGCTGCTGCACACAAACGCAAAGCACCGTCCACAAAATTTGAATTGCAAGGTGTCATCACATAGTTGCAAGCTTGTGATAGTTACACCTTTGATTACAGCAGAAACAAGGCTGTTTCTAGCATTCCAAGGCTGTTTCCTCTTTGCAAGCAGTAGACCTTACTTCCGAGTAAAATGTGCAGGATTAGGCTGCATACCAAACTACTTTTCACTTTTATTCTTGATCAATGGAGCTCGTTACGCTCCAGGTCTCTGCACCGTTACTGGCAATTTAAAACCAAACACAGCAAGCAGAGGTGATAGCAGGCAGGAAGAGAAAAGGATTGATTTGGACATAAGCCAAGACTTAGCTTAAGATCATATTTCAGCGGAACTGATGGCCTGCCAATGAAGCAAACATATCCATAGTGTGGTTGGCAGAAAGCTGCTCTCTCTGGATGCAAATTAGTTGTGCGGGAAAACCCAGCTTTACTCTTCAATATGGAACAATGACTAAGAAATATTCAGGTGTTTTGATGTAACCCCCTTTACATCATCTTATTGGAAAAAGAAAAGAGAGTGGCAGAGCAACTAAGCTATAACTTAACTGGGGCTATGATATGGTGCTTCAAGGAAACGATTATCCATTATAAAATGCATTAGAATTTATCCCTGTGTTTTAAAGTGACAGCCCACCAAACAATTTGTACAGGTAAAACAATTTAGGCTGTAATACGTGTCTCTTGACTTTTCCCCAAACTTGGCCTACAAGATTTTGACAGTGAATTTTAGTTTATATTTGGCATGGTTATCTTGGTGAACAGACCAATCCTAGCAACATCCTTTTAAGTCTACTAGATATAAATATCAACAATACACAAGTGAACATTTTCCAGGTTCAGAAGAATGTGATTATATTAAACCTTTAGTGTTTACTGTGGAGTGAACAAAAAGGCGTATTCTCAGGTATGGACATATAACAGCAAAAGCTATGAAAAAGAGTGAGGATCAACAGTCTGTGTAGCATCCTTCCGCTAGGGTTTAAGAACAGGCTGGCTTTAGCATCCATCAAAATAGCTTAGATCACACAAATAGGCACTTGCCTTCTGCTGTTGATGTAAATGGATCCAGCTCAGTTAGCAGAACACCTGTCAATAGCATTTCCTATGCAAAGGATCACACGCTGCACATAATGGCAATAATTCAGTTTTCTTTTCCCTTCCTGCACCTTGGGAAATCATTCTTCCTAAAGTTATGACCATCTGAAAGTAAAACTTATACTTTGCTTGAGTAACACCAAACATTTTGCATAATGTTCAGTAATATTTTTGCAAATAGCACAGGCTGACTTCCACCAACATGTTATCAACCACTATCATCTCAGCTTGTTTTCACTTGCAGTTCAATTCATTTCTAACCTCCTGGACCAAATTTCAAGCAGTGATGATTCTCAAGAACTAGGTGGTTATACAGACTTGTGCATTATTTATACGCAATTGTTCTTTGGAACCAAATATCACAGTAAAAGCCAGAGTTCTTATGCTCTTATAGGTCAACAGCATGCTGATCATACACCAAAAAAACACAATATTTACAATCACAGAAGCAAGTAATTGTTTTGTCACTAATTCCTTTCCCACAAAACTGCGCTTCTCACTGTTTTAGCAATCCTTTATTGAAGATAACAAGTTGGTTATGTTCACTGTATTGTATGAAACATCACAATATCATACTGGGAAGGTACTATCAGTACAGGATTGGACCAGAGCAGACAGTCTGAACAGTAAACCATTTTGCATTCTTCATTCCCTAGCTTTTAAACAACCCAAAAAAAAACCCAGTAGGGACAAATACCTGTTAACATCATCATTTAGAACACTTTAACTTACAAGGCTAAAATCTAATGAATAAATAAAATATATTGTGGCAATAATCCTCTAGCCCCTCCCAACCGCCCCCCTCCCCCCCCCAAATCAGATACACGAAGAACCAAATGATCGGGAAAACTGGCTATAGGCACCAGGTTACAAGAGTGTACATGGATCTACACTCGAGTGTGTGTATGAGGGAGAAAGCTACAGAAAAATACCATGAATTTCACACAAAACCAGTTGATGACTGTCGTTAGCTTAAACTACACACAAGGGCAACTACATCCTTGTTGAAACACAGTTTTAAACAAATAGGAAAATGTTTACAAGGCATCCACAGCATGTAAATCATGTACAAATGGATACATTCAATGTTTCCCCTCCCCAATAGCTTTTATTTATTTATTTTTTAGATAAATACTTTACTCTTCTCCACTTTCAGCATTAACTGGACTCAATACATGCACAACTCAAAAAGAATTAAGAAAAAAAAATAAGGTTATTGCAAAAATAGAATTAAACTAAGAATCTTCAAGTACCTTACATGACGGCCACTCTGTACCATGCCCATTGCTTATAAAATGAAAGGTCACTGAACCCATGAAAATATCTCTAATATTTTCTTAGATTTAAAATAGATAATTTTAGCTGTATTTATAGTAATCTCAAAGTGATAATTTGAACTTTGTAAATAATGCAAACAATTAAAAATTATACCCATATTACTCGACCTCTTTTAACAGCTGATAAGAAATCAAAGGGGGGGGGGAACTATAGAAAACCACATTTAGAACAAAATCACAATTTACATTATAATAAAGGCAAATATTCAGCATTAAAAAAAACCTGCAGCAATGAGTGAGATGTCAAAGCAAATTACAACTAACCATAAATTAAGTTGTTTGGTTTAAAAATATTTATTCTAGCAAGAGTTTATGGATGTGTTATACACATGCGCAAAATTCTTATTGGTTTTAGATGCCTAAAATCTTCTTATATTATTGCCAAATACACTTTATCTTAAGCAAGCAGTAGGCAACATATCACAATTTGGACACTGTAGGGAAAAACCTAACAGTCTGGTAATACAGGTAAAACTGGAAAATTTTAAATAAAAAAAAATACACATCCTATAGCATATTGCCCAACTGAAATGACTTTCCAAGCCCAGAGCTGCAAAAGCCTTCCATCTTGGTAAGGTGAAGTAAGTAAGTGTCTCATTACAATTATTTGCACTCAATTGTGCATTTATTGTAAGTTTTGTTAAAACATAGTGTGTCTTCAGAGTACAACTACAATCCCATGGTACTTTATGTACATTTAGTGATGTGCTCCCAGCATTATTCCTTCCTTGGTTTTTAGGGCTCAGGCTCCATAAAGATGTAACCAATGCGCCCAAGGCTGGTAAAAATACTGTAGTACAGGCAATGCTAAGAGTGGCAATATCAGAAAACACAAATATGAACAAATGATGGAAAATCCTAATAATTTCTTTCTGCCCATTTCACAAAATGTTGGAAATCCACCAGAATTTTTCCTTTGTATTGAAGAAAACTGATTAAAAGTTTTTCCCCCATTTTTCAGATTCAAAAGCATTTTTAGCAGATCTGTAAGGCTACCACGGATCTTCTAGATCGCCAGCACCCTACAGGAAAAGAAGAAGGAAACTGTTAGTGTTCTACTGGCCTAAAAATCCACATTGTCCTGAATTGCAACAAGGAATAAACATACAAGGAGGAGCTGGGACTTCTGGTTCCACAGTCTTACCAGACCATCATGCCCTCAGGTGGTTCAATCACTCTCCCTCCTCCGCTAACCCAGGAACATAATGGCAATAAAAGAAGAAACTGCCAGGAATACGAACCATTTGAAACTGTGACCAAGCAAATTAGCCTACGCATCTGCTAGACAGTCAGTATAATTTTTTGGAAGTATGATAGCAATACCTCAAAGCAAGCATTTCCATAAAGGTGAGCACAGCAATGGTCCTAACCCAAAGAACCCATAACCCAATACACATTTTTGTACATGTTAACACTATCATTTTTACATTCCAGTGTGTAAACAAGTCAATTATCCAATGGCAGAAAACTTAATAAAAGTAGCAAATATTATTTGCCCAGGAGTATCACTTCTGAAATAAAATTTGTTCAGTGAGTTAAAACTTAATACGAATAAAGATCACTCTCATATGTTAACAAATTAGATATTACACATTCTGCTCTGTTTGATGGCAACTTGAACTACCCCAAACTGCTTAAATAAAGTCAATATGCATTCAGATTATTCCACACATGTTTTATTTGGTCGTAGACAATAATAACTCATGTACTAAACACTAATGGTCAATACATTTTATCCATTGGATACATAGGTGCTATAAGTGCATCCTGAATACAATTTCAGAAAATCAGGTACAGATGATATAGTCCAAATTACAGCCTGACATAACACCGTATATTTTAATATAATGACTAACTTAACATGCCTTAAAACTTAAAGGGCTAATATGCCTTTGACATGACAAGAACTATTCACAATACAAACATGCAATATCTACATCACCATAATAAGTAAAAGAAAGTGAGTTATAATCAACACACTGTAAATGCTGGATTAAGGTGACAATTTTAGGCTCTACCAATTTAATGAAAACCACAGAAGTTATAGCTTTCACTTGAATGGATTTACAATATGACATTCTTCTTAGACTATCAAATTCTAGCCCAATGCCATGAGACTAAAATCCGCAGAAACCTCTTGACCAATGTACAAGAATTTTGCTGCTCTGCTTCCTGCCATGCATGCAGAGGACAAGCAGTAACAATGCCTACGCAAGCAGCAGTTCTCGGGAAGAACTCTCCAACACACAAAACACACAGAGAGAAGAATACCTTTTATGCATTTAGCATGTACAAATAAATTTAAGAGGAAAGCTAACTGTCTAAGATGTAACAAATAGCAAAGGACCAAGACATTATAATCGCTAAACCATCAACTGTGTGAAAAAAACGAAGGTATTACAACTTTTTAGCACCCTGTTCATCGCCCATCTCAGAATCTTCTTGAGCACTCTGCTCACTTTCTGCTTTGGTGTCTGTCTCTTGGTCACTGGATCCATCAGAGGAATCTGAAGTAGAGGCTGTAGCCGATTCATCAAAGCCTTCTTCTCCCTGCATTCTAGCTAGCCTGTAACTAATCAGCACGTCCTCCAGAAGGTGGCGGTAGTTCCCCCTATGAGTAATTCTCACTTGTCTGAGAGCTTCCACCAACTTTCCCTGTGTTCCACCTTCTGCGGCTTCGCCAGGGTCCTTATTTAAGATTCAAGACCCCAGAATCAGTGGTTAAACTAGGATATTTCTAAATTTATTAATACATTAGACAAGCTATGAAGAATCTCTAGAGTTCTATGATCTAGAAGTAAACTTTCAGCCAGTCTTAATGAGCCTTGGGGAGAACACTTATAGAAGTTAAGTGTCCTAAATGCTTATGGTTAAAGGAAGTTTATTAATTGTGAAAAAGCAATGTGGAACCAGATCTTCCTATTCTGTCATTTCATGGGCATTTTGTTCACTCAAGACAGTTGCAGATGGCTGGATAGCATATATAAATTTCGACCTTTAAATGTAAATTATATACCACTGGTGCTTTGAAACACAGCAAAAACAAAATAAAAAATTGTGAACAGCTTAAGTAAAATGAGTTCCTACTTATCTTGTTTAGGAAAGAGGTACTTTAGGTGTAATTGAGTAAGTCACATGAAGTTGCCAATAGAAAACTTATTGCCAATTGGGTGCACTCATGGAAGACTGTAACATTTCTTTCAGAGGCAAGTACAAGCTAACTCTCCACAAAAGTACAAATCTATCGAGATATGCAGATGGCATTGTGAAAAGAACTTCGTTTTAATTTACAAATTCTTCAAAATATATCCCCAGAGTTAAAGAACCAAAAGGCACTTTAATTTTAAGTCTGCTGAATGTTATGACTTTAAGATTTAGTATTCTTAGAACACTAAAACTAGATTCAGGGCAGGCAAAAAGTGGTGCTTTACACAGATTACTCAATTCACTGCCAGCGGATTTGTTGGCAACCTTAAACTTAGGTCCTTTTAAGAGGGAGATGAGAACCATCAGTGGCTACTAATCGTGATGGCTATATGATGCCTCCAGTATCTGGGGAAGCCTGTATTTTAAATATTAGTTGCTAGGCAACAACTGCAAGAAAGGGCTACTGCCATCCTTTGGCCTGGATCCAGCATGGCTCTTAATGCTCATTATGTTTGATTACCTGTGCCTAGTAATAAAAAGGATCTTTGATGAGACATACAGCTCTGGGATTGTCAACATAGCACCCGTGGGCACAGATGTGCTCACCAAGACTCTCACTGGCACCTGCTGGCATCCCCACACTGATTACAGTGCTTATAAGGCTTAAAGGCTGCTTTCTATTGTAGACAACAGAATATTCTTTCAAGCAAAGCTTTTGCATGGGGGGCCTATGGAGGGTGGCACAGCTAGGGAAGGGAGGCTTAACTCTCCTCTCCCTAGCTGTGACACCCCTTCACAAACACAATTAAGCTTTAAACAAGCCTCCTACAGGAACAAATGAAATGTTTTTACCAAGCCTAACTGCAATGGGGGAGGAGTAACTGAGAGGCAGACAGCTAACCCTTCTCTCCACAGTTGTGACCTCAAAAATTGCCCCAAGGAGGGAATCCTTCTACTTAAAGCCTGACTGCTAGGAGGAGGGAAGTGGGGAGGGGGTTGTGATGAGTGTGTGGTGCCCACAATAGTTTCTATAGTTTCCAAATGTGCCCATTGGCTCAAGAAGGTTGGAGATCCCTGTTATAGCCGAAAGTAGCAAAATATGCCTCTCAAAGCAGGCAAAGTGTCCTTCCCCAGTCACATATATCATAAGGGCTTAGCAGTAAACCCTCTGGCTTTATCAACAAGGAATCATGCCCAATTCAAAATCACTGGTATTGCAAATTGGCCCATTCCAAAGAAATGGTACCTAATTCAGAGGCTTTTTTTTTAGGCCTTTTCATTGGCTGATCCTCATAGTTAGCTAAGGTATCCTCATACCTTAGCTAAGCCAAACACACTATACAAACTGATTAAGAACAAATGAGAGGCAATAGCAGCAGTGCTGTGTGTTTAAGCACAGGACTACCATTATTGCGCAGACACAGTGGCAACCAATTCTGAGAACAAAAAAGGGACGTGTGACACTATCAAGTACAGAACCTTCCTCTACCAACAGCTAACCTCCCAGACGTCCATCTACAGAAGCTCTTTTCTGCCAGCCAAGCATTTTTATCATCAGAGCTTCGCCCATTTATCCTTCTTGCTGTGCCCCATCTCCCATTTGCACCTCAAACTCACATTCTCATCATGACCACATGCAACTCAAAAGGTGTAGGATCATCACAGGAAAGCGACTGCATCTTGGAATACAAGAAGCTGAATATACTGTTCTGTTTCAGGAAACTTCAGTGTACTACCTTCATTCCTTTTGATGAGGTTTCTGCTGGTTGTGCCCAGAACAAGCCAAAATTAAAGGGGAGGGACCTTAGCTGAGTCGTAAAGCACATGCTCAGCATGCAATGGTCCCGTCTCCAGGGAGGGCTCGGAAAGACCAGTTTGAACATTCTAACAACTATTCCTTTGATGGTTCTGTCAGAAACTGTAGCTACCCAATTAGGTAAAGGGACCCCTGACCATTAGGTCCAGTCGTGGCCGGCGTACAGCTTCCGGGTCATGTGGCCAGCATGACTAAGCCGCTTTTGACAAACCAGAGCAGCGCATGGAAATGCTGTTTACCTTCCCACTGGAGCGGTACCTATTTATCTACTTGCACTTTGACGTGCTTTCGAACTGCTAGGTTGACAGGGGCTGGGACAGAGAAACGGGAGCTCAGCCCGTTGCGGGGATTCGAACTGCCGACCTTCTGATCGGCAAGTCCTAGGCTCTGTGGTTTAACCCACAGCGCCACCCACGTCCCTTGCTACCCAATTAGGAAAATATAAAATGTCAGCCATTGATACCACCTCCTCACATGAATCATGAGTCTCAAATACCTCAAGAATGAGGGTTGTAGCCAACTAGGTTTTACTAAGACATCCTTTAATTCCAATGACTCTACAAAGTTCATCACGTTCAATTAATTGCAATGGGCCTACTCTGAGTTTGACTAACACTAGATACAACCCTAAGCTGCTCCGAGATTAGATGACATGAAGAACTATTATGCATTAATTTTGCATCCAAAGTGCTCCCAGTTTTCTAATGGTAAACTCTAACGCAAAACTAAATTCAGCAAGGTACCCAATATTCATGTGAAATTAGGAGAAAAAATTAGAACACAAAAAAAGCAAACCTATGAAAAATGTTTCCAGGAAGGAAAACAGATTTTCTCAGATCTGGATATACACCATTAGGACAGATAACTAGATATGTCAAATGTATTGTAAGTAGTTTGAGAACTGGCCTTGACAGATTTATTTCCTTTTTTTACAGTGAAGTAGTATTCACAGAGTGACATATATTAATGTGAATTGATACTATTTCTCATTCTGCAATCAGACTATGATCTTGTCATGTTTTCTATATTATGGATATAAATGCCAGATATTTCTTAGTGTTGTGGGCCAATTCAGCTACATAAATAAACTTTCAGTAATGAAGTAAGTGGGGCATCTGTTAACATTGCATTAATTGCAACACAAGGAAGCCTCCACCCATTATGTCACAGAATTAAGCAAAGAAAATACATACTAGGCCTGTAAAAACCCACAGAGCAGGTGAGATTTTTAAGCCTTTATCAGAAATTGGAAACCTTGGATTTTAAATCTACTGCTTCTTGTATTTTTATTGTTGCTAAGATAATTGCTTTTGTTTCTGATGTTTTCGATCTGTTTTATATTTGTTTTATGGTTCTCTTTTGTAGGCTATCTTGAAAATATGGATTAATAAAATTATGTTTGTTTTTTTAAAAAAGTGAAACCTTGCACTTTTTCCCAATTTCTATCTCACTTGTTCTACATTCACCATGGCCCTATTCCGAGCCACCAAATCTGGCAATTCAGCATAACACTGGAAAGCTCAATTAAGGTTCCTAAAATCAGAGTCAGAAGCAGCTGGGTGGGCCCATAACTCTGTGCAGAACAGTCTACATTAGTGGGAGAAACTACTGTTCTTGCTTCATAACTCTGAAAAAGCACATTCTTTGACTGCAAAAGGAACTACTGGTAAGTTCAATTAGCACCATCTCCAGATTCTGCTGAGACTTTCCCACAACTGCAACCCTGGTAGACAATGGTGAGCTATACAGAACAATGGTGTGACTCAGTATAAATCAGTTTCATTTGCTTTGGGAAACACAGAAAACACACCTCCTATGCTATTATGAGAGTACAAAAAACAGAAGTTCTGATCTACTCTATCCCTGAAGGGAAAATGTCAATGAATACATTATTAGTGCACAAGAATGTATTCATGTGGATCAATGTGATAACACACTTTTTAATAACTGAAGGAAAGAAAAATGGGAAAACCTCACCAACAGCATTTCAAGACCAAGGCTGAGAACAGAAAATCTAATTCAGTTGAAATTTCTGGGACTTTCTTCCAAGTGAATATATTAAAAAATTACATTAAAAAATGCTTATTTCAACAAACTAGAGATTGTGTCCTTTTAGCACATTTTAATTAAGCTGTTCACATTAGCACACATTTCTACAAGCCAATTTTTGAGAAACACACCTTTTACTATGCATCATCTAGGTTATTCTGTATTCTTCTCTGCAGTTATTACAGGCATTTACAATCCACATTTCCATATGAAAGTTTAGCTAACTAAGCACAATACCTATGCCAAAACTAAAACAGAACACAGCATACCAAATTCACTCTTTGGGGCCTAGATTACTTTGTTGGGAGTTCTGAATACTCATGGCTCAAAGATTAAGCTATTTTACATCACATAGTAAAATTAGCTTACTGAAATAGCACAGTGTTATTATATGTAGGTGGAGCCAGGAAATAAGAAACTTGTGATTCCTTGCAAGCCTATACACCTTGCCAAGCATGTCTCTGGCAGGGAAATCTAGACATGCTAAGAAAGCCTGGGAAAGTATTTTGAAACCTGTATACTAGTAGTGAAATTAATATTCCTAGTTTGCCAATTCTAAGTAGAAAACAAAAGAGTCCAATTGGCTTTCATAGAAAACAGTTGGATCACTGGGAGAAAACTAATTTAAGTATTCAAACCATAGCATCAGGTCTTACCTAAATTATCTCACTGTACTATTCCCACAGAAACCAGTGTTTCATATCGCTTAATCATAAATAGCCCCTCTCTTACTGTGTGCATAGAAGGCAGAGAGCCTTTATTGTGGTGGCACCTCAATTTTGGAACACCTTCCAGCAAGGAGGTTTGACTGGTGCTGACACTACAATCTCTCAGTACCAGGGTGATATATAATAATAATTTTATTGTTTATATCCTGCCCATCTGGCTGGGTTTCCCCAGCTACATTTTGTTTATACATTTTACATTTATTTTATGGCCTCTACTTAATAGTTCCTATTTGTGTGTTTTTTAATGGCTTGAACAAATGAGTTGTTATTATTAATAATATTATTATACACTATCTTGGAATCTACTAGTCAAAGGGTGGTTTAGGAATTTAAAATAAATAAATGTATCCACTTGACCACACTATTGCCTTTCTACTAGGCAAGATGGCACAACCAATTAAATTGTACCTAACAGGAAGACCAGTTGCATATTTGGTAAAGGCCTAACAAATGAAGAAGTCTCAACATTAGGTGTCACACATTTATGTCTGTCTCTCACCTATTTACTGTAAGCATATAGTATTAAAGAAATGCTTATATTGGTGACCCTGCATTCTGGTATAGAGCAATAGCAGCAGTTTGCTTCTTCAGAACAAGACATCCCAGGAGGATGCATTAACCCTTTAAATTCAATGTATTTTATGGTGGCATGGAACAATGCACTTGCAAACACACAGTTATAACATCCCCCACTGAAATATTATAATTTACTTGCATCAATAAATGCTAGCAATCAAATGTAGAACTTACCCCATCATTCTCTCTGTGTGGGTTCAGCCTGTTATAAACAGCTTCAATAATATTTCGCCTAAACAAAGGTAAAATTCTAAGTTATGCTTTGAGCAGGTTTTCACATACAAAAGTAAACAATCTGCTCTATTAGTTAAGATGGCTAAACAGCGGGAATCTATTGTCCTCCTGCTCTGCTTATAGACTTCCCAATTGGTGGCCAGAAATTCTGCCAATGGCACTGTTTCATGAGCTGTTGTGTAAATGTGCAAAACACTGGCTACATGGAAGACATTCAACAATTTGCCATCCCCACCTGCCATTCTGAAAGACAGCTCCAAAGCACTTTTGCTGAAGTGGCTCTTAGGTTTACAGTGTGGTCTTGGGCACACTCTTCCCCCTCAAGCCTACCTACCACACAGAGTGTTAAGCTAAAATGCATCTCTGCCATGTCTTGAAGAAAGGGCGGGATAAAAATACAACTGAAACTGTTGGCTTCTGCAAGTAGTTAAAAAAAGATGCAGCAATAACTATATGCCCATGCCATACATTTAAATTAGTCACAAAGGAAGATTAAAATACATGCATGTGTCAACAAGCCCAGCCCAGCTTTCCTCCATTCAGATGTGTGGGAGTGAGGATTGAATTACACTTTTATGAAATGAATAGCATGTAGAAGACAGGCTGAACAATTTAGCAATATAAGATGTAAGCCTGTATACACCGTTTCAAAGCCATAATTAAGAGTTTCATTGACATTCTGCACTTACTTGCCAGCTAGACCACCTCCTGGTGGTAAGTTTGGAATATTCTCTGCAGACAAAATGCGCATTACATGAGCAAGATCCGGCATTCCTTCTTCGCCTGACTTCTCCATAATTTCTAGTTAAAAGAAAATGCTCAAATTATTAAAACCAAGAGGAGACACAGAAAACCTACACGTGATACTCAATGCAAATATCTCAGACCTGGTACAAATACACGTGCACATCAAGAACTTGAGCTATTTTTGTATATAAAAATGTTACCTGCATGAAGGTGTAGCAAAATAATACACTCAATAAAGTGTTTCGCAACATGTAGCAATTGTTTTCCATATATTTAAAAAAAGGGATGGACAACTTGTTATTTTAGTATCAGTCTGATAGGTTGGCTGTGTTCCAAACCAAAGAGATTACAGCAAAACTTCAATGCATCAGCCTATACTGTGGGATTGTATGTGTACATTCCTTACTTTTGGGCATCAGTCACACATGCCCTTCGAAAGCAAGCATTACAAAATGACCACTAACAAAGGGTATGTGTGTGGAGAGGAGATGCTGAGCACCTAGTATACGGAAGGCAATAGTTCTGTGTTCATGCCCACTTAGAAAACTGGGGAAGTAGTGCACAATCCAACACTGATTAGGTTGGAGAACAGAATCAATAGGAATATTCCTGTTTTACTGCTCATATTAGAGGGAGAAAAAAATTACCAAGGTCAGCATAATTCTCCAACTTAGAAATGCCTGACTACACAGCTAAAGTGATCTCAAGTAGACATTTTCGGGCTTCTCAAATCTCATTCCCTATCTGGAGAATTCAACTTTATAGTATTTTGTACATGGCTGCAATGCAGTCATGGTCTCTCCCAAATAATGGCAGATGTACGCACAGGCACATACAAACACTTCTGCAAGGTGTTCTATTTGCTATGGAAACTCTTGTGTGTAAAATCTCATTTGCACAGTTATTATGATCCTGACATATTTTTAAATTATACAGTAATCTAAATAGGAAACTGCATATTGGACTAGCAGTGCAACTTCTAAGAAACATGTAGAACAAGACGCTCTGAAGCTTCACAGCTAGATCTTCTCTCACACCGATTCCATGTCTGGAGTTTTAAAATATCATCTGTCCCGAGCAAGATTGCCTATCTAGTTTATCTAGTAATATTTTTCCGGTTTTCATTACCATTTAGAGAACTGCATTTTCCTTTCATTCTTCTACCTTTTTCCTTCAACCTTCTTTCAGAATTGCTTATTTATTTTGACATCCAGCTCTCTGGCTCCATTCTTCCACTCTACACTTCCTTTTATCATTACTGTCACTATGATGCTTACCTACATTCCAACAATACCTTTCTATCCCCAATGAAAAATATCAGCTAATATATTAAAGGATTATATTCTTCAATGAAAACTGACAGAAGTTTCAATCAACAGCCTGGTGGCTTTAGGTGGGAAATATATTCAACAGAAGACAATGTTGTATAAGCAGTTTTCAACTGGCTTTTTCCGGCTCCACCTTCACACCCCCCCCCCCGTTGCTTCATCATATTAAAGACCCCCAATAAAATATAGCCATTACCCTTGTAGTTACTCTAGAGCTTACTTGGACTCCCATTATCAAGCTATGCTCAACTATAGAAGTATTAGCACAAAAATTCTTATTATTTGCCTTCACATTTCAACCACATCCAGTTCAAAATCCAGAAAGATAAAATAATAGCAGTTAATGTGCTGATTTATAGAATAAGGAAATAAAACAAAAGAAAGAAAGCTGCAAATCAAGAGTGGGTCAGTTCTTCCACAACAAAAGGAAGTACACACGATTGCTGACTACTATTTATAAAAGTGCATTTAAGCTGAAGGTATTTTCTCTTCACTGTATCTTTACACTATAGATACTCTTTTCATCTCTTTTCAACTGGTTGACTATATTCACATAAATGTACACAAAACTATGGAAAGAATAGTTTTGTTGTTTTCAAAGGTGATGTGCAAGCTCCAAAAACACCCCTCAAACATCCCCCCCCCAACTTGGTAACATGTGAATTCTTGATTAAACCTGAAAGGTTAATTTAAACACCCAATGCAAATAAAAAAATCTAAGTTACTCTATGAAGCTTTCTAACACATTCCCTTGTTACATGAAGTCAAGAAATCATATTGCCCCAAAGGATTTTCTGCAATCCTGTTCTGTGAAAATTTATGCAAAACTACAATCTCTACATCTCTTGGACCACAGTTCCAATTCAAGCTACTTAATTAAGGAAACAATAGACATTTGTCAATGGCCAGAGTATTTATTGGAATTAGGCAAAATCTGAAGTGAAAGAAAAAAGTAAGGGAAAAATAAGTCTGCTCTTCTGCATTCTCTTCTGTTTTCTTTATATTCTTCTATCTTGAAATAAAAGTCCTTCAATACTCTAACTCTCATTTCTTGTCAAGTATGTGTCACTTAAAGTTGTTACAGTTCATCCAACGTACAGGACATTGAATGACTTGGGCAATTCCTGTAGAGAAAAAATCAAAAGCAGCACACATAGGGTTGAAAAAATATGGGTAACTTATTATGTTGAATATTTTGGCTTAACACTATACATGAGCTATCCTGTATATGAAATTGCCTGTGGTAATAAAGATCCCCCCCCCTTTTAATCGGTTTGATGCATCATGATCTATGGTACATTTTGAACATATTACATCTTAGAAGTGCTCAACCTAGTGGCCAGACAAAGGTAATTATTCCACTGAAGGAAATAATGCATTTTATTGCAATTACCAAACAGAAGTTCTTCCTGAAAAACGTAACAAGCTAGGCTTTTAAACTTCCGAAGTTTTGCGGCACATGGGCCCGGTTATGAAGCAGAGTACAGAAATGATACTAAAAATCTCCTTACTTTGTGCACCAATGGAATGGATCCCCCTAGACTGGGGACAAGAATTAAATTCTTTAGCAAGCTTCCCAATAGTACGAGCACTTCATGAAAGGGCCCTTCACAAAGTCCCTCTTGCAACAAGTTTTGTAGTATAAAATTTAATGCTACAAATCCCCACAATGTGGGACCAAGCAAGCACTGATTGTAGCAAATGTATTTAGACATGTAAATGCCACAAACATTTGAGCCCATTAAGTTTCTTGGTTGTTAGGAAAAGCACCTATAAAGCTCAGAAGCATGGCCTAACAACCACTACCTTTGGAGAACAGTTAAGTAGGGGAATGTGCTGTCAGTGTGGATTCTTGCACAAGTTTACAGAACTACAGGCTGGTAAGTGGCTTACTTGCTCACTTCAGGCCATTCAACCAACTTTACCACAAATGAAGTAAGGTTAACTTAAATATGAATACTTTTAATCAATAGGGAAGTGCTCAGCCATCCTCTTATAAGTATACTAGAGAAGTCAAGCTTCCACCACTACTCTTTAAGGAAACTAGTGTCCTGTAAGCAGGAGTAGAAAAACTAGCACAATAGCTTCCATGAGTTGCCTTTACTGTTTTGCAAATTTAGTAGCAATTATTTTTTCCTCTAACTACACTTTCATATTTTGAGTTCTGTCCTCTGAGGACGCAACTTTCAAGAAGAATGTAAGTTACCAAACAAATATTTAAAGATAAAGAACTTCCAAATTTAGTATTAATTGGAAACTGCTGGTCTATGACAGTAATAAACTGATGATTTTATTAACTGAATTTTGTACAATTTAGTTATAAACAATTTAATGCCAGTTCTATATGCATGCCTTTCAGGTTCAAAATACTTATTTTACAAAAGGTGGAAACTCACCCAATTCAGAAAGTGATAGATATATTGAAATGTAAGAGTCCCCCTGAATTCCTGATTATGATTTACATTACTTTCTTTGTCTAGTAAGACAAAATGCATGAAACTCAACTTACCTTTATACTTAGCTCTCAGATTTTCCCCTTACACACAAACCATTCTGGCTAAGCCTCTCACATAAACTTCTCTATACCACAATAATCTTAACTTCAGTGTACCTGCTAATAACAGAGTTTATATTGGGAATAAATAGATGATATGTTTGGCAGGTTGTTGTGAAAGTTTTCATTCTTCTCAAGATTAAAGAACCATACTGAAACATCAAGGAGGTTTTTGTGGAAATCTAGTCACTATATAGCCACTGTGCAACTAATTTTCATTTTGCATGCCATTTGTAAACATATTCCATTGCAGAGGTTGTTCTTGGGAACTTAAAGGTAAAGGTAAAGGGACCCCTGACCATTAGGTCCAGTCGTGGCCGACTCTGGGGTTGCGGCGCTCATCTCGCTTTATTGACCGAGGCAGCTGGCATACAGCTTCCAGGTCATGTGGCCTGCATGACTAAGCTGCTTCTGGTGAACCAGAGCAGCGCACTGCAAGTCTTGGGAACTTACAGGCCTGAACTTATTCAGTTGCCCTACCCCTAACTCCCCTGCGGCCAACCAGATCTCCATGAGATACCCACAAGCAGAATATGAGCAGTGACAGCCTCTCCACTTGTAATTCCCAGCAAATGGGGCTGTGAGGCATAATCCCTCCAACAGTGAAGATAGAACATAGCATTATACCCCATGAGTCCTGTCTCACTCCAGCAACTACTATGAAGAACTGGAGAATGGCCTCTGTCTGAGTGGAACAATCTAGGGGTAAGCCTAGGAACAACCACATACAGTAGCACTTGCAAGAGGGGGGACATAGGATGCAGCATGGGATGGGATCCTCTCCATGATGCTATCTTTTTTTTCCAAATGGAAAATCATCTAGCCTGAATGCACAATTTTCCAATCTGCCAGACTTCCTCCTTCCTTGCTTTCATATATGCAATAACAAAATAACTTAACTTTCTTCCCCATTTTACTGCCCATTCACTCAGTCTGGAGAATCCTTTGGAATCCTGTCATAATCTTTCTGTATTAGTGTCTCTGAACAATTTTTACTATCATTGGCAAACCTGGTTGCCTCTCTGCTCACACCTAATTCTAGATCATTTCTGAACAAGTTAAAAAGCACAAGTCCCAGTACTGACCCTTAGGGGACTCCACTTTCTTCATTTGGGAAGCTGTCCAAGTAGGTCTAAGGTAGCTTCCTGCTACCTAACCAAATCCTGATCCACAAGAGGACCACTCCTCTTATTCAATAACTGCTAAATTTACTTAGAAGTACCTTGCTGGAAGCTTTTTGAAAGTCCAAGTACACTATGTGAAGTGCTTGTAGACACTCATATGATTCTGAAAGATTACTGAGGCAGGACTTGCCCTTGCAATAGCCATGCTGGCTCTGCTTCAACAAGACTTGTTCTTCTATATGCTTTATTTTATATTTAACAATACTTTCCACCAATTTCCCCAGAAGAGCCATTAAGCTGTCACACATTGTTTACATGCAAGTTCTGTTGGTGGCCCTACCCTTGACATCTATGCACTGAGCATGTGTAACTATACAGAAGAAACCAATGACTAGAGACTTTCAGATTCCCCTGTGTAGACATCCACACTCAGTGAATGGATCTGGGGTGTGGTCAGACTTGGGAACCTTCTGGACATGGGGGTAGGACACTTCTACAAATCTAACATATCAAACAATTAACATGTATTATTTGTGCTTCCCCTGCCGACCAGGATTGTAAGGAAGGGATTGCTGGGCAGGTGCAAACCATAGTTCTCCAGGCTAAATGCAACAGTACAAGCCTCATTCCTATAGTACCAAACATGGCATGGTTCTGCATGTGAACTGACCTAGATGAGACACACAATCTTATTTTCTCAACAACATGCAAAGGTGCAAAACCAGGTAAGCTTATATAGGATTTGTGACACAGTGGTCGATAAACAATATAAATTATGCTAGACAATCAGGTACATTTGGGTAGCCATGGGGCCCTCCAAGTGATGTTGGACTCAATTCCCTTCAGTTCCAGCCTGCAAGTCTCACCCCGAGGACAAACTAGCCAACCCACTTTAAAAAAAAAAAAAAAATGAAGATAGCACCCAGATTAACATTCTCCAAGAACCAAAACCAAGTAGACAGATGAAGTAGGTGGCTGACTATGCTGAACATTTAATAAACTTGGTATATTCAGCAAAAAGTGCTTAACATTGAGGCAAAATACTGCAAGGCATGTGCACATGGTGGAACCTTTGTGTGGGCAAAACTGATCCCATCATGAGTCACACTGAGCCACATGTGTGAGAAACCTGAACCAAATGTCTGTGGTTTGTAAAGATGACTTGTTAATTTGAGCAAGCTAAAACTAAGGGTAACCCCAGGAAGTTATGTCTATTATTTTGACTCTATTTTAAACGGAGAATATATTTATCCATGTTTTATGTCTGTGCTAATAGAATTCTACTGTATTTGCAATGACCTATGTCTACAAGCAACAGATATTTATTGGAATTGGATTGGCAGGGACCACAGATTGTGTACCCACATCTGCTGCTGACAAGCCTATCCACCACCATCAAGACAACTCCACCATGCTTCTGGCTAGCCCATTCTCCTATTCACTAGCCATGCTTCCTTTTCTGATGTCAAAGTGGCAGCAACTCAAGTACACTCTGACATGCCCACCCCAAATATGTTTGAGGAGGGGTGGGACTGTAGCTCAGTGCTACATCATCTGCTCTGCATGTAGAAGATCCAGTTTCAATCCCTGGCATTTCTGGATGTAGCCAAGAAAGATTCTTGTCTGAAACTCTGGAGAGTCAGTCTGTGTAGGCAATACTGAGCTAAAACAGTGGCCTCACCTGGTATAAGGCAGCTCCCTATGTCTTGAAGGGGCCTTTCACCTGCACTGCTGCTGCTTTCCATAACGGTGGCAAATACTGTTTAAAGTAACTTTAAACATTTATAGTTACTTTTAAACAGTATTTGGCACTACTGCAGCAAAGCAGCAGTGTAGGACCCCTTCTTCTGAGCACTGAGATCAGAGGTGGTTTCAGGGCAGCACAATCAGTTCCCCAGAGCAGAAAGTGCAGCCAGTAAGCACTTGCCCAGCTACGGGAAGGTGGTGTGGGAGTCCTGAGGGGGTCCTATAGTTTCCTTCCCAAAGCCTAGTTAACACTTACCCAGCTTTGGAGAAATGGGAAGGCCCTAGGACCCCACTGGAGCCCTCGTGCCCCCTTTCCAAAGCCCAGGATGGCAAGAGAGTTGAGAGGGGGCACCTAATTTTGGTCTAGCTCAAGGCACCATAGTACCAAAGTCTGTCCCTGCTGAGATTCCCAGGACTGTAAGCTGGAGAGAAGAAGACCACAGTGGGAAGTGGACAGCTAAATTTCACGTTGACCTAATCTTAGGCTATGAATTTTCCAGCTGAATTAGTCTATATATTTTTCCAATGCCATTTCCATTCCTGATTCAGACAAGACTCAAGGTACCCTGGTAATTGTATAAACACATACTTCTACAGTTCAAGAACTGCACAAAGTTAAGCAACTTGGGCATATTAAGTAACACCCATCCAGATAATAATTTTCCATTCCATTCCACCCAAACGCTATGCCGTATTTTCTACAGCATTATGACCAGAGTGTATAATAAATCAACTGCTCGATTACCTGCAAGTGTCCCTAAAAACTAATGTTTTTAAACAATAACTTATCTGAATGTAGTACTTTTTAGTACTTGAAAAAGCTCATCCATGCACTGTTCTAAGAACTATCATAGACAATATTAATACTAAATAAAAGATTTCATTTAACCCTTGGAATAGGTACTGTCATGAAGACATATTTCATCATCCAGTTGATCATTATTCACCCCATTCCAACTCACAAAACTCTTTCACCACACTGTTAAGGACAACAAACACATTTAATTTTGTACCCAGTCAGGATCTGCAAGGAAGCTTGAGAAGCTAATAAAAAACAGTTTACAACCAACCATTAGCTCAGACAATGCCAAGTATTGTATCCAGGGGAACTTCTAGGAGTTAAATGAAGAGATTCCAAGAAAATGTTTGCTAAGCAGGTCAATTCTGCAAGCTTACTGGGCGATGCTTTCAAGATACATCCTTTAACAGTACATTGCAATAGTTAAATCAAGGAAGCAAACAAAAAAAACTGAAAGCCCCATGCACAGATGACCCAAACAATTTTGTTGATTGTTCAAATAAGACAGTGGCCCTTTGAATTCAATGTTGCATCTGCCTCTTCAGTAGGTGCTTTATAGCATGAAGTGTGGAGCATAGCCAAGTACCCTAAACCAGTTCCCCCCATTATCAATACAGACAGGAACCAAGCCATCTAACTAGGGATCCCTTCAGCCTGTCCTGGTCAATAACTGAGAGCAATGCCTGCTGAAACCTTCATGGTCAATAAGGGTGAAGATATCTAATGGCTGGGGGGAGGGAACATTAATGCCGGCTCATAATAAAGATTGAAGGTTTATGTAAAAAGAAATCATACATATTTACAATACTCTATACGAGGTGCAGACTTTAGCTTCACATGGTGCATTTTTCACTGTTTGGTCACAGAGTTTTAATCTTTCTGCTACTGAGTACAAGCAAGGTGTGCAGACCTGAGTTATCAAACATGGTTATGTGAGCAGAAACATATACTTGGTTGAAGATGCTGTCAACACATCTCCACATCTTACTCCATTATCAGAGCTGATGCGGACAACTTTTCTGATCATTATTTCCATGGAAATTTTTTTGTTTCATAAGTTCATTACTGCAAATACAGTATTAGGCAAGATTGGCAATTTCAAAATTGTAACTATCATTTTTTAGGTCCTCATGCCTTGCAAGTATGCCTAATTCTTTGGTTTTCAGTTTAAACAGTTTTCAGTAGCTTTTGGCCATATCCAATGCTGCTGTTTCACTAGAACAGCACTTTCACTTGTGCAGAAGAACTTTTGACTCTTTCCTGTCCCCTACAACTCCCCACACCGCCTCAAAATCTGCTCCAGAGGATTGGATGACCCTCCGGAGCAGATTTAGAGGGTGTTCCACTGCACAAGTGCAACTCCACAAGCAGAGCACTGGATAACACCCTCCCCCCACCTTAAATTACTACAACACGAGGGAAGTATATGTTATTGTACTTTAAATTTTTACAATTACAGTATTCCAATAAGGAATTATATGTAATATAATGTTTAAACTACATTAAGTGTGATTTAATTTCTTGCCCTTGAATATTTCAGGTAAAATACTTCTGCTGTTTTGAGGCAAAATATAGTATGGGGTATTGTAAAGCTTTGTTTGTTAAGTAAAATAAATATGCTAAATTATATCCTATTCTAGGGCATCAGAATAGTTTTCCAAAGCAAACTGGCAATTCTCTGATGCAAATGGCCATATCCAAATTAGCCTAATTTGCCTAGGAATATCTTCCAATTCAAACCTTTCCAGAAAACTTAGTTATGAGTCACATTTATCAGCCACTCTGGTTTAAATGGAGAGCCTACAAAACTTCACAAAACAGAACTGAGGAAAAAAAGTTGGTTATTGATTTTGTGGGTCAGGAAGCAAAAGTAGAGCAGCATCAAATTAATATGAGTAGGTGGAACTAGAATGGTTAAGTTTACACCGGTATTCCTTTCAAAGTTTCCAAAAAATGTATAAATGCAATATTCAAAAGTCCATTATGCAAAATAGTAGTTTCTATTCTCAAGGTCTGAATGTTATCCTTCCATTTCTCCCAAAATATATGAAAGTAAAAGATACTGAGGTCTTTGAAAAGCAATACCAGCTTCCCTCAGAACATTTCATACTGGCAGTTATATGAGAGGTGGGAAGCCTGTGACCTTCCAGATGTTGCTGGACTAAAATTCTCTAGGTCCATGACATCACCTGGGGCTGATAGGAGTTCCAGTACAGCATCACCTGAAAGGGCACAGGTGGTGCATCCCTGACTTATACCCAAGCCCCTAACCTCCTTCTCCCTTGAAGATACTTCATTCCTTGCACCCTCTTCTATGAACAGGATGTCACCTTCATAAGGAACACTTCAAAAGGAGGTGGGGTAGGGGGAAGTGGCTTACATCTGAAGTAATTTATACTGAAAATAGCCTGTACTCAAGTAAAATTGGTACCATATACTACCACAAAAATATACCATCAAACTAAGGTTTCTGGCTATTTCTCATCTCCCAATTAAACTTCAGGTTGATTTAAAAACATTTAGGCACACAGATATTTCATAATTCAACTTACTATGTTCCTGAGTAAAATCTCAAGTTTGTAAACACACACCAAATATGCACCAGGACTTTGAGTATATTTTAACCTTCCAGGCAGCTATTCTTATGTAGGAGAGATTACAAAATATGAATGGTGGTGTTGCCAGTTCAGCATATCAAGCCACATACACCAATCCATATTATCCCGTAGCTGAAAAATATAAGCCACTTTGTCTGCTCTGTAAAAGAATTTGCTATGCTTAGTAAGAGATTATGTTTTAATCAAAGATGAGCTAACATTCCTAACTTTACAATGTGAGTGGCACCCAATGGGTTGGTCCAAGAGCAACGGGACTTTCCCTCCCTCTTTCTGGCAGCCCCCTCCCCCTGTTCACCCTAAAAATCTGCTTGAGGATTGGAGGACTCTCTGAAGAAGATGGGGGGGAGGTGCAGAAGTGGGAAGAGAAGAAGTCCCAATGCATCTGCTGGCACGATAGGAGAAATTGTACCATGCTTTAAAACATTAACACCTTGCACTACTAATAATTGGCCAGCGGGCAGATTTGCAAGATAATGCATATTCTTCAAATAAGAGACTGAATTTTGGAGCTGAACTATCTGTACAAGCCCAGACAAAAATACCAGCAATTACACTGGGCTACTCTCCGGATTCCTGTGGTTCAGATGTACATTTATGACCAAAAATTCTCTTTAGCTGTACTAGTGCTATACTCCAGCGAAATTTTGACGAAAGCTCTTTAGTTGCTCCTGTGAGCTTGGGTGTGTGTTTGTGTGCGTCACCAACTAAAGGAAGCTTCTAATTCAGAATGCAATTTCTTACCTTCCACCCGTGATTCCAAGTGCTTATCCAATTCTGCATCTCTTTTCACTGCATCATCTGAGACCTTAGGAGCATTTGAAAAGCAAACTAGAACAATACTCATGTTATCACGACTTCCCTATATTTTGGGAGGAAAAAAATAGTACAAATTTGAGATTTAGCTTCTCTCTTTCACAACTTCAGACCACCTGATTATTCAGTGTAAATTTTTAAAAATCTTAAATACTACTGGTTTGACATACATTTCTTAACTCAGATTTTGTTTAAGTAACTATATGTTCCTAAACATATGTTTCTCATGTGACCTATTGTGGTTAAGAATGTATTTTACTTTATTCCTTGATATCTATTTCCACCTTAATTTGCACAACCATTAGTAGAAAAGAAATGCTGCACCATTCATTGACATTCCTTTTAATATATTGATAATCAAAGTTCATTTAAAAACATTTCAGGATACTCAAGGAAAAAACTGCTCAATTCTGGCAATCCAAGCCTTCTGCATTCACCTCCTGAATACTGAGAAACACTGTCAAAAATAATCATTTTCAAATGTACTAAGCTGCACTACTGAAGTTGGATTTTATCAATCCTCCTTCAAAATCATAAATCCAATACCTGGGTGATCTCCTAACAAGCTTGCAATTGCATGAATTTGCACTGACTCATTCTTTACTGGGAAACTATCCTTTCAATGCTATTTTACTAGAGTAAGTTTTCTGATTTTGCAAAGAAAGAAGAACTTTATTCAATTATTCGGAGAGAAAGAGTAAGTTGCATACCTTGTGTAAACAAGTATCCACTACCCAATTGCACACTTTTTCCAGATCATCCGATACTTCAAGCCTAGACTTAACAAATTCACAGAGCTCCTCATTGCTCATTACATCCCAGATTCCATCACAAGCCAAGACAATAAACTCATCTTCTTCTGCTCTTACAATTTCATAAACCTCAGGTTCCGGAGAAACAAGTTGTTCTGTAGGACCTTTGCCATCCACACATTTGTAGTCATAGTCCCCCAGAGCACGAGAAACTGCTAACGAGCCATTAACACGCTGGATCATGACACTCCCTCCTGCATTCTGGATCCGCTCTTTCTCCCTTGGATTGCAAGGCTTGTGATCCTGTGTCGAGAAGCAGACTTGTCCATTCCTATAGAGAACAGCACGAGAGTCTCCACAGTTGATAAAGTAAATGTGCTCAGGTGAAATCATAACTCCCACTGCTGTTGAGCCACTCCTGTCCATGCCATTTCTGAGGTCTGAAAAATTGCGCATGTACTCATCAATTTTCAAAAAGCCAGTTCTGATTCCACTCTTTACATTTTCCACTGAAGGTTCAAGAGCAGAGCCGGGCTGTTCTGTTCCCCTGAAGTCTTCATTGTTAGTGATGTGTTCTAATAAGTGGTTTGAGCAGTAATTTGCCACACGAGATCCTGCATGACCATCATAAACAGCAAAAAAGGACCAGTCCTCTAAACCATGAGGAATTCCTACAACAGCTGTGTGAGCATCTTCCATTTCCACTCTCCATCCTTGCATACTGCTGAGGCCATAGCGCAGCCCATTTCCTGCCCCATGAGCATTATGCTTCTCAGTTTTTGGTTTATCCAAAAATGCACCCATGTTTACCTAATTTGCAAAGAAATCTGCAAAACAAAATGTGACCATCAATACAAGTAGTATCAACTAGAAATCATGCAAAGAATTGTCTGAATCATTCAACACAACCTGACCATGGCTGCCAAAACTATGGTGAACAATAGATTGGCATGGCAGACAGAAAGACGACTAATATCTGGTGTTTATTGTCCCTATCCTTTCCTTTTAAGTATTATGAAAGCAATCTACTCATGCAGACCTCTAGGGACTGTAGCATCAGACTATAGGTGGGAAAGTAACGAACATAAAAGCTCCTCCATATAAAAAACATCTTGCACACTGAGAACTAATGTCTGCAACCCTGTACCACAACATACTGGTTTCCATGTGTAAGGGGAGGGTGCTTTATTTGCTTCTTTAAACAGAAATTAGCAAACATGCTTACTTCTCAGTTACAGCCAGTATAAAGTTGTACAGTTAAGTGTTACTCCATTGGACTCTTATGAATGCACAGATTGTCTCATGGCTTCCTTCCCTGAATCAAAATTGTATGTCGTTTACCAATTAAATGCACCCATTATATAGCTGGATTACAGAAATGTATTGATTACGATGGTGCTATGCCATTCTAAACCAGAGCTTCCATGGCCTATACTAGCATACAGGTGTTTGATTAATTCCTTTGTATTGAAATGTTAACACAAAGAAAAAAAGAAAGAAAATAAAATAAAAGGTCTTCCAACATAAACACAGAATCTTATGTTCCCCGCAACCAAGCCAAGCTACAATTTAAAAAGCAGCTTTTGCTTCATGTACATCTACAGGTATACAATGAATGTTGACACATCTATATATTTTTTTTAATATTTCTTATTTGCTTTTTTGTTTTATCTCACCAAGAACACATACTATGTTACAGTCATGCACAAATTTTAAGAAAGACAATTGAATAAATATAAAACATGAACAAGTAGTAATAATAATAACATAACTACATTCTTTCAAGTTATTTAAATCCTATATATCTTTACTTTTAATTCCCTTCCACTCTTTCCATGGTTTCCTATCTGATCTTTTAACTGCATTTTCTTACTCTTCTAAATTATTTTCAATATTTTACATAATCTCATGTTGTAACATATACTGCTGTTTTTTCAACCTGTTACGATAATTTTCTTGTTATAAAACTTTTCCATATAATCTGTATGTAATATCCAATCCTCTTTCAGTCTCTTATCTTTATTTATTAATCTGTTTGTCATACTGGCTAATTTTATATATTCTAGTATTTTGAGATGTCATTCTTCTCTTGATGGGACAATATCTGTTCGACATTTTTGTTCAATTAGAATTTGGGCAGCTGTTGTTACATCCATCCATAAGTTAATTTGTTTTTTGGGGGATTTCTGTCATTATTATTCCCCAAAGAAAAGCTGGGTTCTTGGGAAACATTCTTTTAAACATTTGCTTGAGTACACTATCTCCCTACACAACCACCATAAGTGATAAAATGGTATGTTGAAACATCTATTTTACCTTAACACAACATAAAGTAGGTAGCATTTGCTACATTCTATGAACCAGTGATGCAGAGGAATAATAGCACAATTTCAAAAAGGTCCTCATAACAACACACCACACGACTAATATATTAAGAGTCAAGCAGCTTTAGAATGAAATCTTCTGAAAAGGATCACTACCGTTCAGCATTAAAATACACTTCAGAAAGCTTCACAAATATTTTAGTTGTGCTTCATTTATATACGTAGGATTGCTTATGTGCAAAATGTAAGCATTTCAGTTCAGAACACATATATGAGATAAACTATTACTTTCATTTATGAACAGGTAACTGTGAGCTAGTACCAACAGGTCATTTCACGTGTAATCTGGTTTGTTGTTTGGGGAATGAGCCTTATGCCAACAAGCTACCCTTACTACATGGTCTTCTTTCCTTTTGTTTTTTAGGTAAACCAATTTACCATTCTACCTGAACCAGCAAACTGATTTCCCTTGCCCTCCAAACTAAGGACTGCCACCCTGCTTTGGAGGTCAAAGGCAAATCACAACTTTTCAGTTCAGATACAATGGCAAACAATGCTTTAAGAGGGGCAAGTCTGAGGTTTCATTAATTATTCTGAATAATGGAGAGAGAACTTTGCCAACTATCTTATTCAGCAAGTTGAGTATCAATAAAACTTTAGGGAAGTAATCGCAATTCGAAAGGCTACCACAATCAAGTTGTATTTTGCAACTTGTTATCAATTCTACTGGGCTACAGTGTATGTGGAATGAGTCTCCCCAACAGTTCTGGCTACATACCATGAAGCATATGGCCAATAGTGGCACCTACACTGGAGGTCACTGGATTATGAGAGCACAAACAATTTAACAATGTAGCATGGATCTAGATAATAGTTTGAGAAGACACTCCTGGATCAGGCTACTGGGACAACTAGCCTAGAATCCTGTTATCACAGAGGCAAACGAAATGCCTTTGCAATGAGGACTTTTAGTGCAACAGCACTCTACACACCTGAGAATCCCAGTAACTGGTATCTAGAGGCATATTGCCTCTGACAGTGTAGGCAGAGCATAGCTATAGACATTTGGATATGCAGATGTCTGCAAGTACACTTTTATTTTATTTCTTTCCAACATTTCTGATAATCTAAAATCCAGGAATTGCTTGTTGCCTGGAACTGCCAACTTTAGCTCTAGGAAACAGGATTTGTAGTGCACAGGAATAAGGCATGAAAAACTCTCTAAAGCAGTGCTGGGCAACTTCATAATGAATATATGCATGTAAGAGAATATACTTAAATGTGCCCTATATTTGATTGCAGAAATTGTAAGCTGCTACTACTAAAGGCATACCACTAGCTGACCTCCATTTAACAGCCTGAAAATGAAGGATCACAGATATAATGGATATTTAAAAGGAAATGGATTTTTTTATCAGGTATCTATTCTAAACAAATAAATGCTATTAATTAATATGGTTCCAACATGTAGAGAGACGAATTATGTGTTTCACTGCACTGCGTCTACAGTAAAAACAGTATTTACCTGTCAACTGCAGCTCTGCCAATTTTTGCACAGATCTAAAACCTTAGGGTTTACATTCCTTCAGCCAACAGGAACTGATTAAGCTTGAAAGGCTTCAGATAATGCAGGATGCAACATTTATTTTAACTCGGAATTTCCTAAGAGAAAAAGTAGTAGTAATTAGTACCTCTAGATTATACAACAAAACTAGGAAACTAAGAATGTAGTAAAATACCCTTATGTCACTCTTCTTATAGTACATGCTTCAGAAACACATACGAAACCAGGAATTGTTTATCCATTTATACTGTGCTTAACATATCGCTGAGCTTTAGAAAAGTCTGTCAAACACTCAGAACTCTATTTGCTCTATAAAGTGACCACTTACAGGGTTGCTTTACTCTACAATAAAGCCTGCAAATTTACTTCATTGACTAGTTCAAGCATTTTGGCACCAGACTCATGGAAACAAAGCATTTAGCCTGTTGAGAAGACCCCATTCCTAATAATCTGAACCCTGTTTAGACAAGACTGCTAGATTGGAACTAGTTTTGAGGGTTGAGGATAGCCTTTTCTTTTAATCCTGTTAATAAATAAGTACAAAACAAACTTGACAAGACAAACTTGAAAAACAGTTCAGAGTAGCCGGCCATGGATTCCCAGAGGCTGCAGAGTCGCCAGCCATGGAAGTTCAGAAATCAAGTCTCTGGCCCATAAAACATGAGAATTACTAAGACAGTTTACCTAGTCAAACACTATGGGCTCCTGGCAACACATATTCAGGCTTCTGCTACTATACAATTATAGTGAGGAGAAATATGTTACTCCTGTCTTGCTGAACCACTGGAACTACTACTATTTCTACAACTGTTTTATGAACAGTTAGACCAGTGATTGTAAAGGCTAACATGGTAATTTTTTGCAACATTATGCAACTACCTCTGGGGTTCTAAAAGATATTTCTATATAATCTGAGCACTTTCCATAAATGTGCACTTGCTGGTTTTTAATAGAAAACACATGAAGTTAATGGTTATTTGTGCTTAAATTTATGTGGGTACAAGAAATTACATTTTACAATCCTGCATCTTTACCAGTGTATGAAGCCCATATCAAACTAAAATATTCACCTCTTATTAATAACAGAGAAAGTGAAGGAACACCAACTAAATGGTTTCAACACTTATATCATGTAGCACTGATTTTAAAATATGGATATATTCAGGAATTGTCAGAAGCTGTAGATTTAGACAATATGAATCATTGTATCATCAATAACAATTCGACACAGTGGTCCCTGGCCATGAACATACACAGGAGAGACTTAAAAGAACCAATTTTAAAGAGTTAATTATTGCAACTTCAGCAAAATATTAGAAGCTGACTTTTGTTGAAGGAAAGCCGCTATAAGCAGTTTAAATGCTATCTTGTTCTTCACTGCCTATCGCCTATTTATAATCCTTAAGATCTTAGCTGATCTGGATTTGGCATCAACAGGGATTCTATATTTGTTTTGAACCCATCCAATGAATTGGAGATACTAGTAAAATATACTGCACAATGTCAAGTATGACTGGATACATTATGTGAGGGAAAGTCTTGGAGTTAACAATGTGTAGCTTTCCCATGCACTGTCATTCATAAAAAATGAAGACTTGCCCAACATAGCGTTCTAAGAATATTTTGGACTGTAGCTTTCATTTACAAAAAATGTTGGGGGAGTATCTGCTTCTGTATCCATTTCCTCACATGACTCTCCACCCCCTATCACAACTGCCACAATGCAACACAGTTTTCCTCATATGGGAAAACACAATGCTGCACTTGGGCAGGCTTTTTGCGTGCTCTTTTCCTGACCTTAATGTTAAAAGAGAAGACAATGACTATAGCAGCTGCAGGATTCTTTCTTCTGGTAGGATCAGGAATCTGCTCCCTCTTGAGTTTACCTTGTACCCACACGGGGACAAGATACAACAAGGAAGTACCCCAATGGCCAAGGGGTGGAACAGAAGTATATCAGCACCACCATCTGATTTTGGAAGGATCAGAACAGCCACAAGACCATGTGTTCAGTTCTAATCCTGAGAAGTAGTCCAAAAAGATACTGTGGTTAATGGTACTGAAAACAGATGTCCAAAAAACTAATAGTGTCATACTCCCCTACCCACACATACCCCTTCCCTTGGCAACCAAGGTGGACCTTGTCCCAAAACTAGATCTGAATCTTACTGCAAAGGGTCCAAATAATCAGTATAATCCAAGCACTGGTTTGAGTTGTCCAACTACAGTGGTGCCTCGCAAGACGAAATTAATTCGTTCTGCGAGTTTTTTCGTCTTGCGAAGCATGGTTTCCCAAAGTCTTCAAAATCACCAAAGTCTTCAAAAACCTCAAAAAAGGCTACCACACCGCGTGCTATGAGTTGCTCCTCGAAGTCACCCTGGGTATTAACGGTTTTAAGAAAAAGGAAACAAACTTGCAAGACATTTTCGTTTTTTCATTTTTCGTCTTGCGAAGCAAGCCCATAGGGAAATTCGTCTTGCGAAGCAACTCAAAAAACGAAAAACTCTTTCGTCTTGCGAGGCATTCGTCTTGCGAGGTACCACTGTACTACTTTACTGAACAACGGGATGCTTAAGTGTCCATGATTAACACTCCTAGATTAAGGAATCATAGAATCAGAGTTGGAAGGGTCCCAAGGGTCATCTAGTCCAACTCCTTACAATGCAGGAATGCAGTGAATCTCAGCTACAGGAATCGCAGCTAACGCATACATAACAGATGGCCATCCAACTGCTGTTTAAAAACCTCCAAGGAAGGGGAGTCCACCATCTCTTGTGGGAGTCTGTTCCATCACTGAACAGCTCTTACTGTGGCTTCACCACTGCCTTCTTTAGAACTCCATCCCTCAAGAAGACATTAGTTATCTCCAATGATGTTCTTGAAGTCCTTCTCTGGTACCTACCAAAGCTACTGAGAGAGCATCCCCTTCCAACTGCCCCTTTGGTGGTAAGGTTACTTACTCTTTTCTCCACTGCGAAGTACATAGAGCTGAAGGAGGAAGCTGGAAGAGTAACCCTATTTCAGGTTTATGTTCTTCAAGGTTCAGATTATTTCTACTGGATCAGAGATCCCTTGGAAAAGTGAAGTTTGAGGTGGCACTAATTGGGAGAAACAACTGGCCAGGAGTCACTCACCTAAATGTGCTCACAACACTCACCTAAATGTGCTCACAGATAAACAGGTTGATGGCCCCTGCTCTGAATGCTGGTGGATTATATTCTTGCCCATCAGCCATACTGGCTGGGGATGATGGGAGTTGAAGTAAAACATCTAGAAGACCAGGGGTTCTCCAAATAATCTTTCCTCATGACTGGAGAAGGGATTAAACTTAATAGCTATGCCCATCAATTGGCATACTGGAACAATCAACACTCAAAAGGACTTAATTTATAAGTAAGTGCAGGTGTTTCTTCCCTCCTCAGGATAGGTCCTGATTCTACAAGCCCCAGACCCCCAACCCATATTCTATGTGTATCCTAACCTCACCTGAAGTTTAAGGATTTATCTACTGAGAAACTGCCAGAGACAACTATCTTTCACACAGATTGGTAGCTAGGATCTGGTTCCAGCCATTGTGTGACCTGCCACTTGTTTTCTGGTTGTACCCACAACACAATATAAAGGGGATACTGGCATTTAACCAGCAGTGCATATAGGGCCAGGGGCCAGGGCCAAGAGTAGATGCACTTCCAATTCATTTCCTAAGTGCATGCAGTTTTACTTGAGTCCTAAAATTCACATGATTTAACTATGGGTCATCTATAGAGAAACCACTGCTGATAGCTCAATTAAGGAGCTACCGAAGATGTTATTCTTGTTTCAAACGGTTCCAGTAATCAAAGGGGCAGCAATTTTCAAAAATTGGCAAAGAGAAATTTCAAGGTATATCTGGCAGGGTAAGAAGCCGAGGATAAAATTTAAGATATTGACAGATGTGAAAGCAAGAGGAGGCTTCGCCCTGCCAGATTTGAAATAGAACTATGAAGCATCCTGCCTCTGTTGGTTGAAGGAATGGATGAAATTAGAAGATACTGATTTGTTAGATTTGGAAGGTTTTGATCATAGATTTGGGTGGCATGCGTATTTGTGGTATGACAAGAAACGTGTACATAAAGGATTTGTAAACCACATCATAAGAAGGTCTCTGATTGAAGTGTGGGAAAGATATTAAAACTTGTTGGAACAAAAAACTCCATATTGGTTATCGCCGTTGGAGGCGATGAGTGTGAAGAAAGTCAATATGACTGGGGGATGGGTGACATATGAGAAGCTAATAAGTAAAAGAGAAGGTAAATGGAAAATGAGACCATTTGAAGAAGTTAAGGAATATGTTAATGATTGGTTGCATTTTTTTCAAATTAATGAAATGTTTAAAAAAGATTTGAATCAAAGGGGTTTTGCCGACAAAGAATCAAAATTCCAGACAGAAATATTGAATAATGATTTTAAAATTCTAGCAAAAATATAAATGATACTGTTAGAATGGTGTACAAAGGATGAAGAGGTAAAATCAGTTATGATTGATTGGGCCAAAGACTTAGGACATAATATACAAATGGAAGATTGGGAAAAATTATGGAAAGAAGGTTTAAGATTCACTGCATGTACAACTATAAAAGAAAATGTGATGAAAATGATGTATCAATGGTATGTAACTCCGGTAAAATTAGCAAAAATGTGTAAGACAAGTAATAAATGTTGGAAATGTAAAGAAAAAGAAGGTACATTTTATCATATGTGGTGGGAATGTAAGAAAGTAAAAAGCTTTTGGGAAATGATTTATAATGAATTGAAGAAAATGTTGAAATATACATTTGTTAAGAAACCAGAAGCATTTTTATTAGGCATTACAGGTAACGAGATAAATAAGAAAGAAAAGAAGTTATTTTTATATGCAGTGACAGCAGCAAGAATACTGATGGCCCAGAAATGGAAACAGGAGGAGCTACCTACGTTAGAAGAATGGAGAACAAAAATGATAGACTATGCAGAACTGGACAGAATGACAGGAAGGATCCGAAACTGACAAGATCAAACATTCACAGAAGATTGGGAAAAATTTATTGAATATTTGCAAAAATTAAGTGATAATCAGATTACGTTTGTAAGTTTTAATGAAGCATTGTGATGGGAAATAAGTATTAAAATGGGATGAAGTTCACAGTAATAATATAAATAATAAAATGGAAATGTGTTTAAAGTTAAAAAATGAAGGATTCGCAGACAAGTTGAGGGAAGTCGAAAAAAGAGAAATAAGATGCAACTAAGATGTATGGAGTGTATAATTTTATTCTGTATTTGAATATCTATCTATCTATCTATCTATCTATATATATATATATGATAGCTCAATTAAGGAGATAAGAGTTCTTCATCCTCTACCCCTGCAAACTCTACCTTTGGTTCTTTGTTCTGTCATCTTCAACTCTAGCTACAGTGTAGCTCCTGGTACATGCACCCAGATTTTGGGAGGGAGGGGGATCTGTGAAGAATCTGAGACAAGAAGTGTAACGCTAGCTGCACTCTTCCTCTTGCAACTATCATCCTCAACTGTTTGTTGCCTGAGCAGGTCCTTTATGATTAGCATCTTTTCATCAAAGATGTCCATTCTCCACATTCCGTTTCCCCCCTCTTGCACCTTGCACAATTACAGCTCTAGGTCTTCAGAGTGATTTAGCATTATGTCATGGCATCTTGAAAGGAGAGCTCTGACAACGAGAACCATGTCAGGTTTTAAACAAACTGAATAGCAGCACTGTCAAGGTTATCTCATTAAAAATTTACTTCAAACATTGTTTCTCTTTAGGAATAGTGATTACAGGTGTAATCACACCTAAAGTAAGGTGTTGCTGAAATGGTTTCAGTTTTATCTTCTCTGCTGAAGAAACATGTGAAATAGTAAGACTTCAATCTATTCATAACTCAGAATTTTTCCACTAAAATTTGTTGTTGTACATGCATAGCACCTCTGCTAACACTAGGCCAAGTAACAGTGACAGGCCAAAAGTCATGCAGTAAAGCTTCATGACTGACTGAGGGCTTGAACCCATCATCCAGATACCACTGATACCACTATGCTTCCATAATACTGTGATTTGCTATTTAGAGCCAAATGTGTGCTTTTTTCATTTAAAAAAACAATTGCAATTCTTTAGGAATCCCCCTCATATGCAAATGGTGCCATTTTGGCTATGTAAGGACCAGCACAAGGAAAACTGAGTTGGCTATTAAAAAGGCAAAATATTTTATAATGGAAATTCAACTAGTGATTAATATAACACCACCAAAACAGTTCCTTTTAAATTTCATGAAATTATTTAATATGACTTTCCACAACAGCTTATAATTTAGGCCTAGTGCTCAATAATATAGCCCAGAGAAGGGATACAGTGGTCTAAGGCAAGAAGTTTTCAATAGACAGAGAAGGAAAAGTAAGTCAGAAAATTTGGAGAAATTGTAAGTGTTCAGTGAAGTCCTCTTTACCCCCCACTTTTTATTTTTTACTGCTGCTGTTCAATCCTTGTTTGCTACTGTTTAGTACAGAAGGTCCAACTTCAAACCGACAGTGCTAGAAAACTGTCCATGTGTTGAAATGACCGTTCACCTAACAAGCAATCTTTGTAAAGTTCTTATCTGGGGTGGGGGTGGAATTTGAACCAAGTACTCTACTTATGCACTGAAGTTAGCCAAAAGCACCCCTCCTAGATTCAACTGCTAAGAAAACAGTTCAACCTAGGACTAGCACCTAGTTACAGTACTATGCAAATCCTCCCAGTATTTTGTTAGAGAGAAGTGGCTGAGCCACATATGCATTCAGAACAGTTTTAGTTGCAAAGTCTACTGGAATATGATGGGAAATTAGTCTGATGTTAAAGGAAAATAATATGGTAGGGAGAGATCTGCAAAGTTATCTTTTTATCAGAGAATCTGAGTTCTGTTGGTGGGAAGAAGAGCAAGTGATACAGTGGGAACACCACATGGACCCATTCAAAAGACTCAAAACATACAAGGTTACTGACTACCCACTTCTGTGATTATGTTAAATACAAAGTCAGAGCCAGGAGGATGCATGTGTTCTGTATTTTATTTTTGTTCTTCATTCAGATACTGTAAATATAAATCTATTACTTAATTATTCCTTTTAGTGATGGTGTTTCAATATGCAATAAGGGTTTATCCTTTGAGTTTTTGTTGTTGTTTGGCGCCAAGCAGAGAGATTTGATTTCTAAGAGACTTTAGATCCCCTCATTCTAGCACAAACTCAAGTAGTGGGTTTTGATTTAAGTTTTTAAGAAAAAAGGGTGGGATGAAAAAATTTCACTTCACAGGTCTAGTAACTTGTGACCTCAACATATCTAAAATTTCACTTACAGGATGACCTGGTAGCGTGCAAATCCTTTCCTACCATACCCTTCACTTAGAAATACAGCATCTTTCAAAAGATCACCAGTCTATCCGCTTCCCCTCCCCCAGCCAGTCAGTCTTCTGTGGCTCAGTCCTCACTGGGCCCTTTTGAGGTTTTTCTTCTTTCAATTTTTTTTCTAGAGTTTTGGTGCAGGAGGTTATATTTCTTTTAATTCCCCCAAGCCTGCTGATCTCTCCTGTTGTGCATGGATGGTGTTATTTTGGCTGAGTAAGACCTACCTGCAATTATGCAGGTCTGAAGTGTTGACGTTAAAAAATAAGTTATAATTGTCATTTCAATATTAAAATAGTGATTTTGACTTAATAGTATATACAATAAAATGAGCTCTATTGTACTCAGAAGCAACCACAAGCTTACTTTTTTCAAGTGCCTCCAAAGCCCCTGCACATGTTCTTCGGATGCTTTGGAGCACGTTTATAAACCTGACTGTTTCCAGCATAAGCTGTCCCAGATCCATGCATTAAATATACACTGACTTTTTTTATTTAAGTACACCCAAGTGTTTATTAATACACGTTTATTAACACACTACTGCCGTTACTAAGCTACATATTTAATTTGTATTTTTAACCTGCATTATGAACTTTCATAAAACCTCTTTAAATAGACAGCAGCATTATCAGAAACAGGATCACAATAAAATGATGCATTGTCATCTACATTGGGTAAATGATAAAGTAGCCCAAAGACTGTATACAGAATGATGCCTATAGCAGGCAAAGGGCCAGTCAGGAAACATGCAGTATTTTATGTAAATGTCACGACATGACAGTATGCAGTATAATTGGAAGCAGTCAAATTCTCAATTTCCAAACATATTAGGAACCTAACAGCTGTTCTAGTTCTCACCTAGTCTCTGTGTGCCAAAAAATTCCCTTCTCTTCAACTGACAGTACAGACCTGACTTTTTCTCTCTCTCACTCACTTAAGCAAATAGAAATGTCCTTGTGATGTCGAACTAACAAGTTCACTTTAGAGTTCATATCAGAACTCATAGTTGCAAAAATCATCCCTGGATAGGTAGGGGAGTTGGCATAAACAGTACTCAAATAATCCAAAGCATGAGGGGTATATAATAATATTACAAATTCAGTAATGCAGATAGCTGAACAAGGACAGTGTAGTGAAAAATACAATTATTTTCCTTGACTTGGAAATTGATGAAATTGGCATTGTGTAACAAAAAATTTTTTCCCCCCAAAGTTTATTCCAAGCAATTTGTGACAGATTAACCCAGATTAGATTCTGATATTTAAGTCTATGAACACATCTGGTCCACACCTCATTTGCTATACTTTACTGTTAAGGTACCTGCAAAAACCACATTTACAAATAAAGCTGGCTTCCAAAGCTTTCACATGGTGAAGCTGAAAAGAGCAATAAGCAGGTTTACCAGGAATTATGGCACAGCAGAAGCTAGGCCACTATGAGATTGGGGAAGATAACGGACAATGATTTAGCATTATTAAAGGAACAGTAGAAGACTATTTCACAACAAAACTATTAGCACAATCCAGTAAGTGGCTGGAATACTTGGGAGCAAGATCCTATATGAGGCATTAATTAGTTAAGAAGTCAGAACTTGGGGACTCTATTTGCAAACAGGATGAGATGTTAGCTGCTATGGATTCCCCCCCCCATATATTTTCTTTATTATTACTTATATACAGTCTTAACACAAACTTTTACAATCATAATAACCCAAATACAGTTAAGAGTATATCTTGTATGTTTTCAGTTGTGCCAAATTCTTCACAAAATCCCTTGTTTTGCTCTTTATTAATATTATTCTCCTTCTTTAGACGCCATCATTTTAACCTCTTAGGTCACATATATATCCTAGCTGCTATATATTTTTATGTTCAGACTCCACATTCTATCATAGGTTAGAAGGCTGAGAAGAGTGCTAAAATAGTAGTACTTCTGCCATATTAGAAAATACCACAACTGACTCTTTATCGCACAATCTAGAATGAAGCGGAACCACTGGTGAGAGGTAAAAGACAAAGAGCCTGCAGAAGATTTCAACAAGAGGCAATCTTTAAAGAGAAGATTGGATTCCTTCCCCCGCTGCCGCCTTTAACTAGCTAGCTATGAATTAAACGTCACCCTGTTACCAGACATTGGAAAACAACCTACCAGCATGGTAGGGCCAGTTAGACTAAGGCGTAGAAGATCCAGGTTCAAATTTCCAATCAGCCATAAAGCTCAATGGGGGACCAGCCACCTTTTCTTAGCTTAGCCTACCTCACTGGGTTGCTGCAAGGATAAAATGGAGATGGGAAGAGCCATGTATATCAGCTTGAGCTCCTTGCTGGAAAGGTGGGGTATAAATATATTACACAAAGATCAGCAGAAAAATCATTCCACCACAAACACACATTTAGAGAACTAAATTGTATAAATTTCCAAAAGATTTGGAAAGGCAGACTACATATCAGCCCACTATTCCATGCAACTCAATTAATTTAACTTTTCTTCCACGCCAAGTTTCCTATACAGTTCTCTGAAATATTGTTCAAATACAGAATATGGACTGGTTAACACATACTGCTAAATCATAGCTTGTTACGAGATCTGCAGCCACAGTCTGTTACTGGCTTATGGCTTGCTTTAACTATAGCCTATCATGTTATGCATGAACCTAACATCCTTCTTTAACCATGGCCACCCCAACCTACAAAGGCATGAGGCAATAGCAGGCAGAAAACAAATCAGACTTTGGAGAATTAGGTTTGTTTGACAATTTGTGGTTAACTAGTGGTTTGTTAAACAAATCATGGCTAAGTATTATGTGCAAGCTAGGTCTATGGCTATAAATACATAGAATTTTATTATTGCTGCCATCTCATATTTCAAGTCAAATCCTGTGCATACCATGTTGCTCCCTAATATGTAGCCAAATTTCAACGTGTTGCCAAGTGTCTCAGTATCTGAAAATGCTTCTTAATATTCAGGCTAAAACTTTATGAATATGAGAAGAACAGGCTTTTACTTTTTACCTACCTTCCCAACTGTCCAATTCCTATTAATATATTTAGCATACATTTTATTCAAAGTTCACCTCTACTCTCCAACTACTACACATAGTGTTCTCATTTACCATTTATTGTATCATGGTTGCAACTACATGGTAAACTGAATTTGTTTAGCATCTGGCCAAGCTGTAATGCAAGCATTATTAACACATGGAAAGCAGGATAACAGAACCACAAAGCACTTTCCTCGCCATGAGGATAGATATCACGCTGCAAGTGGTCAACTGAAATCACCAAAGGACCACAGAATCTGTCCTATTTCTGGCCTACTTTATATATAAGCTACTTATGCAAATGTACCGGTATTTACTAGTCCACTAAAAATTTCAACTGGTACATTTACTAGGTATTGTATGTCATGCATTCTTACACAACTTATTTCACATGGAGACTTGCCAAAGCCTGAACCTCTTTGAAACACTGGAAGGTATTTCTATTATTTATAATCCAAAGCATATTGTGCTTTATAGAGTATTGTAAGCAAGGCACAGGTCTCTACACCAAGGAGCTTGCAATCTCAATTTCAACCATAAAAAACCAGGCAAAGTCTGCATTGATTAAAAAAGGATGACTGAACAATGGGCCATCTACTTTCAGTAGCTTTCAATGAATAATATTAATCAACACTGAATTAAAACTGATACTTAGCCTTTAGGCTCTGAGAAATTGGCAGTGCTTTTAAAGGATACAGATGAAGTACAAAATTTATTAAACATGGAGCTAAAAATAACTTCACCCTTAACATTGGTCACTAAGTAAAGAAGGTTTGAAGTGGTTGGGAGGAGAGAAAATGTATGTTAGGGTTCAAAGCTGAGGGATGGAAGGGGTTGGAAGGAACCAAGCTTCTGAGCCATTTCAATTTTCCCTCTGCTTAAAAGATAAAACATTCATAAGCGCTAAAATGGTCAAGATGGTACTTAGGCTTTGGCAAAACTCCACAGCAATTGACTTCCATTGCCACATTCTTCTTGTCCACATCCATGCATCCATATAATATTCACACATATTATCAAGATGGTTCATGGATTCAAAAGAGTTGGAAGGGACCCTGAGGATCATCTAGTCCAACCCAAATATGCAGCAACCGTGGCATTATCAGCACTCCAGTGGAACCTCGGGTTATGTACCGTCCTCCTTACGAATGCTTCTGGTAACGAGCTCCATTAATAAAAGCGTGCCTCATGTTAAGAACAGTTTCGGCTTAAGAACGGACCTCCAGAACGAATTAAGTTTGTAACCGGAGGTACCACTGTACACTCTAACCCACTGAGCTATCCAGGCTGAGGTGTAAAAAGCACAAGCTCAGCTGAACACAGACATGTATCCTGGGCCCTCAGTTTTAAAGTCTGTGCAATACCTAAGTTTTCAGGATTTCCCAGATAAGAACCAGCACTAGGATAACTCAGGCCTAAACATAAAGCTACAGATCCCCAGTTACCTGCTTGTTTAGGGCACATCAACTGCACCACATAAAGGGACAATTGTTAGAATTTTCTTCTCACTTCTATTGCAATGATCTCCCCCCCCCCCCCGCCAGGTGGAAAAAGCTATGCAGCTTATTCTGCCTATATTTCTCAACTTTCCATTATGGAAGGAGTACACAGAATAGAAAAGAATAGAACAAAAAACAACAGTGCTACCATGATTGTGTAGAACAGCTTCTCCTATCCATTTACGGCTAGAAATCTATAGTAGTAGTAACAGGCAACTGAGGAAGGGGGCGTACAGAGCTGGCAGCAAGGGGAAGGATTAGGCAGGCTTGGTAAATAACTTTGCCTAAGCCTGTTACCCTTACCCAATTTCAGCTGAAGGTGAATAGCAGCAGATACCCCAGCAGTGTTAACCCATGGGCCTGTTTCCTGCAGCCCATGACCACAGAGACAAATCACAAAGGAGGGAGCCATACAATCTACAAAGTGGGAGATTTTGGCAAGTGACTGTTTTTAAAACCCTGGGGAGGTAGCTGATAAACCATAATTTAGCAAAAGCCACCAGACATGAGCAGCGATTTGAGCCTGGCTTTCCATGGCTAAGCTGAACACTCTTAATCAAAATGTCTGAAAACATTAAAGCCAAGTTGTTCAATTAAAAACTAGTCTTCACCTATTTAGCAACCTTTCCCAAATATTCCTGTCCAATAATTTTCAATCCACCACACTAGTTTTTCAACCCTGACCCAAATCCAAAATCCTGCACCTTTCACTTGACCTATCTTCAAATAAGCGGAACATGATGTAAGCCTACAGACTGCCTTCCTTAAAACGTATTTATACTATGTTTTCACTTTTAACACATAAGTAACTATTATTTATATGAAAATAGTGAAGACTAAATCAGCCAGCAAATTTCATAAGCCGAATCAGAACTTTAACCCCAGGTCAGTCACCTACAGGCACAAGTATCCCCCACTGATACTTCCCACTGCTACATCTGACATGGTCAGGATCGAAACTATAACCAGCGTATGTCACTGGTAACCCAAAAAGCCAGGTCCTTTCCGCAAAAGAAAAGGTTAGCCTCATACTGTGCAGAAAGCACATTAACACGAAAAACTGCCCACTTCAGCTAATCTTAACGGTCTGCAGCAAGTCCAAAACTTTCAGGCGTTCGGACATGGGTGCTTACAACCTTTTTTAAAAAAAAAATTAAAGCAGGCTGAAGGAGGAGTGAATTCTTAAAAAACCCACAGAAGTGTGTTTTAGGATCGTGGCCGGGAACTAAATAACGGGGCCTTAAACAGACTGTGATTTTTGGGAGGGTAGGATGGGGAGATCGCCGTCAATGCAGGCCTCTCTGCTTCCCGGGGTTAACTCAGACAATGGCGAGAAGACCGTCGTCGTCGTCGTCGTCCCCCCACCTCTCCCTCCCCAGTCGGCATCCCAACCTCTCCCCTATCAAGCTCAGGCCTCTCTCCTTTTTCAACAGCCCGACTCCACGCCCAATCCCAAACTGAACATCCCACACCGAGGCCCGAAGCAGAAGCGGCAGCAGCTCCTCCCTCCCCTCCCACTCAGCCCGATCTGCCATGAGACGCGAGACGAAGAGGTTTCTCTCCCCCCCCCCCCGCTGCCGCCCGCCCAGCCACCCGTTTCCATCCCGCCACCCCGACCAACGACCGCCGGATCTCCTCCTCGCTCCCCTTCTCTTCGCCCCGCTCCCTCCTCTTACCCGGAGTCTTACAACGCAGCCACAAATCCAGCCATTGCTCCTCGGCCGCCTCGCCCCTCCCGCTCCGAACTACGCAGTACGCAGAAGCCCCCGCCGATGCCGCCCGTAACGCCAGCGCAGGCCTAACCCCCGAGTGAAGGCCCGAACCCAAGCCGCCCTCTTCCCGCCCTCCTCCCGCAGCCAACCCGCGCTCGAGGCCTGCTGCCTGACGAGGCCCCGTCCTCCTCCTCGCCGCCAGCCTCTCCCCTCCCTTCCCCTCCCCCGCTTTCCCTCAGGCGGAACCGGCCTGGGCCTGTACCTGGCGCCGCAAGCTCGCCGCTCGGTTAGAAGCCCCCCAGTTGCCCGCGCGCGCAGGCGGCCTCCGTCTCTCCCGACTAGGGCTGAGGTTAGGCCACAGCTCGAGGAGCAGCAGCAGCAGCCGTCTCTCCCGCCTCCGCCTCCTCTTCACGCAACGGCCTCTCCCTTCGCGGTCGTCCGCTGTGGCAGTCCGAGCGAAGCCAGCAGCACGGACATGTTGGGAGCCCCCGTCCCAGCGGCCGCTAATGGGCCGTCCCTCCCCGCCGCGCAACGTCAGAATGCACCGGGCGGGGGGAGGGGAAGAGCGCCCCCTCCCTTCACACAAGCGCTTCAAAGTGGATTCGGTCCTGCCGGCACGCACACGCAAAAGAGAAGGGTGAGAAGCCCTCTGCCATTGGCCGCAAAGGCCGTCATTCAATGCGCGGCCCTCGGCTCGCATCCCCATTGGGTTTCCTGCCTGTCAGGTTCTCGCTTCTTGGTTGTCCATTGGTTCGCTCACTTGCCACTTACTCGCCAGCTTATTTCCACAAATGCCCGTTGGGTGTACGCCTCTGTCTCAGCTTTGTACCTATTGGCTGCTGTCGTTGCCAATCAAGTTTGCCAAGCTCGCCGTCCTCACCTATGCGCAATATTTTTTAAAAAAAACATAGGCTATGCAGTATGGAATGTCACTGGTCGAAGTAAGTGCCAATTAACTTCTTCTCCCGCCCCTCCCTACTCCTTTCTCTTACCAAACGCTAACTTCCTCCTATTTCCCCCCCACCTCCATTGTTCCCCTCTTACTATTGGCTGCGAAAGTTGCCTATCTTCGCCAGCTTCCGCGTCCTTCATAATAAGCTTCTCAAATAGCCAAGGACGCAGGCGTGAATCCCTGCACATCGATTGGGGGGAGGAGGGCGGGGTATGAGAACGAAGGCGGTGTTTGAAAAGCAACCGAGCAAGTAGCCCTTCCCTATTCCACCCCCCCAGGCCACAATAGACCCTCTACGCTGTGATTGGCTGAGCGCTGGAGCGGCCTTCTCTCCAGTACTTACCAGGAACGGGAAGGACGGCGGAGGCGGGGGGGAGGGAGAGAACAGAGAGAAAAGTGCCCGTATGTTCTGTCGTATTACATCATCACTAACCAATAGGAAAGGTTTAAAAAGGCCTTTAGGTAAGAACGCGCTAAGGCCGTGCAAAGGCTGAGGAGAAGCCGAGCTGGTCTGTACTTGAGGCGCCTTCGAAGGCACGCAAATTCACAGTGCAACTTTACGCATACATAATACATATGTCTCACGACATGCTCCCTCTCTGAGAGGCTGTAACTGCAGCCCCTTCGCAAGGAGGCTTACTGCTGCCTAGGAAGTGACAGGACTTCAGCCTTCAACTGGGCCAGATGCTTTAGCATCTCTACAAGGGCCAGCCGTCCCAAGGCATTTTGGCACCTGAGGCAAAGCAAAATGACGCCCCCTCCTCCCCTCTGGGGAAGAAGGGGTGAGTCCAGATCTACATCAGGAACAAGAGAGGAATAAAGCGATATGTTGGGGTCCACTGGGCCCATTGATCCTGCCGTCCAAGGCCACCGCTCGAGCTTGCCTCATAGGTGGGACGGTCCTGACCTAGGATTGCCATAGGATTCCTCTTTTTTTTGGAAGATGAGCTTTTTTTCTTGCTTTTTTTAGGAAACTACAAAAATTGTTGAGCTGAAAAACACAATTTTTCTATTGGCTTGACTTAGATCCAGGAGAAAGCACCACGTTTTGGAAATTCCCCACAGACAGAAAATCCGGATGTATGGCAGCCCTTACATCTACTTACAGTACTTACTTTGCCAAACCTTTATTAGGCATTACAAATATAGGCCATAAATTGTCCATATATAACATTTTAGAATATATACAAATAAACAGCCATGTAAAAATATGTAATAACGAGGATTTTCATTGTAGTTTCTTCCCACTAAATAGTGCTGTTCACCACTCTTAAGAGATTCTATTGATAAAAACTCAGCCACCATTGCAGTTACTTCCAGGTTCATGTCAGACAGATAGGAATCATGATATTTTCATTGTGCCATGATGTTCGACTACCCAGAAAAGGGGATAGCACATGTTTTGCGTAGCTGGTTGTATAATGGACAGTAGAAAAGAATATGTTCTACTGTGTCCAGCACATTCAGAAAACATCCACAATGCCTATTGTTTCTGGGGATGTTTAAATATCTGCCCTTGACCAAAGCTGAGAGGGAAACGTTCAGTCGGGCTAACGTAAAGGCCCTGCATTAGACTGGAATTATTAATTTTGAAATATAAGTGACCCTGTTGGATTTAAACCATAAAACTTGGGGGAGCAAATTTTATTTACAGCTGACTTGATGTTTTGTTTTTCAGTGTCCCTTAATATGATTTGAATATTATGATAAATATATTGCTCACTTGAATTATGCAAGAATTCCAAGTCAATACCAATAGATCTGATTTTGCTATGTAAGAGTTGGAACCATCTGGATTTATAAGAGTCCTTAGGGATGTCAGAAAGCAGATTTGAAGGTTGGCAACGGAAATGGCAATGCAACCGGTATTTTTTAGTGCTTGCCCACACCCAATATTCCATCGTGTGTATACCTAGTTCTACACACATCATCTGATACTTGATTGAACTTGGGAGCCCCAGGATATGTCTCAAGAAACTTGAGTATCTTATCTAAATCACTATCATAAGCTTGTATCCATATTGGGATCCTAAAAAGTAACTGGGACAACACTTTAGCTTGAAAAATTTGAGTAGCAGCTGCTATAAATTGGTTACCTTTCTGAAAATAAAAACAAGCTACTGCTGTTTTTGTTTTATAGCACTTGTGCAATGGTTTGGCCAACTTGAGTTGTGCTGGAATAAAATTCTGAGATATCTGTGCATCTTTACTTGCTGGATTTCTTGTCATCTTATTTTCCATTTCTCTAATTTCCAGGAATTAGAGAAGATCAGATTTTTTATCTTCTCATAATTCATTGAGAGTTTACTGGTTTCACAATAGGAAACCAGGGAGAGTAAAAGACGTTTCAGTCCTATCCTCGTCAGTGATAATAAGACCACATCATCCACATACAGTAACAGTGGGGGCATGTGATTCTATTTTTTGAATGTGCTCTGGAAGATCTGATAAAAATAAATTAAAAAGAAAAGGGGCAATAATACACCCTTGTTTTACACCTTTCATATTAGGGATGTCGGAAGAGAAGTGAACTTTGGCACTGGGTTTGATTGGGCAGATGTTAAAGGAATATAATTTCTGTATTAAGATTAGCAAGCGTGGATTGATTCCTAACTCTACAAGCTTCTTCTACAATATCACAAGATCAACTGAATCAAAGGCACCACAAAAATCTACGAAAGCTTCAAAAATATTGGATTGGTTTTGAAGTCTATATTTTTCAACCAAATGTGTAAGTATGAGACAATGGTCTAAGATAGGGCAGCCTTTGGAAAAACCTATTTGTTCTTTTCCTGGTAAGTTTAGATTTTTTCATCCAGGTAAGTAATTTAAGTAAAAGGTGCTTAGCATAGAATTCCCCTATCACTGACAGTGGACTTATCGGTCTGTTGCTCTTTGGTTCACCCAGATCACCTTTTTCAAAGATTGGAATACTTACTGATCTAAGTCATATTTCAGGGATGATTCCATATTTACCGATAAGAGTAAATAGTTGAGCTAGGGGTTCTGCCCACGAATCTATGAATGTCTTAAATAATTATATTGGTGACTGGGAGCGGCCGCCGAGACCATATAACACCGGTCTTGAAAGACCTACATTGGCTCCCAGTACGTTTCCGAGCACAATTCAAAGTGTTGGTGCTGACCTTTAAAGCCCTAAACGGCCTCGGTCCAGTATATCTGAAGGAGCATCTCCACCCCCATCATTCTGCCCGGACACTGAGGTCCAGTGCCGAGGGCCTTCTGGCGGTTCCCTCACTGCGAGAGGCCAAGTTACAGGGAACCAGGCAGAGGGCCTTCTCGGTAGTGGCGCCCGCCCTGTGGAACGCCCTCCCATCAGATGTCAAAGAGAACAACAACTACCTGACATTCAGAAGACATCTGAAGGCAGCCCTGTTCAGGGAAGTTTTTAATATGTGACATTTTAGTGTATTTTTCATCTTTGTTGGAAGCTGCCCAGAGTGGCTGGGGAAACCCAGCCAGATGGGCAGGGTACAAATAATAAATTATTATTATTATATTGGTAAACCATCCGGCCCTGGCAACTTGCCCAGTTTTAGTTTTAAACTATTAATTATCTCTCTAATTTCCTCCTCTTTCACCCTTGGCCACTCCTTTAGTTTATCTAGTTTGTTATTGTTGGTCTCCTTTCTATTCAATTTACTATGTAGATCGTTAAATATAGAAATGAAATACTGAGACCATTTAGATTCTGCAACTGATGGGACATTTGATTGGTCGCCAGCTTTCAGACCTCCATATACTAGCGACCAAAACACTTTGTTATCAGTGTGCTGGAGCCCACTTTTGTCAGATTCATGACATGAATTTGGCCTTAGTTGGCAAATAACACATCTGGTACAAAGGAAGAAGGGTGAAAGGAGAAAGGTCCCAATAGTAGAGGAGGTATAATCTGTGACATTATTATGCCAAGCCCCAAACCCTATGCATGGGGCTCCCCCTCCCCTGACAGATGTAAATTCCACTGAGATAAAAAAAGGAATCAAAGTAAGTGCGCAGAACTATCCCCAGCATCACCATACAGTGTCTTTAGGCTACTGTCAGGGACTTAGAACCCTGCCAGGTCCCACCAACGATGCCTATTTTTAAAATGTTTTTAATCTTGCTAATTTTTTTTACTAAATTTGATGTGATTATTAAAAGTTATGGGCATTGTTAAGTTGTGGGTGAACATATCAGATGACACAGCGATTCTTCAAACAGCTCTTGTTTATTCACAGGCCAGAACAGAACTGAAGGGTTCAGCCAACCTGCTTATATAGAGCTCAACTACAAAGCAGCAGTAACAACTTTCTGTAACTATCCAATCACTGAACGTCACTTTCAATTCCTTATTTGCATATGTGGACCTGAGTGAAAACTATCTACAGTATTCCCCCTGCTGGCTCAGAGTGAGAACTTCAGTACAAAACAGGCAGGATTCACCTAACCAGCACCATCAGTGGAAGTCATTTCTCAGGGTTTTCTCCCTTCTTCCCCACATGCTCCTGCACCCCATGAAACTGGTTCGGGGTGGTGGGTCAGGAGAACCCACAAAACAGCACTGCGGGAGGAGATGTATGTTACTCCTATCTGGCAAGGTGCATGCTTGCACAGACAGAATAATTGGAAGAGTGTGGTGTTGATTCCCACTCTATAATTCTAGACTCACAGCAGGTCTGGGGATGCCACTCTTTTTTATTTCACACATTACCTCAAAGCAACTCCCATCATTCCTGACCTTTGGTCAGGGGTTGATGGGAGACTAACAACATATGGACAGCTGCACGTTCCCCACTGCTGCTGTAGTGACATAACATCAGGGGCATTGTGGGAAATATATATAGTTGCTCCCCTGGCCAGTTGCCATGCGTTTGCTGTCCTTCTGCCCACCACAACTAGATAATCTCACCAGCAATGGGGGCCTTCTTATGTCAGTGGGGCATCAACAAAAAGGATCCCCACTAGATGGCAATTTGTAGAGGCTCTCCTCAAACCTGGAGCCAGCCCTGGTCTTAAACTTTGCCCTGCTGCATTCCCAAATTGTATTTATGTAGCTTTCGTTTACCAAGTTGTCTAGGGAAAGAAAGGGGATAAAATAAATAGCCCCGTGGCATAGTCTGATGGTACACAATACAGACTCCTCGTGAAAGAAAGCAGGTTTGGGTCTAGCCGGTGCCTAAACTGGAGACACCTGGGAATCCAATATGGCTTTGGTAATGGAAGACAGGATATAAATATACCAAATAAATAAATAACCTTTTTCAAAAAACAACCATAGAGCCTTGAAGTTGATGCTGAGCACTGGTAGAGGAGAAGAACCATTTACGCCACCTTGGAGAAAAGTTAGGATATAAATGCAACAAAATGGTACAAGGCTAAAGTTTTGGCACCGCTCTATACATTGGTTTCATAGTGATGATTAATAAACGATTGAAGAAATACAGAGGCAACACATTTTACAATCAGAGGACAAAAAAAATCCTGGAAAATAGTCTTTCAGTGGGCAAAAACAAGAGGAAGAGCCCAGCCGAGAACATTGTTCTGTAAAACTACTACATTTACTGCCGCTATTAGTGAAGTGAGCATGGAATCCACTTGACACATGCAAGAAAGACACGTGTGCATCAACTGAACATTTCCAGAGCTCAAAAACCAAAGGTAAAAGGTGAGATAATAATGTGAAAGTGTTGTCAGCTCCAGTATCTTTCTGCAGTTACTGATGTTATTTTGTCAAGATGTATTTCACAGATCATTGACTTGAGCACAAAGCAAACGTAATCTGTAATCCAGGAGGAGATCTATCAGCTACTATCACTGCAAAGATAAATCTCCCCCCCCCCCCACAGTAACAAAAGAACAACAACAAAACAGAAAGAATGGGGACTGAGAAAAAGCTGGCTGAAAAAATCTAATAATGTTTGTAAGCAAATCATTGAACATATTGTTATTTTTTACTGAAATTCAAATACATGATGTTACTAAGCTTTATATGTATGTAGCAATTTTAAAAGGTATTCTAACTGCATTAATTGGCCAGCTTGAACATTGTACGAATTGCAGATGAATGTGCATCACACAGATTCTCTTAATCCAAATTCCAGAAAAGCATCTTTCCGGGTAGAGGCAAAACAGCCTCCTATCCAAACTTTCCTCTGTGTTCAGTAGCCAGAGTTCAGTATATACCATCCATTGTCAAATATGGAATGGTTTATGTATGCATGCTGCGCCATCTGTGTATATACTGCCTTTCAGAGTGTAAAATGCAATATGTGTAAATGGTTGGAGGTGGCAGGGGTTTCTGTTGCTTTTAGAACTAGACAGCAGTCCTTTAAATGTATGGTGTGTACACAGCCTTAGTCTAAAATTATTTCAATGTGTGCTATCATTTTTGCTTGTATTCACCAGTACACATTCTACCTTGGGGGGCCAATGTTGTGGAACTCCCTTCTGGCTGAGATCATGCAGTCTCCCCCTACCCCTGCCCGCAAAATTTGGCACCTACTGAATACTTTTTTAAAAAATTCCATTGGACATTTAAACTGAATTCTGATTTTATAGTTTTAACCGGTTTCTGTTTTCATTGGACTGTGTTCCTTGGACAAAAGTTGGAATATCTATATGTAACAGATTCAAATATGTTGCATTTATTTTATTTCCTTTGTTGTTTAACTGCTTGTTGTATTTCTCCTTATGCCCGCTGTCATGGAAATTCAGTTGAAAGGTGATGCAAAAATGTTTATAATAAATATACAAATAAATACCAGTTTAGTGAGTGTAGCTTGGAGAAGGACCAGCAAAATGAACAGAGAAGGCCAGGGAGTGCTGCTTTGTCAAGGGAAAAGGCTATTGCTATAATGAGTAATGCTCACAGTGACACTGGATATGAACTTAATAGCTGCACAGTTATTCAGAGTGCCTCTGAAACTCAGCATCAGGGTCTGCTCCCCTCCCCTCCTGCCATAGAACACACACAGAGAGAGGGGAATATTTTAAAACTGTAAACCGCCTTGGGCACCTTGTCAGAAAGGTGGCATATAAATGCAATAAACAAGCACACTAGCGCAATAGAACTGTTCGTAGGAGATTTTCAAAATGGACTGGGCATAATCCATAGAGAGTTGCAATGCTATTGTAGGAACATAGGAAGCAACATTATACAAAGTCGGATCACTGGTCCATCTGGTTTGATATTGTCTACAATGCCTGGCTGTTGGTTTACAACAGGGGTCAGCAACCTAAGGCCCGTGGGCCACAAGCGGCCCACGGGGGTCATTTAACCAGCCCACAAGCCACCTCCGAACCGCTCGGTGAGTCCCCACGCGCTGCGCTAAACTGGCGCAGCACGATGTGGGGACTCACTTCCGCAGCACCAGAAATTGCATCTGCGCATGTGCAGACACCGGAAATCATGTCTGCATAGACGCAAACACTGGAAATCGTGGGCTCTCACGCACGCACATGGTCTGGCCCACACAGGAATCTCCGCTGGAGTGAACTGGCCCAGGCGAGGTAAACCTTGCCGACCCCTGGTTTACAAGATTTCAAACACGTGTCTTCCCCAGCCAGGGATTGAACCTGGGACTTTCTGTACTCTCTACAATGGTGGCTACAGCTCTTTCTTCATTGGATTCAGTGGGCAACCAAGCCAACATAATTTTATGAGTTTGGGATGCAGTAGGCTACATGCTTGAGTCCCTTTCGAATTATTGGATCCAGCACTGATTCAACCTTCCTGGTGAAGTAATGACCGTCTAAATGTGGGCCATGAAGGTAACAAGGGAAGCTGCTCTTGTGCCAGACAGCAAATGGGTGGGCCACTCTTCCTCCACTCACTGGTAGTTAGAAAGACAAAGATCAAAGTGGAGAGTTGAATTATATGAGCTAGACCATGGGTAGGCAATCTAAGGCCCGGGGGCTGGATCTGGCCCAATCGCCTTCTAAATCCAGCCCGTGGACGGTCTGGGAATCTGCATGTTTTTACATGAGTAGAATGTGCCCTTTTATTTAAAATGCATCTCTGGGTTATTTGTGGGGCATAGGAATTCGTTCATTTCTCCCCCCAAAATTTAGTCCGGCCCCCCACAAGTTCTGAGGGACAGTGGACCAGCCCCCTGCTGGAAAAGTTTGCTGATCCCTGAGCTAGACACTAGGAGCAAGGCTGCAGGCATGTCCAATTTCTGCTGGAATCCAAGGCTGCACCTATGGGAGAAGCAAGACCCCATTGGGATGCTAATGCTGTGAAGCCCTCCATCATACACTCAGGTTGTATATATGTGTAAATAAACCATCATATATCAGAAAGGCACCACAGTCTCCACCATCCCTCATTCCAAAGGAAGTGAACAATAGGTCAGTGCCTATTGGAATATTGGAGATTGGGGTGTCTTGCAACAAAAGGTTGCAGAGTTCTTGGTTCTGAGAGAAGAGTATTCTCAAGTGTGCAATTCAGCAATAATTATTTAAATTGCTTTCCCACCTCTCTTTAAAACAACAACAACAACCCAGCAGCTCTTCTTTGAAAACTCACCCTGTGCTATCTAGTTATTTTGTTGAGCCTTGTTTTTAAAAAGCATGTTTGGAGCGTGGGGAGTAGATTCCTTTCCCCCACATCACTGGTGTTTTTTTTAATCCGTTCCTTCTCTCCACCATCACTCCCAAGATGTACCAGTACATCAGGATCTGATTGAAGGAGTTCTATGTCAACCTTCCAGCTAATCAATGACCTACTTTATTATTACATACCAAGCTCAGGCTGACAGAGAGGCTTTTTGCATTGAATGAACTTCTGATCAATAACTGGCATGAAGGACACAACAGGGCACAGTGCAATGGAACAGAGAATAGCTTTTACTATGTCATTTCATAACACCTCCCCTTGGTGGTCCAGTCTATTTTGGGTCCAACAGGAAGTCATAATTCAAATTACTTTTTGAAGTACAAGTGTGCAGATTGTGGAAATATACTGAGCGGTGAACCAAAAAATAAAACCCATTTCAGATAAATATTAGCACATGACAAAAGATTGAGGGTAGCCTTTTTTTAGTTTTCTCCTCAATTAGTTCTTACCATTTGGAATATAATAGAGGTATGACTGACAACCGTTGGCCACGAGATGGTAACCTTCTGGTTGGATTACCCCAAAGCAATCTAAATGGTGCTGCCCTTGAGGTTGTCTGGAAGCTGAAGCTGGTGCAAAATGGAATGGAAATTCACACAGCATAATCTGACCCATGTCTAACTTGAAAGAAAGCCCCACTAAGGTCAGCCCCACTGAATGCAGTAGTACCTATTTCTCAGTAAGTGCTAATAGGGTTGGGTTGTTAACAGTTGGTTGAAGCTCCCTGCTAACTTTCTGACTTTTTGAATAAGGAGCCTGACCACACCATAAGGGATTGCGTAAAGTATACTGTCAGATTGTACTGGACCATTGTCTGGAGAAGAGAGTGTCTTACAAATGCACCAGATTCTAAAATAGCAAGTGAGCTGGTCTCTCCTGCCCTAGTCCCCAGGCTGTTGATATTGAGAGATGAGGAGGAATGTTTCAGGAATTTGATTATTAGTACTCAGATTAATGTGGAAATCAGATGGAAGGGACCGATGAGGGGGGAAGCCTGTGAAAGTGAGCTGTTAAAAGTCTTCACAGTTATGGAGCTCAGGGTCTTGGGCAGTACAAGAGAATTGATTGGGAGATTTATTTATTGAATTTGTATCCCACCCTTCCTCCCGAAGAGGCCCAAGGCAGTGAAAATACCCACAGCAAAATAACTTTATGCAAAAGCATTTTTAAAACAGTTTAAAACATCTAAAACAGTTTAAAGCATCTAGATTCAGGTAGGCAGCCGTGTTGGTCTGACGCAGTTGAAATAAAAATAAAAAATTGTCCGGTAGCACCTTATGGACCAACTAAGTTTGTTCTGGTATAAGCTTTCATGGTATCTGAAGAAGTGTGCATGCACACGAAAGCTTATACCAGAACAAACTTGGTCTATAAGGTGCTACTGGACAATATTTATTTATTTATTTATTTAACATCTAAAACGGTTTAAAACATTCTCCCATCCGGTAATATAGGTTGGAGCCTATAATCTTCTGAATCGCAGTTGCTCTTCATTCCTTTAGTCTTCCTTTAGATTCAGCTTATTTGGTGTTTTTTCCCTCCTGGACTGAGGGGCCGTTCTTCTGATGTCATGGCAGAATCTCTCTCTTCAGTGTAATTGGAGAATAGGATTGCTCTCATAATTATCCAGCGTGAGCAAGTGACGCATTCGCTGCTATCGACATGCTACAACACAGCCCAGAGAATGTATCGAAAGAACTACCAGCATTCTTCCCGTCGCTCTGAGCTCATGCAAGCAAGTAACAGTTTAAATATGGGGTGGAGAGGGGAGAACAGCACTGCCACATCCTACATTTTAAATTTCCAAACATGGCAACAATTCCACCATTTATGTATATATTTACTGATGCTTTTTGGCCTGGAAGGCCCTCAAAGTTGCTTATGAGAACACCATCATAATAGTATTTTATGAAGTATCATAGAAGGCTTTCTTATTTTTTGGTATTTATTTATTAAAATTATATCCAACCCTTCTTCCCAGATGTGCCCAGGACATCTAAAAGCAATTCCAACACAGATGTAAATTAGGATATATCTTATTGAATGAGGAATGTCCTGGGTGATGCCTCTAGAGGGGTGCCACTGAGTGTGTGTATACACAAATGCGCTTTGGGGTGTGTGTGCCAAACTGGGTCTTTGACCAGGGGAAAATAAAGCCTAGTTTTGCCCCTGGAGGAAGGTAGGTGCTAAAATGACAACAGAGATAATGCCTGTCTAATGTTTAATGGGGGTGGGGGAGTGGAATTCAAAAGGTCAGGTGACATAGTACACCATAGATAGGCAAACTAAGGCCTGGGGGCTGGATCCGGCTCAATCGTCTTCTAAATCTGGCTCGTGGACGGTCTGGGAATCAGTGTGTTTTTACATGAGTAGAATGTGTGCTTTTATTTAAAATGCATCTCTGGGTTATTTGTGGGGCATAGGAATTTGTTCACCCCCCCCCAAAAAAAATAGTCCAGCCCCCCATAAGGTCTGAGGGACAGTGGACCGGCTCCCTGCTGAAAAAGTTTGCTGACCCCTGTACTACACATTATATGATAAGCACAGAACGAGATTTCTATCTATAGTGTTAGAGCTGTTTCTAAGTTTAGGAACATAATAAGAGCCTACTGGATCAGGTCCAGTAGGTCCATCTAGTTCAGCATCCTGTCCTCACAGTGGCCAACCAGAGGCTTGTGGGAAATCCACAATATGAACCCAATTACAAGACCACTCTCCACTGCTGTGCTTTCCAGCAACTAGTGTACTGAGGCAGTTGGGGGAGAGAATAGCTGTACAGAGGTACCTCGGGTTAAGTACTTAATTCGTTCCGGAGGTCCGTACTTGACCTGAAACTGATCTTAACCTGAAGCACTACTTTAGCTAATGGGGCCTCCTGCTGCCGCTGCACCGCCGGAGCCCAATTTCTGTTCTTATCCTGAAGCAAATTTCTTAACCTGAAGCACTATTTCTGGGTTAGCGGAGTATGTCACCTGAAGTGTATGTAACCCGAGGTACCACTGTATTGACTAGTATTGGTAGTCACTGATATAAGGTTTTGTTAAGATTTACATCCTGCTATCCCACTGAGATGAATATGT